TTGGTCGGCTTGGACATGGCGATCGTATTTTTTTGTGCTTTTTGTATGTTCTTAGGTTTTAGGGATAATAGTCTATCGGTTTTCACCTTCGACTGATTATCCTCTGGGGAATGATAGATATCATGACCCAAGGATTCCTTGACGAGGATGTGGTGAAGAGTTTCAAGGATTGGTAGGTCATAGGCCTGGTGGGTCAAAGAGAAGGAGACCCCGTTGGGTAAGGGATAGAGAGACGGGCGCTAAAAAAGGGACGGCAAACAGGTCAACCAAGGACTGTAGGTCCTTAGGGTGGGCCTCTAGTCCTTATTTCGAAACCCAATAACCAAGATAGTCAACCTTTCAGCACCCCCGTGAGATCTTGACCGCGGTGATCGATCGATATCAATGGGCAAACACATCTAACAACCGCTAACCTTTTCGCACAACATATCCCGTTGATTCGGCCGGTATCAGAATTTATCGATGTAGGACTGTCGACCCAGTACTGAGGGACCCGACTTTACATCCGGCTTACCCTCCGCAAACAAACCTTCTGTCTCCTCTGTATCATCTCCTTGAGAGATACGTAAGATCCCATGCAAAGCGTTATCCAACAGTCTCTGGTATATCTGAGGCGCATTCTCGAGTCAAAAAGGCATCCGCAGCCATTCAAATAACCCCAGTGGGGTGACAAAAGCCGAAATCTTTCTCGCCCTTTCGTTCATACCGACGACCCAAAAACTACTTGATATAACCAGGGAGCAAAACCACAATGCTCCTCTCAGGTCCTCCAACAATTTATTGATCAGAGGCGTAGGGTAGACCATAAGCTGAGCCAAGTCGTTCACCAACCGATAATCAATACACAGCCTGATATCCTCCCCAATTTGATTAAAATAATGACGATTGGGCTGGCCCTTGGCGAGGTAGAGGGCTGAATGATCTTCGAAGATAATAGTCCCTTGATCAGATCGGCCAACTTTTCTTTGAATCGAGGGGTCACCTTCCCTACACGTTGTGCAATCAGCCTGGCATACCACATCAATGTCACAGATAGCTCCTCGAGCAGCCGGTGGTAAGGCATTACCCTTTCCCTTGAGTAGATGTCGCTTCTCCGTATAATTTGTCTCAGTCGGTCCACCTCCTCTGGAGTGTTTCCGTCAGAGTCAGGAATCTATTTATCTTCCAGCTTGATACTCGTGGGTGAAAGGTCTATCTCCGGTATGATAGCCCACCCTTGGCTTATATCCTCGGCCCAGCGTTCCACACTTTCAAACGTGCACACTTGATCATCCGCTTGCGGCGGTTATAACAGCTCCCCCTCACCTACTCCCATCTGGTCGACCGGGTCGACCGGAGGGTCTACCTGATCGATCTGGTCTACCTGAGGGTCTACCTGATCGACCTAAGGGTCTACCTGATCGACTTGAGGGTCTACCTGGTATACCCGATCTATCAGATTTGACTTGGTCGACCTGGGAGTCTACCTGGTCTTTCTGGTCGGTCTTCGGCTGGAATTCCATAGTCATTACTGGAGCAGATACCCTGGTAGGCGGGTAGGTGGCCACTCGGTCGACAAGGTTGAGGCTTGGACTTATAACCAAATTCTTCAGGGGAGATTCTCAACCCTGGCCTTTTCCCTCCTTGATATCTCAGGGGTGTTAACCGCTTGACCTTTACTTGCTCCCGGACCACTAGGGTAGGGAGACCGCTTCCGATAGCGGGTTTATTGGGGGGGTGCTACTCAGACGAAACCACTGATTAATATATCCTGGGGCTCAATTCTCACTTGGGTCTTACCACACAACTGTCTTCGACGGGGGTCCAAATGTACCCCTTCCCGGAACAGGTGGGTAGACTTGGTAAGTACCTTGGAAGCACGACGGAGGCGTGCTATGTAGATCTCACACTAAGTAGTATTTAATATAGTCTGTCTTTTAACTTCTTTACTCTATCTTTACCCCCTAGACCTGATTCTTGATTCTGCTTGCCGAGGGGCCGGGTGACCGAGGGACCAAGAGGCCGAGGACCACCTACCGAGGGACCAGGGTCAACCTCGAAAAGACTGGGGTCTACCTGAAAGAACCGCGGTCCATCGGACTAACCGCGGTTAGCTCTTCGGAATGGAGAACGCTTAAACCGTACAATCTTCTCATCCAACAATGGCTCTAACAGGTCGAAACCCAGTAGCATACCCTCATATTCGGCCCCATTCACTGTAGATGTATCGAGGAACTTCGAAGCAGCCTTGACTATGATCCAATTAAGTAATCTCCATACAATAGCGCTACAGGATCCACCTCCTGAGGCATTCTACATTGGCGTAGCTAGTCAAGTCCACGGAATTACAGAAAGGTCTTGGTAATTGAGCTGCCCTCCTTTCCCAATGGACTATGGAGATTGTTAAATGCAGGAAGGCGAGGACCAAGTTTTGGGGGCGCTCGCAGCCAGTATTACTCCTCAGAAGAGTGTGGATTCAATTTTGTCGTCAATTGTCCCCAAGAAATAGGCACGGTAAGTGGTCGACCTACCTAAACCAACTGTGGAGTCTAACGAAGAGTTATACATCATACGTTTAATGGGTCGGCCCGGTGAAACAGTCAGGACCTTGAGGGGTCGAGTAACCAACATCGTAAAACAAGCTTACATTATCCGTAATAAAGCCAGCAATTCATTCTCCACCGTACAATAGTTAATTCGTTGTCGTTAAGGGTTTGAATTGTAAAAGTCTCCGGCATTAGAATGCCACCATGTTCTTGCACCAACGACGCGGATATGGCCCATTCTCTTGCATAACCGATAATTACTGCCTCTTGGACGGTTTAAAGTGTCGCAAGATAGGTGCAGTGGCAATATTATTCTTGAGCATAGCGACGGCTACTTGGGCCCTGGACCTTTTCTCCTCATCTTCTGCCTTAGCCACCACCCGTCCTCAACTTACATCGCTAATCGTGAAAGCTCACCTCCCGTAACTCATTGAGGATCGATGCATACACTGTATAATCTTCAATGAATTTACCGTAGTATCTCAGACTTCCAAAAAACGATTGCATGGTTTTGAGGGTCGTTGGTAATGGTAGCCCGTGGTAAAGCCCACACGGTACGGTTCATAGGTGATGTCGGCTATAAACATAGTCGACTCAGCCTGTCGGAACCAAAGCATAAGGTTATCACCTTCTTTGCCGTCGAACTTATCGACTTCCATTTGTATGGGTTTCGGTCTGCGGACCACTTCTTGCGCCATAGTCGCCATGGGCAAAGGCGCAGAAGAAGGCATCTGTTCCTTTACATGCTCGACTAGAGCGTTGTAATATTATCGAAGCATATGAATACGCTTGTTAATCTTTTCTTCGCCCTGGGCGATGAGGTACATCACGCCCTTAGGGCCAAGGATAGGGAGCAGCTTCTGCAACCCTTCCTGTTGCGCCTGTGAACAGGCCAACCGCTGACATGTCATCGATGTCCATTCTCACTCAATGAAGTAGTCGCAAACCCAGGTGCGTGATTGACTATAAGTGCTACCAGGTGTAGCCGAGCTACTGTAGCTACGCTACTAATGCACTATGTGCAGATGCTCTACGTGCAGAGGAAGACAAGCTCAGAGAGCTTTTACGTCTTAGGGTGCTTAACCCTTCCTAGCCTAGCTCGCAAGCTTGTGCCTATCGGTTGTCACAACCGGGTCTCCAAGAGACTAGTACCAAAGATTCAATTCCTCAGGATGAATAGTACGCTTATGCAGTGATGCTTATAGAGCATGTTTGAAACTGATTTCTATTTATGTTTATCTTCCAACACTAAATATAGAAGCACTTACTCTATACTTAGTGCTAGTCCCTATTTACTGGCTCTATAGCCTATTATTGTTATGCAAACATGCATAGTCACTATACTCTCAACAAGTATAGTGACCACGTGACCCTTCGTACTTTCACATCACCTACTTTTGTACCTAAGGTACAGCCACACCACATTGATGTAGAACAATATACTCCTCTGTGTAACCCCGTTACAAGCAGACACCTGTCGGCGCTGTCTCTCTACACTCCAACAATATCTGTTTCTGGTCCAGCCAGAAAGATGCTCGGGATGTGTGAGCAATCAAACTAGTATTTTACAATTTGTGGAAAACCATTAGGCACCAGTCAAATTCTTAAGGTGCATTCTGTCAATAAATGTGTCGCAGTGTAGCATTCAAATAGTCTGATCCCTTTGGCTTGCAGACGTCATTGGTGGTCATATCAGGCTGACCAAATCCTTCTCGCATTGAATATGCTAAGCAGTTGCTAGCTACGTCTTGAATGGAATCGTAGTGGAAGCTTAACTTTCACACCGGATCAATGTTATTTTTCATTCTGCAATTGTCCTTGTGCTTTTAACAACAACTAAGGATTTGTCAAACATCGTCGTCAATGAAAGTTGGCCAGACCCTGCTGCTCGCTGGTGCCACCCTCATTACGAGTGATGAAGCTGTCTTGAACGCAGTCACGCGTACTTGTTGGGAATCGACACAGCTGATGATGTTCTGCTGAACACTAAAGATTGTCAAAGGTTCCTTCGTTAAGACTTATCCATACAGGAAGGTAGCGTCGAGGAGAGGGTGGCTAGCGTAGCTGACGTGATACCTAAGGTAAGCAAATTGATGCCTGGAATTTAAAGTGTTGAGAGCCTGGGTTCTTTAAGAAAACAATTTAGTGAATCACAAACTTCACAAGCAGCGCTTTTGGCATGGCTTGAGGACCACCCCTACCTAACCAAAGATATGCTAAGAGATATGTTACCAACTCTTAGAAGCGATATGAATGATTTCTTATATTTAAAAGGGGGAAACGCCGAAGTTGACCAAAAAAAGAGTCCCTTGAGCAGCATGCTGCATGGAGAGGTGACGTCACACGAGACTATCGAAGAACAACTGCGGCTCATACACCGATACTGACGGGGGTGCAACAAAGAACAGGCGTGCTCCAGGCAAGACGAAGTCACACGAGGCTATCGAACAAACTGCAACAACTGCAGCTCATACATCAAAACTGGACGGGGTGCAACAAAGAAGTGGCGTGTTGCAGGCAAGACGAAGTCACACGAGGCTTATGAAGAAACTGCAACAACTGACTGAAAATGCTTTCGCGTTAAGAAAGAAGATACGTTTGCATATTAATGAATATAGGAGATTAATTCGAAAAAAATAATTTACTTGCAGTATTACCGGTTACAAGCGATAGCGAAGTATTTCGGCTGCTTTTTTTACAAATGCTTTCGAAAAGCAAAGGAAAACTACTTTCTTTACAATTAACGATGAACAGCTCCGGTACGTCAAAAAATTTACAAGAGAAAGAAAAAGCCCATTATTATGCAAACATTACTATTCTACCCCTTTGATGAGAGCCTTGGACTGGATTCCCTTCTGAAAAGCCTTCACGACGCGAATCTGAGCGCAAACGCGAGCAAAGCCACGAGCCCAAAGTGCCTGGCCACGACCAGATGTAATTTCACGCACCTCATCCGTATCAGCCTCGCGGCAGATCGCCATCCAGCTTGGAGCGTTCGTCATAGGAATCATGCGCAGCACCAAACCAAGCGGAAGTGACACAAAGCCCATTCCAATGCAAGCAAGCCACTGGTTCAACTCAAGTGGTTTGCACTTGAACCAGTCGCCAGTGTGCTGAACCATCACATACTGCATAGCAGCCTGTAGGAGACATACCCATAGGAACACACGGTTCCTCGTAATTCCCGCAAAAATATTGATCTCATCATGGATCTTACGGGCATTAAGCTCGTTAAATAGCTGCGCCCACACAAACGTGTTGAACACGATTGTCATGTGCTGCGTCGGGTCATCTTCCATATCGTCGGTAAGGTCGGTAAAACGGCCCGATGGAATGTTAAACCACTTCTCGCCAGTGAACACAATTGCCAGTAGCAGGACGAGCTGGTAAGCCGACTGGCCAAGGATGTGCTTAGTCATCTTTTTTGAGATCAACGGCTCAGTCTTTGGGTACGGCTTACGCTCCAGCAACTGCGGGGTCGGCTCCTCAGTCGCAAGGGCAAGCGATGCAAACGAATCCATAATCAAGTTCACCCAAAGCATCTGCACAGCCGACAGAGGAGACTGCTCCAGCACAACCGCGCCAATAAACGCCAAGGCAATGGCAACCACATTCACAGTCAGCTGGAATTGCAGGAATTTGGCGATCGAATCGTACACATTACGTCCCCACTTGATAGCGTTCACAATCGAGTTGAAATTATCGTCCATCAAAATAATGTCCGACGCGTCTTTAGCAACGGCCGTGCCGCTGATACCCATAGCAAAACCTACGTTCGCCTTCTTCAGAGCAGGAGCGTCATTCGTGCCGTCACCAGTCACAGCAACCACCTGAGGGCCGTGTGGTGAAACATTGCTTTGCATCAACCCAGATACCAGCGTATATTTATCTTTCGGCGACGAACGGGCGAGCACGCGTAGCATAGGCCAAATCTTATCAAACTCGGACTGGATAATGTTGCCTTGCGCGTCTAGCACACGGGTGCGGAACGTCAGACCGTCCATAATCAACGAACCATCACCAGGCTTCGTGATACCGCATTTGCTAGCAATCGATCGAGCAGTCGTGATGTTGTCGCCCGTCACCATGCGCACAGTGATACCAGCAGTGGCGCACATCTTGATGGCGTCAGGCACCTCCGGACGAACAGGATCTTCAATGCCTACAATGGCCACACAAGTCAAGTTCTTCTCCAAGTCGTCATCCGTCCAGTTAGCTGTGTCCTCTGCCGGTACATCCAAATCGCGGTAAGCCAAGCACAACGTACGGTACGCCTGCGACGCGTACTTCTCAATCACCTCATCGGCAATCTTCGCCTTAGTAGCCTCGTCAAGACCCACAATCGAACCGTTCACGTTCTGCATATCCTGGCACAGACCAAGCACCACCTCCGTTGCACCCTTCGTGTACACGCGACATGTCGTCGCGCTGCGACGCACTACCACCGACATGCGCTTCTTCGCACTGCTAAATGTCAGCATGTGCACAACTTCGTTGTTCATGCGAAGATCCGGGTACTCCACACCGCCGTCACGAATATACTGCAGCAAGGCGCACTCGGTCTTGTTACCGGTGTGCTCAGGCTGCCCATTCTCCATCCTAGAAGGCAGAATCTCAGCCGTCGAGTTCACAGCAATACCCGTGCAGAACGCCTCTTTCGTCGAATCCGATAACGCACCGACACCCACTGAAGCAGAGAAAAACTCCTGGCCTCCAATCCACAACTGCATCACGGTCATACGATTCGTTGTCAACGTGCCAGTTTTATCGGAGCACACTGTCGTGGCACTGCCCATAGTCTCACAGGCGTCCAGGTGGCGCACGAGGTTGTTATCCACAAGCATCTTCTTCACAGAATAGGCAAGTGCAATGGTCACAGCGAGCGGAAGGCCCTCGGGGATGGCTACCACGAGCACGGTGATAGCGATAATGAAGAAGTTTAGGTAGTCGCTAATGTAGCCACTCTTCCATGGCTTGTCATCATTTATAAATGTATCAATCGAGAAACGGATCGACATGACAACGAAAACCAAAAGAGCAACAAGCGTACCCAACTTCCCGATGAGCACAGTCAAGTTGTACAACTTTCCTTCTAATGGAGATTGACTTTCATCGTCTTCTTCACCACTCTTTGTGTTCTCGTCCTCAATAGCAGCACCCACCTTAGGAGTCTCAATCTCGACATAAATCTGTTCATCCGAGCCTGCTTTCTTTTCGTTCTTATCCACAGCCTTGCTACCGCCCCCACCGGCAGCAGCACCGGGCCGGTTACCGTTAATCAGACTCTTGATTATGCCAGCTTGCGAGTTCTCACCTACACATATCACCAGCATCTTGCCAACACCCTCCATGACCTTAGTACCAGAGAGCAAAAACGGGTTCTCGGCATTCTTCGGCATTAGGTCAGACTCGCCAGTCATGGCACTTTCATCCATCTTTACCTCTTTCGCGTCAAAGACGATTCCGTCAGCCGGAATAATATCACCTAGGTCAACCCGAACAATTTCACCAACCACAAGGCTCCACTTACTAATCTCAGTGGGCTGGCCATTGCGAATCACTTTAATCTTCTCATCCTCCTTGATAGCGTTTAATGCACGGAACTGCGCCTCCTTCTGGTAATCGTTCATGGCCGTGACAATTGTGACAACCACAACAGCTAGAATAATACAAGCTCCCTCAACCCAACCAGTCTCGGGATGATCACCCACTGTTGAAGACAGGATGATCGATATGAAACCTGAAATGGTCAACACAATGATAGTAATGTCCTGAAAAGCGTCCCACATGAGTTCGAAAAAACTTTTGGCTCGAGGTGGTGCCACGTAGTTCTTGCCAAAAGACTCTTCGCGATGGAGAAGATCAGCATCGTTGTTCGAATCCAGTCCCTGGCGTAGATCAACATGGAGCGACGCAGCAATGCCTTCAAGGCCGCCCATGTTACCAAGTACATCCTGTTGTTTTTCATGAGGGGTCTCAATAAGGCGAATAAGGTCTCCAGTGACCAATTTAAATGAGGCCATGGCTTCTATAGTAAAAAACGGAGAATGAATAATATGTGTTTACTAAATCAGAATAATATTATCAAGCAGCGACAGACTCGATCAAGAGGCTGTTTTTACACTGCACTTGACTATACTGTGGACAATTTTGAAATGAACCAGCCTTTCGACTTGACGGTGCGTACCTTCCCGTAAATATATGTGTCGTTTGTGTGGCTCGTATAGTAAAAGCCAGTTGAGGTCAGACGGTGCAAAAAATCAAATCGTTAACCTACCGTCAGTTACCTGCCACCAATGGACGACGGCTCTACTGCTTACCAAAGCAAATATATGTTTTTTTCTAGTTTAGAAAATATTCAAATTATACGTGCAGATCATTTTCTCAAGACATAGGAAGATGATAGTTTGCTCTGCTTATGAGGCAAGGAAGAATGCGATGGTACTTAGCTATATACTTCTACTATTTTAGTATTTATTGAATATGATTCGATTTCAGAGGGTCAAGTATCGATCAGACTGTTTCTCACTAGAGTGAACCGCACGGCATGTCGCAGTACTACTTCCCAAAGGTTTTTGACAGGGAAAAAGGTAAGCAATTAATCACGCAAGGGTAAAACAGCCATTCTGGCAGATGATTAATCAAGGTGTAACTAACTAACTACATCTGCCGATGGCTGTTTCTTTCTTACCAGTACCTCATTATGTGGCAGGGTACCACCAGACTACCTTTTCGTATCCTATGAACCAGATCAATTTCAAAACCAATTTTGCAAGCCTCACTTCCTGCCTGAATCGTGCATCATCAATTCCGGAGGCTTTGTAACAGATTCTGCTGGTTTTGTCTAATCCAGAGTCATAAGACGCGTGGACATGATGGTATGCAGTTGAGCTGGCATAAAAAATCCAACGAAGATCAGACTTCGAAGGGTACGAGATGCGACGCACTTGGATACCCATGCCGAAACATGTGCTATCGATACACAAGCAAGGTCTCATTGGCGATGCTGCATGTACAGCATGGCTTGCTGCTGGTGTGCCAATAGCTATCCGGTAAGAGCAGTGTAAGGAATGCACTGAAGTGTATGTACATGTATCGAAATGTGTATTGTATGCGCCTGTAGTATTGGCTACGAGAAGCACGATCGTCATGTCAGATTTGAATCATTGATTAAAAGAGACTTGCACGTTTTATGAGAACGGGCCAGAAATTATGCCATTGTACGGCCGATGCTACCGGTACATGAACAAGTATTTTCATGTATATACCGCTGTAAAAAAATGCATGTACGACCGTACCACGAGGTCATCATGCCGACCGGTTTCATTAAGGCTGTGCAAGAAACATTGTCTACTATATTGTTTCGTTGCAGGATCTCATGAAACTAGAGCTCGTCAGAGTTTTTGCGCCTGTTTAAGAGTCTGTCTGACCCAGTTAAGCAGAGTGACGTGACTTGGAATTGGCGAATCATAGACTTTGGAATAAACTGTCAGTTTCAGTTACGTGGCATAAATAAGGTGGTGCAAGAGCCGTTTGTTTGTATTAACAAATGTCAGGATATAATAAAGATGTGTGGAATAATATTACGTCATACAAGGAAACCTACAACTGACGTTATGACTGAAACCCCCTGTCCAAAGGGCCGTAATATTTGTGTGCCGTTGCGAAACGTCTACACGCCGTTCGTTACCAAGTGTTTTGGATAATCAGATAGCAAAAAAAACATGTTTATCGTACAAGAGGCCGTCTCAACAGCGTCGCTGACGTATACGACCGGAAAGAAGAAAAATCGAAAGGTATTGGGATGAACGGCTTCTCAAGTACGAAGTGTAGTTAGTTTAACCAAAACAACAAACAGCGTCGCAATTTGATGTCAGCTGAAAATTTTGTGCTGCTTCGAAGGACAGACTAATAACAGTAAAGACTCCTTTGCGGATACTGTTTTCGTGACCAAAGGCGTCAAATTAATAAAACACGTGCATTTATCCAAAAGTCTTTCGTGCAGTGATACCAGCAAGAAGCCACTTACAATTTTGGAGCCTCTTCTGCGATAGAATGGAAAAATAATCTGCAAGGCCGTGTGACTGCGACCATCGCCATTATGCCGTGATCTGCTACCGATGCTGCATGCCATGCTCATTTTTATTCTATGTTACATTGCACTGACGTTCATGTGCCGCTTAATTACGTCTCGGGAATTACATAGACCATTGTCCCTCTTTCTTCGCTTTGTTTATATGTCATGTCGCTCAAAAGAGTAGTTATGATGACAAGTTATGAAAGCAGAAAGAGATAAGCCTTTCATGTGCCACAATTTACTCTGACTAAATCTCAGGGCGGGCGCAATCAGTTAGTCCGCGTGGACGTGGCTAGCAATGTTTTGCGTCGTTAGCGCGCTCCAGTTTGGATTGTCTTGCATCAAGACGTTCCGAAGCTCTTAAAGAGTCCTAGAGAAATGTAAACCTCCAGCGAACCCAAAAAAAAATAATTTTTGATCTTGAATATCTGGTTGTCTGTGTTGTTTCCTGAAGGTCAACAAGTCAAGACGCGATCGATTGTAGCGATCAAGTCTTTGGCCAGTATTGTGAATGAAGAGTTTGCGATTGAACACCTGAAAAGCAAGATTTGCAATGAACTTGTGGACTTTCTTCCTGGAAGCAGCTATATGCTATATGCTACCCAGTATTCTGCAATAGCCATAAAGTGCGTCAGATGTATTGCATCGAGCGGACTACGATTCGAGACTCAGTCAATACGAAGAAACGATAAAGCAGACGAAGAAACAAAGTAGCCGAATACTAATATTTCTGAATGACTCGTCACGGCGTGATGTGCTATTCATCCTTACCAGTATCACCTTGCGTGTGCACAAATCAAGCATAGCTTGAAATAAAAGCAAATTCAAAGTGTGCGCACATATATATATGATGCCATATATCGATAAAGCAAGGAAGACATACGGATAGGCAGTCCAAAGAATTCATTTGCAGAAATATAGTATGGCGTACTCTCAACAAACAAATGAATCACAGCGACCACGAGGAACACATGACCACACGGCGTTGGAACACTTTTACTTTGTCAACTAGACTCACTACCGAAAAAATGCACACAAGCACTGATCTATATATAAATGACAACCGAAACAAGAAAAAGTGAGAGCTACAACCCAGCTAGCTCGTTTCTTTCACATTTGGACTGACGTCGAGAATGCACATCCACTTGCTTCAATACAAAGCTTTCTGATCTTGACGAGTAGACCATCCGTGGCGCTCCCTTTTGCTCGGCTGTATTATCGTCATGGTTGACTCGGAAGTCGCTGGACTGTATGAACTGAAAGCGATGTGTAGCCGGGCTCAGGTTGCAAAATAACTTGGTGTGCCCTGGACAAATACACAAGCGCTCACCTATATCGTGTAGAAATATACTGAGATCTGGGTGTCACGCACTGCTGAATGGAGACGCGTCAACTTTTCATTCCTTCACAACACATCAAAAAACGTAGCATCAGTTTGAAGCTCCTACTCAAGCATACTTCTCTCAACAGAGTCGAACAATCACGCAACTTCTCAAATACAAGAGCCGGGCTATTCTTTGGCTGTAGATTAAATGATACTTTGAAGCAAGAATCAGCGATGCAAACAATATAATCGTGGAAAGGCACTGCAGTCAACAGGAGCAATTGACCTATTGTAATACCAAGACCCTTCAATGTTATTTGTCGTACGCTCACCACGAAATGAAGTATATATTCACATTCATCTTGTGATCCAAGCAGGTCTTGTTATGGTTTCGATAGGGTACTTGCAGGTGCTGCAAATTCGCGCCTTGGTATTCCAGTGGCGAATGAAGAATAATATATCGAAGCACACACATGATTCTAAATCTATAAACTGGCTGCTTACAATCACTGACGTAGTGCAGCAACAAATGACGGAAGAAAGTTTCAGTTGTTACCAAAGAATGTGGCAAAGCTTCTATGGGTCCGTTGCCGCGTTGTTAATCGCACGGACAGACATTGGGTATTGCATATGTTGAATGATCTCCGTCTAAAACCATAAATGCTGAGGCAGACACTTAGAACGTTGATCTCTGAGTGACGGTTGTTCCTTTGCTATCGTCTATCCAAATGGGATTGACGATACGACACAATCTAGAGTCGTATTACTAGTTCGTCCATAAAACCGTCATTTGGATTGTCCACAATCATTTCTACAAAACGAATCAAAAGGGTACATCTGAACGTGTGTCAAATGTTCCAATCAATTTTCTTACGACCGCTGAACATCACCTCTCAAGTTGTTTACGAGCGCGCCTGCGTTAAAAGCATGCAAAAGCAATTTTTTGCCAATACCTTTCGCATGCCGTGCTGGGATGCGTATGACGGTCCCATCAGAAAGTCAATGGCTGGACATCAGCTTCCTTCACATCGGTACCCACGTGCGAGCGAGAGACGAGACTGTTCGCCTCTATGGTTCTCTCTCTGCATTATTGACTAAAGACAGCATGTCCCAGAGCGATGGAGATGTCTTCACTTTATGCACGTGATAGTTGGATGAGGCTCTGCTTTGTCCATGCGTAATGCCCATTTAAAGTCCAGTGTCCGTCTGCCTTACCTAAAGTCCATCATCACATTGATATGCGCATCATAGATTCAATTAGTAGCACGAAATACAATTATAGTGTGACTAGTATGAGTTAGAATCGCGATCTTCAGATAAACTACACTATGGCGCAAGGTAGCGCTGCCGAGAGCAATATGCGGTCGGAATTTTTTGCTGTGTTTTCTCGCATCCTTCTATCCACAGTTTCCGAATTGACACGCGTCCAGCATACCAACTGGAGTCACGATGACACACAACCCGACAAACACTTACGAGAAGGTGGCTACGCCGACCTCGGATGGTCGGTCCAGTACAATGCTTGCTGACTGCAGCCAGCAACAAACTCACCATATTGAAGATAAAGACGATGATGCGTTTTCAAAGGCACCGCTCAAGAAGAAGATCATGTGGGGCATCTTTTATGGTATCGCGTCTCTAACTGCTCTGTACTTCTTCATGGTAGCTATCAAAATCATTGGCGATGGTATCACGATTGCACTCGGATGCGATACCAAAGGAGCCTTTGACTTTGCCGACAACCCGGTGGCGGGTTTGATGATTGGTACTGTCGCCACTGCTCTGCTTCATAGTTCTGGCACCGTGACGTCCATTGTCGTGACCCTTGTGGGATCCGGTGGCATGACTATTCGCCAGGGCGTGTATGTGATCATGGGTGCAAACGTTGGCACCTGCATCACGTGTATTATAGTGGCTTTCGGCCAGGTCGGAGATCGTACCCGTTTCCAGCGTGCTATGGCAGCTGCTACTGTTCATGACATGTATAATCTATGGTCTGTCTTCGTACTGTTCCCTCTCGAAGTGATTTTTCACCCACTCGAGAGGTTGTCGGTCGCTATGTCTAATGCTCAAACCGACCACGGTGCCTTCAACAGCCCTATTGATACTGTCGTAAACCCGCTTGCTAAAAAGGTGATCGTTGTGGACAAGAGTGCCATCTATGACGTGGCTGCTGGTGAAGTGAAGTGTACACCTGGACAATCTTTTGTCACCGGTGGTATATTCAAGGGCTCGAGCATGAGTGACGGTAGTATCGGTTCTATCACGGCTGTCTTGGGTTTCTGTATCTTGGTCTGTTCTCTGCTGACATTGGTGAAGATGCTGGCTAAATTATTCAAGGGCCCCACGAAGCGCCTTATTTCCAAACTGCTCAACTTCAATGGCTATGTGAACATCGTCGTCGGTACCCTCATTACATTCTGTGTTCACTCGTCGACAGTTGTGACATCTACTCTTACCCCACTAGCTGGTCTGGGTGTTATTACGCTCGAACAAGTCTATCCATTGGTTATTGGAGCCAACTTGGGTACTACAGGCACGGCCCTACTTGCTGCCTTGGTGACAGGCAAGTCCGACTCAGTGGCCATTGCTCTTGTGCACTTTTGGTTCAACTTGTTTGGTATCGTGCTCTTCTACCCGATTCCAATCACTCGAAAGCCCATTTTGAGCTGGGCTCGCTCGCTAGCCTTTGCTAGCGCCGCGTGGCCGATGACTGCTGTGCTGTTCCTCATTTTCCTGTTTCTCGTGGCACCTGGCATTTTACTTGTGATAGTCTATATGTGCACTGCTGCCAGCGTCGCGGTGAAGGTGATTGGCTTCATTGTTGCAGCCATTGTCGTCGTTGCGATGGCCGGTGCGACGTTCTGGTACACGAAGAAGGGCGGCCATTTGCTGTGGCACTCGTTTTTACAGAAAAAACGACAGGAACGTGAAGCTTCTGATGCTCGCGAGTCTGCTTAATTGACACAGTCAGTCAAGTCTGCCTCACAACGCGGTTTAAGAATTACTTGATATGTACTAACAACACTTCAATTCCAAGTATTTCATAAATGCATGATCCTTACAAACAACACAAAGAGACCGATGTTTTAACTAGTTGCTTGAAAACGTTAGCAAGAAGCAGATATTCACGAAAGATGAGTAAATACATAACGTACGATCTTCCGTATGAACGGTCTAGCATATCGATTGATCTCTAGTGATATGATAAAGCACCACATGTCATATATTCCTATGGCAACGAAGTAAGTATTTCACAGGTCATCACTATACTTGGAGTGTCCACGATGCAGTGGCTCAATGGCCCCGTAGCAAATATCCACTGGAAAATTTTGTCATTCAAAGTTTCAGCAATATCTCAACAAAATCAAAAACATTGATTGAAGAAGACCTCGTCTATAAAATAGGTTTCGAATAGAATCGCGTCTACACTTCCAACTAAGCAAGCAAAGAACAGCTGACGCTCCGATGCGCCACTCATGGTTTAAGATTTCTATGGTGAAAGTGACGCTGGGACTACCACCTCCGACACCATACTTTCATCTACACCAGTGCCTGCATCTTTACAAAACGCGTTCCAGCAAATGCTTAACAGAGGTTGGCAAATTGTTTTCGTAGCTTTACTGTGTCTTGGAAGCCTTGACGACACCCACCTGCGCCGGACGAATGACACGCTCGTTCAGCAAGTAGCCAGTCTTCATAAGCTGTCCAACAGATCCAGCCTCCTTGGAAGCATCCTCGTACTCAAATAGCGCATCGTGCACATTGGGATCAAACTTGTCGCCAACGGCACCCACCTGGTTAATCTTGAATTCGCGAAAAACTTTCTGCAGTTGGTTCTCCGTCATCACAACGCCCTCATGCAGCATCTTGATGGCATCCCACTGCTTGTTTGGCTCGAGCGACTCAACGTCAATACTTTCATGTGCACGCTTAAGGTTGTCTGACACATCCAGTAGTGCCTTGGCAAACTTGGAGATAGCAAACTCACGTGCGTTGTTCACGTCGATACGAGAAATACGACGGACATTTTCAGCATCAGCCAGTGCACGTAAGAGTCGATCATTCATTTCTTTGTTCTTTTCCGACAGCTCCTTTACTTCATTCTGCAACTTCTCCAGTTCGGACAACTCCGTCACGGACTCCTCGGTCTTGGGCTTTTCCTTCAAAGGAGCTTCTTCTACAGGCTGTTTCTCATTGCCAAAACGTACTGATGTTTCACTTACACATCGTACTTGCTGCGACATACGCGTCATACCACGAGTGGTCGTGCTAGATAGAAGAATACGTCGAAACATGAGAAACAATTAGGTCTTAGAACAACGAATGAAAACAATAGAGTTGTGAGACGTTAGTGACCACAGGCTTCCTGTTCATATGTATCGGTTTACACAGGGTCGAATATTCGATAGAGTACCGTATTTGTTTTGCTTACCTTATTAGAACTGTGTCATTGTGATTTAACACCAATCATAGGAGAGCTCAAGTGTTCACTAATCAAGAAGAGATTGAGTTGAAAAGCATGGCACCAAGCGCAGAAATACTTGCTAAGCGTGCCAAGCAAGAAGCAATCGAGCAAACGGCAGAGGAAATCGTCAATCAAAAAGTATTACAACATTATGCCAAGACAGTGTACTTTAATGACCTGTGGGTATCATTTCTAAGCAAGATGTCGAGTCTTGTGGGACTCATGAGCGTGCTGGAACTACAGCGCATGCATTACAGTCCGCGTGGGCTCAGTTTCATTGCAGGTTTTGAAGTACTTTCCTTACTTGTTGGATTCAGTACAGTGCTGTTTCTTCGGCGGTGGGTGTATCCACTCCTAGCATTCAAAGTGGCTTTTGCTTTCTCATTGCTACAAGGTTTTTGGTTTGTAGCCAGCTACTTATCGCGCTTTATGGGCTTACCACGTCAAGCCGGTGACTTATTGACTGAACAAATTCCCTTTGGCCTCATTTATTTTGTTGTGTGTTGGATCTCGGATCGCTATATGATGCGTTCTCAGGCTATTGCGAAGCAGACAGCTGATGACCTTCGTGCTGTACTGAAGGACAAGACAGCTTAAAGCTCAAGCTTTTTATAGTCGGATGATGACTTCCAGTTGTCTCATGCTTACGTAAGGATCGTGTGAAGTAAGGATAAAAAAGTGGCTCTTAAAGTCCTAGCCTAAACAACTAAAAAACCGCTTTCTGTCATGGCTTCGTTCCGTTGCTCAAAGTGTCACTAATCTCTTGCCATAAGTTGCTTTAATAATAACTCAATCTAAAAACTTTATGAAGAAATATAGCGAAGATCCTGCATGGGCAGACGTGGTCAAAGTACCACAGGATGACGGTCCAAACCCCATTGTTAGCATCAATTACTCTACTAAATGTATGTCCACATCCTTCTTTATCGATTCTTGTCTGTATTTCTACTTGATATTCATTTCTACTGCTTTTATTTTGGTAGTTACGGATGTCATGGATTGTTTTCGTGGTGTGCTCAAGATCAATGAGTATAGTGAGCGTACATTGGCACTAACGCAGGACGTAATTCAAGTTAACCCTGCCAATTATACAGTCTGGTACTATAGACGACGTGTACTGGAAGCACTGGATGCAGATCTCTATGCAGAGCTCGAGTTTACAGCTGACATGGCCCTTGAACATCCCAAGAACTACCAGATCTGGAATTATCGTCGAGATATTTGTATCATGTTGCAAGATGGCAGTAAAGAAAAAGAGTTTTGTGCCATGTCATTCGAAGTAGATGCTAAAAACTATCACGCCTGGGCGCATCGTCAATGGGCTGTCAAAACATTCAGTCTTTGGGATGGAGAGCTCGAGTTTGTGGACCAAATGCTCCTTGAAGACGTACGCAATAACTCAGCATGGAACCACCGCTGGTTTGTCGTGAACAATACATTGGGGCTTGCAACCATGGAGGGTCGTCAACGTGAAGTTGACTACACACTGAAGAAGATTGCGCTCGCTGTGCATAATGAAAGTCCATGGAATTACCTCCGTGGTCTCATTCGCGGCCAAGAAGGTACCTTTGCTGCACAGCTGAAGGAAACAGCGCAGCAGATGTTGGTAGCTACACCCGACTGCATCTTTGCAGCGGCATTACTGGTCGATATGTACGCGAAAGAGGGCACAAAAGATGCTCTTGAAGCAGCGCGCAAGCTCCTGAAGACGCTCATGAACGATACAGACTGCGTGCGAAAGGCCTACTGGCAATTCCGTCTTTCTACGCTTGAACGGCGCAAGTAGCTTGTCCGGCTTGCATTCTGTAAAAAATGAATGATGAGCGAGAAACTATCAACATCATGAAACAAGCATGGTTATGTTCTTGTATCTTTGATCGTCTTGATAGCATATTCACCGAAAAAGCACCAAAAAAGCACCAAAAAAGCGTCGTTCTCGTGTTAAACAATTTATCTGCGCCATATCGAGTTGGCAGACCACACACTGTGACTTGCCACCGTAAATTGATGCTGCACCAGCTCGACAGGCAGCTAGCACGAACAGACAGCTGCTTCATTCCTTACTAGATCAAATGTCGGACGGAAAGTTGTTTACGGTCGTCATGTCCTCCACTTTGTTGCCATTAACAAAAAACTCGAGCTTAATCCTCATCAGCACGGGTTTCTAGCCAACAAGATATTAGTATCTCGCTCAACCAAGAAACATGTCAAACACATCTTACCTCTCCCTGTAAACTGTTTTGAATCTTGACAACCTGAGTGACAATGCCACTGTTGTTTGGTGGCACAACATCACCAGTAGGCGGTTCCATTTTTAGTTTGACGTACTTCGGGAACGCAGCCAGAAACACAAACTTCTCGATTGATATGGCTGTTGAGTTCTGAACAGAAGCCGTAATGTATGTCACAGACTTGTCGTCAGGGTTGGGCTTTGTAATTTCCAAGTCTACAGTCAGGCCATTCTTCTCATATGCGCGCACTGTCGGGTTCGCTACAGGTGACATCAATTTTGAAGCAGGTGCGCCAAAGCCCATTAGACCTAGCAAATCATTCGCTCCCGTCGCAGCCACACCACTGTTGCTTGAGCCAGCTACTGGAGCTGGCGCGGCTGGACCGCTAGAGAAAATATCTGCTAGCAAGTCTACAGCGGTAGGTGCAGGCGGAGCAGAAGATGAAGCTGAGAAAGACGCTCCAGCGCTAGACGTAGACCCACCGCCGCCAAAAATGTCGTCCAGGTCTAACAGACTAGCACTAGCTTTCGACTGTGCAGCCGGAACGGCTTTCGATGCGGCCGCGGCGTTCCCGCTGCTTGAGCTTACTCCCACGTCTTCGTCGCCCAATAGATCTGCAGAAACCATAGCCGAAGATGCAAAATTATCGTTGCGACTGCGCACTTTGGATGCGTCAATGGCCGGCATGCCAGCAAGAACATCGTTGCGAAGAGAAGACCATTGTGATTGGCCAAGCATCGTGTACTCGTTAGCACGCTGCTGGAGCTCAAGCACCATGGATGTGCTGAATGAAAAAATCATTGAATTGATCTTGGCAATCTCAGTCTGAGAACTGAAACGAGTCGTCAGTTTCACCATAGCGTTCAATGAATACGCACGCGTAATTTCCGTGGATCCATGGTGACGCAAAATTGTTTTGAAAAGTTCTACAACACTGCTCTCGTCCACACGGTTCTTGCCATTCAGCGTATCTTCCGATGCGGGGGGCATCCAGTAGCAAAAGCTTGCTGTACTCACCAACACACCATATACCAACGTGGACGAGAGACAATTGAGAAACGTCATCGCGAAGTGCCCAAAAGAGCTTGTGGACCACGTATGCGTGCAGATCCGTATTACGCTGGATAAGTGTGATGAGTGAGCTGCATATACGCTCGTCTGGCAGCGTTGAGCCAGCAATTGACAGCATTGTTATCAACGTGTCGATCTGCCATCGACTCGAAGGTGCATACCGATCAACCGCGTCTACAGTAGCATATTCCACACAATACTTCGTTTAGAGCGCAACTTCACAGCTTTAATATTGCAAAAGTCAAGTCATATGCTTACCAGCAATCTTCGAGCACAACTCAGGCTTTTGCTCGTTTGGAGCGATCACGAGGTAGTTAAGCATTTCACGAGCAAGCTGGAGGTATAGAAAACCATTACACCACAACCGTTGTTAGTTAAGGCGCCCACGAGTTTACTGTGGCATACGTGAGTGAAAGCTGCACGTACCGACTGAATATTAGACGAGTTGACAAGCGAGTAAATGAGCTCAAGTGCACGCTGACGAATGGACATATCCGGATCCTTTAGACAATCTACAATGGTGTTGGTATGACGCTGAACTGCCGCAACGTCATCTGCGACAACCTTTGACAGTGTGTTGAGTGCTACATATCGAATATTGTTGTCACGGTTGAGCAGGAACCGTCCCAAAATATTGATAGCTAGCACACGGAGACCGCTGTCGCTCTCAATAGTCATGATGGTCTGCACGCATTCGTAAAGGATCGCATTGCCAGCCGTCTTGGCTGTCTCTGTGTTTGTAGCTACTTGCGCCAAAACATCATTCATCGCCTCGCTGGCTTCTTCATTATTCTTGCCCAAAAGCCGCAGAAGCTTCAAGATCGCCACCTGGAGGAAGGGGTCGGCAATGCCGCTGACATCGTATTCGCTCGAATACCCCATGGACAGCAAATTTCGTAGCTGGCGTACAAGTTTTGGCACAAGACTGCTAAATCTCTTCAAGTTCTCCGAGTCGAGCAACACCACTTCCGTGATCAGCTGCACGCCCGCAAGTAGTACACCATGGTGTTTGGCACGCAGTAGACCCAAAATTGATTCAGTAAAGTCTTCTACTAGATCCGGTACCTTTGTAAACACTCGAATAGCTGCCAATGCCGCTTTCTTACGCAAATGTTCATTGTCACTACGTAAATGACGATCCACATCCATCACCAAATCACGCGCCATATCCGCCTACAAAATAGCACGACATCATCATCATAAATCATACAGATACGTCAACTATTCAATTCCTTGCTCTTGCTCAATCTTCTCTTTTTCTACTACAAGCCTAATCATCCATCATAAACGTCCTTACTGAAGCCACATTTCCCACAGCTGTTAATGATAGTGCTACAATAAAGTGATTCGAATTATTCAAATCACTACATGTAGAAAAGTAACAATATAAAGTAAGTCTTCACATGTCTCGGTTACTTTTCAATCTCACATGTTTCTTACTTTTTTACAGAATTTGTTACAAGTGTCAATACATCTTCTTGGTCCGTAAGTAATAGAATAAGACCTAAATAGCCCATTCTCTTCTCTGCAAAGTACGGACTTGCAATAAGCTTGACACATTCCATTTGACCAAAATGTGATGGATAGCCAAGCATATGAATGAATAACAGCTTGGCAACATTACGATGACGATATTGTTTGTCTTGTTCTTTAAAAGCAGTACGGATTAAAGCACTTTCCTTTGCAATAACAGCACGTTCTTCAGCTGCTGTTTTACTAGCACGAACACCACGAATTAAGTCACGTAGTTTTTGACTCATGAAGTTGATTTAGATAAGAGAGAGAGAGAGAGAGAGGAAGAAGAAGAGGGGGGCACACGAGCTGTGTATGTCGTCTAGCTGGAGCTACGTGGTTTTGAATGCTCTTTGGTAGATAAAGATTTGAATATTAACCAATAGAAAATGAATTTGAACCCATGTAAAGTTAATAAGCATGGACATTGGATAAAATGAAAACATACATGGTGTGACCGTATATTTATTGGTGGATCCTCTTAGTGAACAGTAGTGGACGTCCACAATTATACGTAGCGAAACTCAATATAATCATGACCAAACCATGACTAGACAAAAGTGGATCCACCATGTACAAATTGAAGTTTGTCAACTTCCAATCACGGTATAGGACGAACCAATCAACATCCAGTAAATGTGTCAGAATTCGATTATCAAAGGTCCACGACATAATTAAACGTCCTGATTTGACAAAATGCTGTCTCCTACATGCGTGTCTTTTTCTACCATCGCTTGTCGTTTTCTCGGTGCTACGCGTAGTATGACTAGAGGTCGCATTGCATTCAATTGGTGTGATCCACTGCTACTGAATGATCAATTGACGGATGAAGAAGCCATGATCCAAGTGCGTCTGGTTTAGACGTTAGTGAAATGATATCATTGCTACAATATTGGCGACTAATATGTGGAGATTTTTCATATAGAAATCAGCGAATGATTATTGTCAAGGAAAATTAATGCCAAGGATTGTTGAGGCTAATCGGAAAGGCACATTTGATTGCTCTATTATGAAGGAAATGGGTGAAATGGGGTTCTTAGGTCCTACCATTCAAGGATACGGCTGTGCTGGAGTGGGCTACGTGTCCTATGGCCTTATTGCTAACGCTGTAGAGCGTGTATGATGGATGAGTACTGGATTGTAATTGGTAAGTTGATGACAGGGATTTACTCTGTGTGTATATGTATAGGTCGACAGCGCGTATCGTTCGGCTATGAGTGTACAGTCGTCTCTAGTGATGCATCCAATTAATACCTTTGGTTCAGATGAACAGAAGGAAAAGGTTGATGAAGCATTTTTTAATATGACGATGAGAAGGGTGTTTTACCCATGAAAAGGGATATTCTCAAACGTGATGTGTGTGAACAATCAATGGCATGCAGTACCTACCACGTCTTGCCACTGGCGAACTCATTGGCTGCTTTGGCTTGACAGAGCCAAACCACGGATCCGACCCTAGTTCGTATGTTGTTGCAGTCTGCTATAATGCCGTAAATGTGTGATATCTCACTATTAGTGTGCTGTATCTGAATAGAATGGAGACGCGTGCTAGACTCAAAGGAGACAAATACGTACTAAACGGCTCCAAGAACTGGATCACTAATTCTCCAATCGCCGACATTTTCCTCGTCTGGGCCAAGGACGACGAAGGTGATATCCGGGGCTTCATCCTAGAAAAGGTGCACTGCTGAGTATGTGGTGGTTGAGATAGTAAAGTTGTACTAACACTTACGTTCCCAAACAGAGCTTTCTCGGTCTATCAGCGCCATATATCGAAGGCAAGGCGACATTAATGGCGTCTGCCACTGGCATGATTTTCCTAGAAGACGTTGAAGTTCCCAAGGAAAACATGCTGCCAAAGGTGAAAGGTCTCAAGGTATGTTTTAGCTCGAACTGTCTTTCGCCCGATCTCCAGAAGCTCGTCTCTTCTTTGACTAGATACTTACAACCACAATAGGGCCCTTTTACTTGCCTCAATAGTGCTCGTTATGGAATTTCCTGGGGAGCCCTTGGCGCAGCATGTACGTTTGCTGATGTTTTTATTGAGAAAGTGTGCAAGCTGATAGTTTGATTTGCTCTTGTGATGATTCACTTTTGTATCAGATTCCTGCATGGACATTGCTCGCCAGTACACCATTGACCGCAGTCAGTTTGGTGCTCCACTCGCTGCGTATGTAGTTCGATTGTTTCCTTGTGTTGTCATTTTACAGTGCTAATGAATTTTTCAACCGTCATGCTTGATCTACAGCAATCAGCTTATCCAGAAAAAGCTAGCAGATATGAACACGGAAATTGCGCTCGGTTTACAAGGGTGTCTACAAGTCGGTCGTCTACTCGATGATGGTAAGGCTCCTGTGGAACTGATCTCAATGATGAAGCGTAACTCGTGCGGTAAAGCCATTGAGATTGCACGCAATGCTCGTGACATGCTTGGTGGCAATGGCGTGTCGGATGAGTACCATATCATTCGTCATGTTGTGAATTTAGAGGCAGTGAATACGTACGAGGGTACGCATGATGTTCACGCTCTGATTCTTGGTCGTGCTATCACTGGTTTGTCCGCTTTTGTGCCTCGCATGGCTCCCTAGTCAGTAGAAAACATCAAGCCGAGTCCATTTCCATGATCCCAATGAAGAAACCATACTAACTGCACTTGTGGTATTTGTCTGTTTCTAAACTACCCGGTAGTCAAAAACATATTGTAAAAACAATGCATTTCTAAAAAAGTTTCTATAAAATATAAGATCCATTCTTTATTTTTATTGGTTAAAATCAAATTCACCTTGATACTAAACATCTCGATAAGAAAAAAATAACACTCAAGACGTCACAGCTGTGGCAAGTCAAGCGATGCACAGTCTTGCAGCCAAGATGCCACGTTTAATGGTACCAGGACTACAGAATCTAGGCAATACATGTTTCTTTAATGCTATATTGCAAGCACTAGCGTCTTTACCCAGTGTGCATGAATATCTTCAAGAGATTGAGCAACGCGCACGTGTTACACGGCGTCACATTGCATTCACTGGTGCTCTACGTGACTGTTTGGAAGGTATGTGGAGGTGTTTGGTTGTTGTTCTTCGATTGGATAGTATCAATATAGATAGATATTTTGTAACGTATTGTTGATCCTTATTATCATAGCACTGACACCTCGAGAGGAACATGAGTCATGTAAAGTAGTTGCCCCACGAGTTCTAAATGCGGAGCTTACAAGCAAACTACGAGCTTTTCGTGGCAATAAACAGCAGGTCTTTTTTCATCCACCAATTGATGATGCTTGTATCTCTTATTTATTGTGAGCTTATATGATTAATAATAAAAACAATGACAATATGGTGATGATAAAATGTTGTTGTAGGATTCACAGGAATTGCTACAGTTCTTGTTTAAATTGGTTGGTAATGAACAACAAAGCTGCTCGGTACAAGATCGTGGACTGGTAGATCTTACAGTGGATGATGTACAAGACCCTGCGACGTTGAGCTCAATCAGTGATCTTCGGTTATCACAAGCAGTTGATAAACGGAACTGGAACCCGCTGCAAGGTCTTCAAGTGAATTTATTGCAATGTTGTCGTTGCCATCGCTTCCGACCTCTTAAGAATCAGCCGTTCTTGGACGTATCTCTATCTCTTGTAGCGTTAGGCGACCGAAACATTTCTTGTCTTACGGACGCGCTGCATATGTACACAGAACCAGAGGTCATTAAAGGGGTAGAATGTAGTTATTGCAGCGTTATTGATGAGCTCAAGGTCACAATGAAAGAGTATGAACAGACCAAGAAGGACGAAGCACGACTTCGGCATGGCAATGCTAGCATTGTACTGGGCCTAGAGATTGCGCAGCATGAGCGGAAAGACTGGATTCACACGCTAGAGCAGCTTGCTAACTCATCATTCAGCTTTGATCTGGAACAACTCGAACGGCCGATTCCGCGTAGTCGTAGCGAAAGCCACAAGCGCTTGCAGTTTTCGCGCAGTCCGGACGTGTTTTGCTTCCATCTCAACCGAAAAGTTTACAGGAAGACTGGCGGTGCAGTCAAGCTGGAAAATTATGTGGAGTTTCCTCTGGAGCTTGACATGAGTGTCTATTGCCAATATGAACTGGACTCCATTGCAGAGCAAGAACTAGTGAATAGCGCTTCGCGACGAGGAAGCGGTCTCATTCGGCAGTCTGGTACGTCTTCACTGCCGTATAGCGAGGGCACGAAGCAGCAGTATTTACTCTACGATTTAACGGCGGTCATTCTCCACCATGGCAATGAGCGCTGCGGTCATTTCACAGCATACCGCCGTGCCAGCCCATCCCAGTGGTTTTTTGTCTCTGATGAAAGCGTGCGTGAGGCTTCCGTAGCTGAAGTTTTAAGTAGCTGCGCGTACATGCTCTTTTACGAGCGTAAATGTCGGACGAAGAAGACAACTCGGAGTTCCGAGACGGAGGAAACAACAGATGATGATGACAGTTTGCCGGATGTGCCCTTTGAGCCCCATTTGCTGCTACCAAATGGCCGCTACTGACTACTGAACAGACTAGGTCAACACTGGAGTAATCTCGAGCCGTCCAAAGGAGAGACCGAGTACGTAAATACATTAGTTATTACTACTATTGTCGTCGACTCTCCTGAGTCAAGTGAAGCATAGTATATGTCCAAGGCATCAGTTTGAATATGTAAAAATTCCTGCTCAGAAAAATCAAACTAAAAAGAGAGCTGCGAACTCGTCACATGTGCGTGTTAGTTACTGCCATCTTCACTACGTACTATTTAGTCGAAGCCGTACTCTTGCCGAGCTCGCTTGACGACACCAATGAGAAAACCACTCTTATTGCGAACGTTCGAGAGGTTAGCACCAGCAAATCGAGTGAGCACTTGATTCGCCAGTGGCTCTGAAAGCTGGCCAAGCACTTCGTAGCACTTGCCACCAAGCTCCTCTAATGATGCCAATGTTCGGTTTGCCACCAACGAGTGAATGTGGTTTTGCACTGACAGCGGTAACACCGTAAACGAATGCATCCCAATAGGACCGTGCCCCATGCCAACGAGAGGTGGTCCTTGTACACCACCGTATTGAGGTAGCCCTTGAGGAGCTGCCTGACGGCGCCGCGGGTCCCGCATATCCTGCTGGGCGTCGTAGGGACGTTCGTACAACGCTGGAGCGGGGCCGGTTGCCATAGAAACAGGCTGGCCACGATACCCACCGTCATTTGCTACATTGTTGCTGTTCAGACGCCCGCCTTGCGGAGGTCCACCGAGGACCGACCCGCCTTGGGAAGGCACACCATAGTTTCCACCTAGCGGAATCGCTGAAGGAGTATGTCCACGAGGAGAAGCCATCTGCGGCCGATGCTGTTTCTCCGAAGCAATCGCCTTCTCGTTGACACGGTTGATGATACCCACCAGAAATCCTTGCAGGTTTTCCACCTGCGACAGATCCACGTTGCTAAAATTTTCAACGGCTTGCAGCGCCACACGCTCAGGCAGATGCAGCAATCGCGTGACCACGTTGTCGTTGAGTGGCTCTTGCAACCTTCCTTCGTGACGCATACTGTTTACTACAGCCTTTACAGCTGGCGGTAGACGTTCGTATAGATCACTTGGGTTTGGCATACGAGATGCTCCTGGTAGCACTCCTCGTGGAGATGGTTGTTGGCTTGACGATGGACCACGACGACGCGGATCGCGTCCTGCTCCACTACTGCTTTGAGAATTAGGCTGATCGCGGCGACGCGGATCTTCAGCTCGTCCTCCTGTCGTAGCTGGTGACACTGCTTGGGCAGATGGTGAAGAAAGACCTTGACGGTTTCGCGAAGATAGCCGAGGGTCTACAATTGATCGGTCGTTAGTAGAGCGTGCTGCTCTACTAGGCTCAATTGCAATTCCTTTGTCCAAGTGGACAACACGCCCAAACTCGTCAACATCTTTGCGCGGGTGGTCAGGTTCGGACCGTCCAGCTGTACTCCTTCCTTGACGAGGAGAATTTTTTGCCGGAAGATCTTTAGAAGGTTGGTCCCGTTGATAAGGCACCTGGACTATAGAAATACCAGTAGCTGGCTGAGGAGGAGCGTACCCAAAGCGGAACAGTCGTGGGTCACTTTTGTAGTCAGAAATGAAGGCGTCTACAGGCTGCAGTGCCGCAATTTGCGGGTTTTCCTTCTGGTACTCACGAAAAATGCGCATGAGCTGTCCATTCTTGTCGCGAATGTCTCGCATAGGTGTGCGTACAAACCGTGCAATAATGGCGATTTGAGCAAACTCAGGCATAGCGCCAACGGATGCAAAAGCAGCACGGCTTACTTGGGTGACACGAAACTCACCGCTTGTTTGAAAATCCATCAATCGGTCCCACGCTGCAGCAGAAAGTCCCTTGTGATCCTCGTCGAGTTGTTTTGATTTACTGCTAGAAGAGAGAGTAGAATCACCGCTGCTACGCCGATGACGACCGTGCTTGTGATCGTCGTCGCGAGGGCTTTTGTTGCCATCGACATGGCGGGGCCGTTTGGAATCTGTATTTCCATTCACTGCTACATCAGACGTAGAAATGCTCTCGCCATCAAGTTTTCTCTTCGCTGGGGTCACGGTCGACAGCTCTTCACCATCAGTACTTGCAGCAGTATGATCTACTTCCATTTCAGCAGATTCCTCAGGTGCTGCAGATGTCACACCTGGATTGTCAAGATTGTACTCTTTCTTGGCAGCTGGGTCATGGCTAACAAAGCCAATGGTAGTATCACTTGCAGCAGGTGTCCCCGTAGTAGACGGGTTGGCCGGGTCATATTCATCGTCTCCATGGAGTATAGAAGGCGACAATGCTGAAGGCGCTGACAAATCATACGCAGCTTCATCGTGCGCTGGTGGAAGCAAAGCACCGGCTTCCACATTTATCGGTAAAACATCATTTTCTGCTTGTCCGTCACTCAAAACACCGCTCGTCTCTTTTGAAGGCGCAAACGACTCTGCGAGATCAGCATTATCTGAGTGACCCTTCTTCGGCGCACTTACCGATTCGTCGACCATTACCACGTTTTGCTGCGCTACTATTGTCGCCTCCTCATTCAGTGCAAGCGACTCATGCGTACCTGATGCCTCAACATGCTGGATCATTTCTTCTCGACTGTCTCCAATAGCACTATCGTCCTTGTTCGCAGCGTCACCTTCATCTTGCTCACCTATGTCATCAACAGCGTCACCCTCATTTTGATCATTGTTGCCATCACTAGCGTCACCCTCCTGTTCATCACTTTTATCATCACTAGCTTCCACCAGCTCAGCGTCACTCTCCTGTTCATCACTCTTATCATCACTAGCTTCCACCAGCTCAGCGTCACTCTCCTGTTCATCACTCTTATCATCACTAGCTTCCACCAGCTCAGCGTCACTCTCCTGTTCATCACTCTTATCATCAATAGCTTCCACCAGCTCAGCGTCACTCTCATCATTATCAAGAGCGTCCATGAGCACAGCTTCACTCTCATCTGGATCAATCTTATCGTCAATTACTTCCATCAACACATTATTACGAATCTCAATAGCGCCAGTATTGAAAGCCACAGACGCCGTGTCAATCATCGATTCTGCAATCACCACATCACTCTGCTGTTCCTTTTCCGCTTGACCAATTACACCAGCCGTCTCTTCTTTATCTTCAGCTATATCATCTTGCATCTCCGTAGCTTCAACGTCCAGTGGCTGCAGAGACACATCACACTCGGTATTATCCAGCACCTCCGTAGTAACTACTCTTGCTTCGTTTTCCTTGTTAATTGCGTCCTGATCAGCAGAAACTTCATGATCAACAGCTTCATTAATGATAGAAGCTGTTGATGCTATCATTTCATCGTTTCCAACAGCAATTGGTGTCGTATCACCATCGTTTGCGCCAGTATTTGCATCAACGTCCATACTGCTTTGGTCTTAACGTTCTTAGATAGGGGAATGGATTACCTCAACACAATATTATGTACATGAACATTAAATTATAGTGATTGGCTGGAAAGTATACTATGTGCGCAGTTGATACCGGTTTGCTACCAGTTTATCTAGATTTTTAGCCAACATCGACAACAGCTTCGTATTAGCTTTTGTATCAATTATTTAGCCTACGTAAAACTGTTATTGTTGTCTTATTGCCCAATTTAACACCGGAATTGGGCACTATTCCAAGCGTGCATTTATTGAGCGTAGAAACACTAGCATCTTCTCACTTACTTAAGCTAGCAGATTCTCACCGTTAAAGTGAAAAAGACACACGCTGCCAGTGAACATGGCAACGCTAATAAGAAGGTGCTGGTGCTTTGTAATGAACGCGTTCGTGCGTTCGCGGGAGCTTTGGTACCACGATTTGCGCTGCATTGGCACACTACTAACGCCAAAGCGGCCGCCAAGAAGGTTTGTCTTTGGCTTGGAAATGCTGGATGCGCTCAACTGACGCTGGCTTGCGTTAAGGCGATCGTACTTGGTGCGCAAACTTGCAGCCTCGCGCTCCAACACAAGTAGCGCAGCTTCTGCTTCCTGCTTCTTCTTGGACAAAGCGACGACGGAAATGCTCAGCTTTTCGGCCTCAGACATCACGAAATTCGCCTTTACGTGAAAACGACTGCCTGTCGGTTTGTTTTCCTCAACCTCTCCGGCTGATTCAACCTTTGCGGTATCTTCAACCTGTTTAACCTCATCCATAGTCTCATGCTTTTCGCCTTCCTCGGTCTTCTCGCTATCCTCAGTCTTCGCAGCTTCCTCAATCTTTTCACCGTCCTCACTCTTCTCGTTATCCTCAGTCTTCGCAGCTTCCTCATTCTTTTCGGTGTCCACAGTCTTCACAGCTTCCTCGGTATTTCCGTCCTTCTCGGTGTTGTCGGAGTCCGCAGTGCTGTTGGGTTCCTCGTTTTTCCCAGTTTCATCTGTTTTCTCGACTTTCGCCAAAGTGTCCGCATCTTCGGCATCCTGAATCTTCTTAACATCGGTCTCTTCAACCTGCTCGGTCTCCTCAGCAGCTACCTCCTCCTTGATAGTCGCCTTCACAGCCTTTTCCACGATCTCCGTAATGCTTGTAAGCTCCTCCTCTTCTTCCTCGTCCGCAGCCGAGTACCATCTATCCAGTGTATTATTGTGAAAAAGTGACGATACAGTAAACTCAATCTCCTTTACCGGCTCGGTCTCATCTTCATCCTCGTCAGCTGCAGCAACCGTAACAATCACGACAGCCTCGCGTGATTGCACAGGGTCGAATACAAACGTAACAGGGAAGGTCAACATCTCCGTCTTGTCCATATCTTCTTGACTCTTTGTACCAGACGTCCATGGAATCGTTCGGACCACCGGCGTCTTCTCCTTCTTAACACGTTTCTTAATGATCGTGCGAGTAATTTTCGTGGTCGTCTTAAGCTTCCGAGGCGAACCTTCATCGTCCTTCTCTGACACCTGGCCATCCTCTACCACGTTTCCATGTTCGTCCGTCACAACGACGTCCTTCTTCTCGACAACTTCCTCCACGGTCTCGTACTCGTCAGCGTCGTATTCTGGGTCCAAGGAAACAGTGATCATGGCATTTGGTACGGGTTCTTCTCCCTCTACACCAGCCAGAGTAACCTCCAATCGACCAACACTCTTGATTGCAGCCTTAGCTTCCTCCGAAAGCTCCTCCTGACCCTCGGGAGCTTCGGACAATGCCGTAATCTGTTGAAACGCGGCAGAAATTTGCTCATCTAGCAGCTTCACTTCATCCACCTTGGCCGTAACATTTCGACGACATGTAAGATATTGATCCGATGCGCGCTGTGCCATGGCGGCCACTGCGGTCGATGACGATGTAGAAGCCATCGATAAGAGGGCTAAAGTCTGATCTGCAGCAATGGATTAATATGTGGTGTGGGTGTGGCGAGTGGAATTGTGTACACCACATGAAGCTGAAGTAGTAGCCAAATAATAAATTACCGCATTGACTTAGACAGCGGTGAATATATTTTACCTCGTTTACTTCACAGGACCATAGAAGCCTCTTAGATATAATATTTTCCTCGTTACGCTTTATTTCATCATAACAAGTGAATACTGCCCAGTGAAAAACAAACGACGACAGGTTCTCTAATGACTTTTATTGCTAGGAAACTCTCATGGGTTTTATCTTATTACGCACTACACTTTAAATTAATAGAGGATAGTCTTCCAAACATATAAAAATGGCTGTCTAGTTGACAATAGAGGCAATCTCCTCTATCCTGTCCAGTCAAAATGGACAAACTACCTATCCCCAACGACTCTTACAAAACAATACACAATCACCGTGACAGCAAGTATGACTCTTGCGTCGAAACAGACGGTGTCTGAAGCCAGCCGGTAAGCTTTTTGGAGCGCCTGTGCTTCGTCATCTTCCTTAATACTTGGAGCGTATCCGTTTTCAATGAGACGCCCTGCAGTGCTCAGATTCGACTGTGGGTTGAGCGAACCAAAGTTATTCTCGAGGCTCACTCGATCCGAATATTGTTGGGACATGCCCATAGATGAGATTGAGCTGCGGCTCACCATGAATGAGTCATTAGTGCTGCAGTTGCTTATGCTCATACTCCTGTTCGATAACATTAGCGTAGAAATGGGAGGAGCGGGGACGACATTTCCACTACGTCCATAAAACTGAAAAGACACACCCGGCTCTTCCTTGTGCTGTGGGCGAGTGTTGGCCACTTTGACTCTCTTGCTCTGTTTACGTAATTGCCTCCGGTTGTGAGGCACAATCTGCTTCTGCTGTTGACGGTGTGACAACGAGACGGCAAGGTTCTCCTCCGTGTAAAGGATGAAGTCACCTGTTACAACCTCTTCAAAGGGAGGCTGCATCTTCTTATCTCCATTCTGTCTTGCCTTGGACATCATACGTCTCGAGTACTTGCAGACAATCGTAGCACTAGACCCCGTAGCCGTGTTTGAGACCTTTGAGTTACTAAATCGATTTTGGTCGCGACGGCTTGGAGTCAAGAGCTCAACGCTACTGTCCGAGGCATCGGAAGGCAGTGGCGCGCTCGGGTAATAATAATCAGCTGGATTCACGTCGCTGTCTGCAAACGACTCGTTGCCTCGCATGACTACCGCAGTGCCACTAAGGTTGCTGCTAGATGGGACGGCACCGTTTGTGCTGTTGGAAACCATGGTGCTATTGCACGTAATGATCGAGTCACTCATATGAGTGAAGTTACGGGCACCAAACTTGTTCTTGCGTTCCTCAAGAAAAAATATATGTTCAAGCGCCAGGGACGGTCGACGGCACAAACAATTGGAGCCACGGATACCGCATGTCCTACATCTACGGAGCCAGTTAAACTTGAGAATGCTAAACCATGCGGTGATCCCCATGAACCCGCAGGACAAGTCAAGGGTTCCTGGTGGAGAAAGCAATAATGAATTGATGATGTCGGATTCACGACTGACTGACTGTGTGCGTGTGGTCGGTTGAAATTGGGGTTAGCTTCCTCGTATATGTGCTGTTTGGATGGGCGGGATAGCAAATGCGAGCTGTCCTCAACAAGCTTTTTGCCTAATCGCCAAGTGCGTGAGAAGGGAAAAGTGGCGATCGACGAAGTGCGCCCGTCTCCTTTGTAGAGAGACAGCCGAGACAGACATATATATATATTTTCAAGGTGACGTGACCTGATCATGTCACAATCATGAGCTACTACTATGCTTCTCTGTAACATAGTTGAGACGATTCTATCAAGAACGGTGTTTACTGCTTTCGACATAAGTGGGAGTTACCCGTTGGCCTCTTTACGTGCTGTTCTTGAGCCCAGCTCGTCACCGCACGTGCTTTCCCGCCTGCCTAAAGTTGCGTGATCACACAAACAGTTGAAGAGGAACGACGGAGGCTTACAAAAAGCCATGTGACGCGCGATGAGGCCACTCGCCACAGCTTATGAATCAATCATTCTCATCTTGAATGAAGGGCTCAGCTGATGATCCCATCCAGCTGGCCGCAATCAAAACTGCCGCAGGGGAAACGATAAAGGCACTGTTCAAAGTGCAGGAATCCAGAGAGGACGGAAAAAAGAAGGATCAAAGATCATGTAGTCACACAACGTCATAACGTCCATAGTCAAAGAGATGAAGTATTTAGTTGAAGCGTGTCATGAAGCGTTGGGCTTGACAGGCGTCGATTGCTTATCCATTAAAATGTGGCATCGACCGACTGTCCTGGCACTCGCACAGCAAATCTGTACGATGGACAAACAAAGGCTCCGCACTGGTAGCTGGTAGCCGTCGATGCGGACAAGCCCGAGCGGACCAAATAAAAAGTGCTGATACTTGACAAAGAAGAGCTTGCATAAAGGCTGCGTTGAATCAAATCTCTTCAAGTATTCTCTTGAGGGCGCATAAAGGCTGCATTGAATTTCGTAAGTATCTTGAGTGCGCAACCTAGGGGTAATGCTGTACCGCACGCGGAAAACGTGGCCATCAACTGTTTACCCCCACGAGAAATTTGCCTTTATAGCTGAATAAGGACTTTTTTCTCGACATCTTCGAGCAAGAACTGTTATATAACAGATGAATTTGTCTATTGTACTTGTACCGTGTGACGTAAATGTTTTTGGTTGTTTGTACACTATGAGTGTCCTTCTAACGTTACCTCAAGGACATTCAGACAAAATGGTGAAACCTAAAATAACAGTTTTCTTCACATCGAGATCCTGCTTGAAAAAGTTGCTGTTAGGTGATTCCATGGCAACAGAGTCAAGAAGCATGTGGCTGAGAAGCCGCTGTGGAAGGACCTGTTGCTTTTACACGCTGCCCACGCCACTATCAGGACCTTATAGGGCTCTTCCTTGTGAACGTACAACCGAACAGCGGTTACGTAACGTCTAATTGCTTCACTGTTGAAGTGTTCGAAGCACTTATGTCCACTTTAACAAGTTACCTATGCTGAGTTAGTGTCCGCTCGATTTTTGGATAAGCCACGTGCTTGTTCCTTCCTATTCAAGGGATCTTCTTTAATTCCAGCCGGTACATTATGCGGACATTCTCTCACCACAATCAAGTGTCGTCGATTTAAAAGATTGGCAGTCTATTTAACGTCGGACAACCATCGAACGAGTTGTCGTTTCCACATTGTACCGGCTTTCTATTGTCATTATACCCACGGTCTCCAATCGCCTCTTGGAATATTCGAGCTCTTGTTGACGCTTGTGTTGTTCTTGTTGATCACCACCACCTTTTGCAACTTGCTCGTCAAGCTTAATGGCATTCAGTCGCTCAGCACCTGTGACTGCCTCCATGTACATGCGCAGCGCAATTTGAGACCTTTGCATTCCTATTGCCGATTCTTCATTCACAGCTGATGCTGACAAACTGTGAGATATCTTTATTGTTTCCCACTCATCCTTCAGTATAGCAAGCAGTCTCGCAATGCTCGAAGCAAAGCAGAAGCCAAGAATCTCGGTCCGAAATAGTGTATTCGATCGTGATGACTGGTCTGCTGCAAGTGATTCAGTCGGAGCACCACCAACTCGACCAAATGACGTCACCTGCAAGTTTTGAATCGAAGCGTTCGCAAATGGATGTAACGCATACAATTCTGGTACGTCTTGATTCGACATGGCTTGCAACAATGACAAGAACTCATTAGCGCCACCATGATACATGACATACTTAATATACTGCATTGAACAACACAAGGCAGCAGACCACTTACGCGCACGGTTGATAAGAAATTCATAAAGTCCATGAACAGCATCGTGTCCGTGAAAGAGGAGCAGCGAGTCTGCACCACGCATATTCTCTCGAGCGAACGTCCCCCGAGCTATGGGTGCAAGAGTCGTGCCATCACCATTGTCTCGGTTGCTGGAGCAGTTCGCATCAAGTTCTTCTGCCAGCATATGAAACTCACCGACCTCGCGCTGCGTTTGTTTTGCATTAATGTACGGCATAGTGTACGCGACGTTAAGATGGTGCAATGCCTTGCGGGTTCTCCCACTTGATTGGGACATGACGGCACGAAGTTTTCGGTTCTTAATACACTTGCTCTCTACTTTTTTCTCCAAAAGCTTTGCTTCTGTGCCATGCTGCCGACACAAGTTAAGAATTGACGAGATGTCCTCAGTCTCTTTTGTTGTTTTTTCACTGCCGGTCTCGTAGTGGAAGTACACCACGAAGTCACTTGAACGAAGATAGAATGAGGTGTCGTGAGCCTTAGAACCTCGCCGGAAGCTCATGTAGACGTCACGAAATGCTTTCTGCCACGTATTCCACCGTGCCGTAAGAAAATCATTTTCTACTCGTTTGCGCTCGCTTTTGAGTCCTCCTACTAACTGTTTGCTTGTATTTTCACCAGTGGTGCGGGTAAAGAGCATGGATGCCGGGGCTGAATCCGCAGGGTGTACGAAATAATGTAGTGCCTGCTGCCATTGTATAGCGTTATTCTGAAAAGTAGATTGAATAGCACTGCCAGCAACAAATTGCTGAAGTGCTTGTTTCTTAATCCGTGAACTGATGCACCAAACGTACATGCCTTGTTAGAACAAACAACTCGTTCCTAACGTACATTTGTGGTCACTTACTTGACACGTGCAAAAGGATACGGAAATGCGGTAAGAATAGATAATTTCGTCTTGGGCACGATGTCCAGCGGTAGATCTGTAACCTGCTAATTGCAGTGAAATATGTATGAGCAACACATCTCATCATCGTCACGTTTTCTAATAGAAATCCTAGCTTACATAAAAGATGTTCGGGACATTTGCAGCTGGAATGAGCTTTCGCCTCTTCTTTTGGCTCAAGAATGACGATGCATATAGTGAATGCAAGCGTGTGGCCGTGTCAACAGCTACAAGCGGCACCTTTTTCTCCGCACAAAGAGCCAATGAAGCGGCCTTTTGCACTATAACAGTCGACAACTCAGAATCACTTGCCTCCTCCGTCTCTTGTGCCAGAAATTGGTCGTGTAATGCATTTCCTTTTCCCTCGGTAGCTTCTTGTGTCAACCTTGGCTGCCTGTGTCATTGTGAACGTCTCGTGTCAATTTACTAATTCAGAGACTTGATGCAGGCGTTTCAATCGACCCTGGTAAGCTCTCAAGAAGTATCTAATGACACTCACGTCTTGTTCTCTGCCGATACTTGGAGCTTTGCTGCCCGACGTCGTTTCTACAAGTAAGAGCAGCAGGCCATTAATCCTAGCGATCTTCAAGCAACAGCAATCATTTCTAGTAGGGATCGCACCCGTAATTCATTTGGCAAAAGTCTCTTTGTCTTGTTCATATTGCACTTGACTGGACTTGGCGTTCCATTTGATGTCAGCGGCTCCTTGCTTGGCTCCGGCGCTGTCCCACCACCACTCGTTGTCATTGCGGCAGGACAATATGGAGCTCGTCGTGCCTTCTAGATATAAGATCTAACAGTATAACGCATTGATATAACGTTCTAAAGGATACTTGGGCACTTGGAAGCCATTCAGATAGATACTCAAACTATGGGCACAATTACGTCAGACTTGGAGACTGTGGGCCACGCTGTTATCCTCTTTTATAAGTACGTGGAGGTAAAGAATTCGTTACAGCACAAGCAGGAGCAAGAGGAATTATGCAAACGTCTGGGACTTGTCGGTCGTATCTTCATTAGTGAGGAAGGCATTAACGCTACGCTCTCGTGTCCGTCACGTGCCCGAATTGACGAGTATATTGCCTTCTTGTGTGCCCACGACGTGTTTGCCATGCATGATGAAGACTTATAAGCACAGCTTTCATGCGCAAGAACAGCCATCGTTTGTAGGGATCATTGTCAAGCACGTGAAGGAGATTGTGTCGACTGGTGGTATCGTCACTCGTCCTGATATGACGGCATCGGACAACGACCGAGGATACCTGACACCAGAGCAATTCCATTAAGCGATGCAAAAGGCAACTACCGAAAACGATGGAGGTACTGTGGTGCTTAATGTTTGTGCGCATAAGGAGTTCCTGGTAGGGCACTTTGAAAATGCTCTAGACCCCAAGGTAAGGAATTTCTCCGAGTATTACGCCTTTTTACAAAATCGAGTGGATGAGATGAAAGACAAGAAGGTGCTTATGTACTGTACAGGTGGTATTCGCTGTGAAAAAGCGTCCAATTTTCTGCGTAATCAAGGTGTAGACGACGTGCACCAACTCAAAGATGGTATTCACAAGTATCTTGAGGTTTACCAAGATGGAGGCTTCTTCCGTGGCAAGAATTTTGTGTTTGATAAACGGTACGTTCGTTATGGAGCTGTCTATTGTTTTGAATGTGTTGATATATCTGACAAGTATGTTGTGGTGTGTATTGGTTTAATAAAGGGTTCTAATGGGAGCAGAGCATAGCAGCACATGCATTGAATGCCAAACACCTTATGACGAATTTAGTGGACGAAAGGTGTGTACAGTGTGTCGTGATCTAGTCTTAGTGTGTGACAATTGCTATACGCTCATCATGGCAAGGTTCACTGCACGGATCATCAATACCTTAAGCATTACTACGTCACATTTCTGCAGTACATGCCACGTACTACATTACTGTAGCATCAAAAGCTTTAGAAACGATCCTCATACAGCTATTAAAGGACAAGAACAGCAGCAAGAACAAACGTCGTTCCATCCGCAATCAACTAAACAAAATCAAAGCTCGCCTGGATACAATTGATGCCGATCCAGCAGCTGCTGCAGCAATATTAGCTCTCAACCCTCGCCCTATTCACTGTCGTACATGTGGTCTATCCATGTGCGTGGGCAATTTTGCTGGGGCTTCTGGACGTAACAAGTCAAATGTAGCAAGCATTTGAAAAGTGTAGCCATTTCTATAAATTGTAAATTTTGTGAGAATATTGTCAAATTTCACTTCAACTTGTTCAATTCCAGTGCGCAATTACCATGACCAAGAAGAGCGTACCAAGACGGAAACGTAGTGCTGCTTTATCCACAAGTACGAAAAAAAATCAAGCAGTTGCAGCAAAAAAGAAGCACGTACGAGAGCTGGTCAAATTGGGACAATATAGCGAGGTTTGCAGGAGGCATCAGCAAGCTAGTTTACATTATCACCATAACTCAATTCTTATTGTAATATTTACATTACAGATTGAAAAACTATACGGAAAAAAGATTGTCGCCAAGGCAAAAAAATGTAAATTTGACATTAACGAAATGTCTTCTGTATGTAGACGTATATATTAATTGTAACAGGAATATTTAGATGCAGAGACCCATTGTGTAAAGAAGAAGACTCCACTTGAAATTGCTCATGAGATTCTCGTGAAAAACGGCTATCAACTATCGTCTCCACAAGAACTAACAGCTACTACAGCTACTCCACTGGTAGTAGAGACAAGTGAAAGTGAAGATCGATCGGATGTTGTTACAGCTCATCAACCGCTCACTACAAAGTCACCAGAGATGCTGACAAAGGAACAACTCAAGCTTATTGAGACGAGGAGACAGGAAGCTCTTGCAAGACGTAGACGGGTTCAACTGGCTGGTAGAGATCATAGTTACTTTTCAGCTGTTATCCAGCCTGATTCAGCTGAATATATGCGTCATCATGTGCCTCCAGCGGGTGTTTCGATTCAAGGACATCATCTTTCTTCATTAGAAGGCTTTGGAATGGCGTCAAGTAGACCTGATATTCAAGTAAATAGTGAGCCGCACCGCGTCGTTACCCCCGATACTATTTCTGCGACCGATCAAGTTGTTGATACTGCACATGCACGATCTCAGTGCTTTTGGGACGACCTCGAGGCAGCTGCTGAGATTGTTCAGTGGGAAAACGAACAATTGGCTGAGGCAACACTTTTGCAGCCTCCCGTGACGACAGCAACGAGTTCTGATCACGCGTTTGATACTGTGCAAAATGAAGCTCAGCATCACACAGAGGTAGAAGCAGCTACCACTCAGGCAGCTGCAGTAATATCTCTATCTCAAGAGCTGCTCGCTGCCGCAGAAATTATTCAATGGGAGAACGAACACGAAGTTTCACATGAACTATCAGGTATGTTTTATAACTGATTTTCTATTGCTATGACGAGTAAACCCATTTCATGAGTCGGAGTCTTGATCATCACAGCTATCAACAAACAAGGTGACAGCTCATGTAGCGACCACGAGCATGATGCCCCGCAATTTCAACTCCTGCCTGTGGACGATTTTAAGCAGCAGGACGAAAACCTCTCTGAATCTATACAGCCTCACGACAACATCACATCTCAGCTCAACCGACGAAACAGCAATTCCTTGCTAAAGTCGAACGCTCACTGCATGCGCCCTCAGGCACTGCCAGCGACATCAGGTCAACTTTATTGTTGTGGGCATTTCGTTATTAGTTCTACACTAACAGTTTTTTCATATCTTATCTTACCTATCCTACCTATCTGCTAACCTACTTTAACCTACTCTACCTAATTGTATTTACCAGCTCTGCAACGCAGCAGCACCGTGTCCAGCGAAGCGGCAAAACCCAGCGGGGAACACCAGCGCAACCCAACCTCATCGTATTCTTCTCTACACCAGCGTGATCCAACGACAGAATTCATGTACGTCACAGCTTCTGATTGTCCTCTCTTGCCAACCCAGCTTGGTAGCATAGCTGACACATATCTGCAGTGACAAGCACCTACTGGAAGACAAGCTTGAGTTTTCCGTTCTCGAATTTCTCGACATGATGCTTGCTTAAGCACGTTCACACATTTGGTCAGCCAGCGGTTGCTACACATTTGGTCAGCCAGCGGTTGCAGCCATGCAGACTCCAAAAAGCGAAGGATGCATTTCCATAGTACTTGTTTTCAGCACGACGTTGCTTGCGGTGAATCTCTCATTCGTATTTCCGGCAGACAGGGTCAGCATAAACAAAATGATTTTCCCACATCACCAAGTCGTTTTCCTCTGACGAAAAAGGAAGAACTAATCCAATGCTGTTAAAATTCTTCGCGCTGTCATATTCCACATTCACGTACTTGTCCATTTGTTCCAGTAGAACATACCACAGTGACCGTGTTGGTGCACTTGCCTCTTCTTGTTTTCGCTGGCGCTGACTGTTGTAAAGGAAGTTTCCATACAATCCAGAGAATACGTGCTCATACAGCACCGACAGCAGCATTTCGTTAAACTCAAACGCCCATGGCTGCTGGCGCCAAATTTGCCACAATGCATCCAGCCACTGGATGAACACGGGAGACTGTTCCTCAACTTCTTGCTGGCCTGGCCCGTCACCCTGAGCGTATCTATACCGAAAGAGATGTCCAAAAGAGCACCACTCCTTTTCGATGAGCTGCATCACACCATTTACTGTCCGGTAGTACGGATCCAGTAACAGCTGCACCATAGCCGTAAGTTGTGGAGTACGGTCCCATCCGTCACTGCAGTGAATCATCACAGACTCACTCTGGCACAAATACCGACAAATTTCCTGCGATGTCGTAAGGATACTTGACAAATGCAGAAACCAAAAGGTGTTTCGCAACTGATATAGCCACCCACTACTTTCACGATCCTGGCCAGGCTGACATACTGACGCTAGCGATGCATATGATGAGCGCACAGCATGGATATTCGCAATATCACAAAAGTGAAGCTCCGTGTTTGGATAGTTCCGTGGGTCTTCAGTGCCTTTGCCTTGTGCCGAGTTGGCTGCTGCTGCCATTTGGCTTCTTGCGTCGAAAAAGTGAAACTTTGCATCACCGTACGCGCTCGTTGCATGCTGCAGTGCCGATACCAGTTTTTGGTCGGCCTCTACAACGTATCCACTTAACCCTGTACAAGGCTGAGCACATCGACAAACAAGCGCCCCTGTGTGCGGATGACGCCACACTACCGCAGGAATGCGACTTGCGCTGCGATACGCGCTTAGCTCTTGGAGATCGTTCTCATCCAGCACTGAAGGAACCAGAAACACATCTGGGTACGATGGAAACATAGTGTACTCTGAGTTGTCGTACAACCGCATCCAGCAATCTTCGTCTAGCAGCTTTAGTCGGCGATAATCCTCCTCTGCATTGTAAAGCGAATCATTTGGTGTCTCAAGACCCGTTCCGCTTGTCGTCTCCTGTTCCTTGTGCCGCAGTGCCTGGTAGTGTAAGTGTGCAAACAAATAATGGGGAGGTGAAACGCCGACCGAGTAAAGCTCCCAGATACAGCTTAAGAACTCTGAGCATGTAGCTTCAAATTGAAATGCCAATGAGGTGCGCATAAGATGTTTGCCTTCAATGTTAGCGACGTGGGGAGCTGTGGTCGAGCTTTCGGCGGACAAGATAGACGCCAAAGGAATTTCCATCGCATCTTTTGTGCTAAGCGCTTGCCAAATGATACGGTAATTAGTTAGCACCAACGTGCCATCAATACTAAAATGCGGCGCTGTACCCAACACCATTTCGCCAACCAAATGCGTCACCTGCCCCACTCCTCGAAACGCGCCTTTCACTGTATGTGTTCCTAGGCCTAGCATGCCCATGCCAAGTCCTTTCGCAAATCCAAATACACCACCACTTGCTCCGCCCTGGTACGTTTTATTCACCAGACCGGCTGCACCCTTAAGAAATGCACTGCCAACACTTGTGGACGCACGAAACAAGCCTCTGCCCAAAGACCGCGTCGGATGATTATAGTCTCGTGTAAAGCAGTTGTCAGTTTGCACCTTGTGACCTGCAGCACCTAGTGAAGCGTATGAACGGGGACCAGCGACTCTTCCAGAAGCTTCCTCACCCCACTCATTTGCATCACCGTCATCCTCGGATGAAGAGGACATGGCAAGCATTTCATGTTTTAAATTCTGCTCTTCACCACTATCTTCACTCTTGTAAAAGATAATATATGCTGCATTGTCAGCGCGCAGACGAACTACCTCTCCAGATACCGGGTAGATATCACCAATTAAAGGCTGCGACTCATCTGCCGGCTGTGTCAATTGGAACGTGGGCGTGATTCTCCCTCCATTGTAACTACAGTTATCAAGACGCAACATCGTTGGTGAATTCGCACTACGTGCGCTCCTCGCCGGACTGTTGGTATAGGAGCTAGAAATTTTACTGATGGCATCGTAGCTGCCATAGCCACAGTTACTCACACTCGCATGTGTGAACCGAAAAGAATCATTTCCATAAATAGGACAAAGCGTCGTAGGTGTACCAGCATTGCTGTTACTCTCGACACTACCAGTACCTCCACCACTTGGTATTGTAATCGCATCTGTGAACGAAAAATCATCATAATCTCCCAAATCTGAAAAGCTACTGGACGTCTGCCGTGTGGCACTGGGTCGATCAAGATTCATTGCCGCATTCGTGTCTGTCTCAAAATCCAGTGCAATTGCTAATTTAAATCGATCTCGGTCTTTCGCTTCTGTCAGTCCCGCATCTTCAAGCTCTTTACACTCCTCATTAATCTTCGCTTTCGTATCTAAACCAGCATCACGTAAATTATCTTCTTTATCACTCACATCTTGTACCCCATGATCCTTATCTTTGTCTGGATTACTGTGACTTTCTTCCAAATCAGAGTCAGTTTCCGTCGCTGTACCTGACATTGGAGCAGCAGCTGGTATTGGTCTTCTATCTGCACCATGTTTTCGTATATGTTTATCTGTTCCTGTCGTATACAACTCCACACTAGAACCATTACTACTAGATGACGCAGGTGATGTAATCTCCACTGGTCTCGTGTATAATAATACACTTGTATACTCGACATCATCTTGATGATACTCATCCAACTGTAGCTGCGTACAGGGCGTAATACTACGTCCTTTCTCTTCCATCTCATCCACTCGATCACGACATCCATCATCTGTCACCACATTTACATACAACTCACTCTCTCGTTCACTAGCCATTCGATCTTTATTGTTTTTGGTATTTGATACCAAGAATATCAACTCTCTCTCAAAACTGATATTAACTCTCTCTTAAAACTGATATCAATCTCTCTCTCAATATCCTGTTAAAATGTTAAATCTGTATCATAAAAGTAATAAACATTTAATCAGGTTTTTCAAATTTAATAATCCGCATTTTATCAATTCTTCACGTCTGATAATATTAACACACTGTACCACTCTACTAGTTTAGCTTACAAATGATAAAAAGATGGAATGTAGACACGACTCTGTGGGTCAAAAATAAAGGGATTGAAAAAGAAACAATCGATTAACTTTTCTTTCTCTTCTGACGTCGTCTTAGAAGCGATAGAAGAAGCACAAGGGGTTTTTTTTGTATGGATAAAAATGTATTACTTTATAAAAACTACTCAAAAGCATCCCTACCCCTCTTTGCTATACATGCCACGTGGTATTATCTATCATGTAAAATAAGTTCGTTGATATCACAAAACGGTCTGAATGTATGTATGTGTCCTTCATTCTTAGTATGCAAACCAAATTGCTTAGCAATAAAAGTCAATCAAAAGCTGAAAATGACACTGGGTCCTTATCATTTCTTCTTTAGTGATGTGACAGAGCTAGCAAACAACGTAGCTGGAAAGTCACGCTCTTCAATATCAGTCTCCCCTCCTACTGTTTCCGTGTGTTCTGCTTCTTCTTTATCCTCCTCCTCCTCCTCCTCCAACTCAATCTCTTCTTCGTTCGCTACTTCGACAATGTGCTTTTGGCGCACCTTCCGCTCGGTCTCAGATTTTTCCACTTCCCTTTTCCTCTCCTTTGCATCGTTCACTTTATCAGCTACCGGCACATTAAGCTGTGCTTCTAAACTGGCCATTGCATCGTTATTCACGACAGATGCTGGTGTTGATGCTGCAACCATTCCTACAATCTTCGATGACTGTCCATCTTCAGGAGCACTTTCAGACGCGACATAGTTTACTTGAGAGTATTGGGCCACCACAGAGCGTTTGATCCGCAGCATTTCAAGGAATGTGTGCTCGGAGCCGTGAGAGACTTCAAACTCATGCCACATCTTCCAAAATGACTTTTCGTGTTGCCGCGGGTTGCAGAATTGAGATGCGTGTGCGTAGATGGCTCTTGCACGGTCGAATTCGCCCAGCTTTGTCTCCATTTCTGCAAACTTTAGACACAAATTCGGGACACAATTGTCTGGTAGCTGCTCGATACCACGCTGGTACACACTGCGTACTTTTGCCACGCCAAAAAACTTTTGAGCCTTCTTTACGTACCCATCGTATATCGCCAATTTGTCTTCATCAGGCACAGCGTCAGAAGCACGCTCATAAATTGTCATCACGTTGCGCAGCATACCGTGCTGCTCTTCAAACTCGGCAAACTTCTCGTAGAATTTACGGACCGACTTAGCCGGAGCCGCACGGATAGCCTGCTCGCACAAGTCACGAGTACGTTCTACTTTAGTACCAGCATAGCGTTGCACAAACTTGGTCAGGTAGGTTTGCCACAGATCTTCCGCATGCGGAAATTTTGGAAAGAGCGCCAAACCGCGCTCGTACACACGAAATGACTCCTCAAAGTACTTATTCTCCTCCAGGTATGCCGCGAAGTTCAATACCATCTGAGGTGTGATAATCTTGAGCTCAAAGACCGCATTGTATGCAGCGCGAGTTGACTCGAGGTCACCAAGACTCTCCTCCAGGTCTAAGCGCAGCGTCCACAACTTCACGCTAAGATGTACATTGTCCTTAGCAGTTAACGCCTGCTGCTTGCGCAAACGAATGGTGCGTGAGGTTGAAATGGTGCAAGCACCACGCACAAGTATAAGCGCTTCATCAAAGTTTTCGTGCCGAAGCTCCAGTTCCACCCATTCAATGTACACAACTGCCAGTTCCTGGAAGCTACGGTATTCCACATCCAAAGCCTTCTTAAAAATCGTTCGTGCGTTGCTCAAGTCGCCATGTTCGTCGTAAAATTTTGCGAACTGGACCCACAGCGTTGGTAAGCGTCCACCTGACTTGACTGGGTCGACTGTCTTTACTGCCTCAGCATATGTGCGAATAACTTTCGATAAATCAAACTTGACCAACTCTACACGTTTTTCCCATTCCCGCACGTTGTGAGGGTTTTGTCGCAGCAGCACTGAATTCAGCAGCAGAGGTCGTCGTTCAGCCACATCCTCGTACACCTTTAGCAACCGGTCCACTTGTGCTTGATGATCTACGTCGTCGTCATCATCATCATCTTCATCCCCTCCAGCCGCGAGGTCCATCTCGGCCGTGAGCATTGCCTCAACAAACTTTACGTAAGCGTCAAAGATCATGCTGAAGTCGCGCACAGTAAGTACCGTGCGAACTCCCTCTTCGTACACATCTCGAGCCGATTCAAACATTCCAAGTCGAACAAAGTATGTCGCTAAGGAGCACCAGAGTCGTCCCACCTCGTCACTAAACCGTGTCATTCCACTACGCAAGATCGCTTCAACATCCAGCGACTTTGCCACACGTGTCGGATGCTGGGACACCATATCACAAAGTTGCATCCACATACTATGCAGCGTCCGGTTCGTGCTTGCTTCTAGGTCCTGGGTTGTCTCAATAAGCTTCACAAGCTGCAAACTGGCCTCTTCGAAGTGCTCCACTGACACCAAATAGTCTACAAAATCTCCTCGTTTTGAAGGCTCTAGCATCAAATATCTCTGATATACACGCACTGCTGTACGTGACACGCCAATTTGCTTGACAAAACGTAAATACGGCGTCCAGATGCGATGGTGCTGAGTAATGGGCAATGCTCGGAGCGCTCTGTCAAACACATGACGACGTGTTGTCACCACGTGCATTTCTTGTAGCACATTAAGATATTCCAGCCACAATGTCGGCATTGTAGATAATTGAGTGAGTGCGCGTTCGTACAGTGCCACGAGTTGTGGAAATAAAGGCGAGTCTACCCGTTGTCCACGCACTTGGGTCTCGTACATATCATCTAGATACATTTTCCAAAGTTTATAGCTACGTGGAAGAGAGTAAAGTCCTCGTTCATAGATATTGTACCGAGTAGAGATTGGAGCGTCAGAAAGAGCGCGGAGATACGAGATCCACGTCTGTATAGCGAACGGCTGGCGTATAACCTCCTCTTCATACTCAATCAATGCATCGTCAATCTATTAAATAGTATCAATTATTATTATTATTATTAGCATAATAGTAGAAGATAAAGTTAGTGTATCACAAAGAGAGCAAAAGGACGGAGGAGAAAGCCATACCGTAGTCGCATTGGTAGCAGTCCATGGTGTCATGACAATAACGAGAGAAAAGCTGAGCAGATATACCGGTATGATCCCGATGAAATGGTGTTATACACATATTTTTATGTACTGCACCTAACACTCGAAACTCATGGCTATTTGCATAATACGCAGACTGTTTTAATCGATCAAAGTGATAGAATTATTCATTATCTCAGTACTCCAGCAATGAGATGCGCGAGAAGCTCGCACGGTAAACGCCATGCCAGTTTCGTCGCTAAGTCTCTAAAGTTGAAGTTAATTGCTAGATCAAACACGGATATGTGCACAATATACAGAGAGCATGGCAGCAAACGCTCTGTCTTTTTTGAGAATCCTGATGGATTAAATAACGTTGTCCGAGTCGGAATCATTGACTAAATTCGTGGCGTCAGCGTTTCTGCTGCCTGTGGGGGACTGGGTGGAAGGCGTAGACCTGGTGGTACAAATCGCGTCGTTATTGTTCAACCCAAACGTGTCGCACGACTTGAACATGCTTGTACAGGATGCTGGAGTCTGTGCGGCGTACAGGAGCCTGGCTGGCAACGGGTTTTCCAGCTCCATGATACTCTGCGTTATGATCTTTTCCATCTCCTTCGAGTTGCGCAGCTGCAGCTGTGCAAACTCTACAAACAGTTTCTTAAGCTCGATCGCCTTTTGGCCACGAAAACGTGCCACCTCGCCCATCACACGAGCATGCACACGCTCGTACTCGTCTTTGACAGCTACAAGCTCGTTGCTAAGCCGGGCGACCGACGGAGAATTTGGACCATCACCGTTCACTGCCTTTTGATGTGCAGCGAGCTGTGCCTGGTACAGATACCTGCGGTCTTCTCGCACGTCAAGAGCATTCTGCACGGCCTTGATCCAACGAGCAATGTCGTCAACACTGATGGAGAAAGCTTCAAGCTCGGCGTCCATTTGGCGAGCGCGCGTGTCTAGCACAGCCACCAATGCAATGTAATAAGACGACGGCATCTCTGAGTTCTCTTCCTCGGCGTCGGCCACCCAGTTGAGACACTCAATGAGGTCGCAATGGGCACCGGCCGCCAGCTTATTCTGTTGGCTGGCAGCGCGTACTTTCCTCTTTAGCAACTGAATTTGTGCGTGCAGCTTGACCACATACTTGGTAGCATTTGTAAACTCTAGATCCTCAATGACACCACCATTTTCTCCATCCTCGCCATTGTTACGCAAGCCAAAAATGCTGAGTGCGTCATTCTCTACCATACGCTGGTATGTCTTCCCCCACCAATTATGAAGCATCTGTGTGCGCTGTACAACAGACGACAAGGTCGTGGCATCAAGAGCATTAGCACGCTGTGCTTCGACCTTGAGAGTGGTGAGTTCCACAATAGAACACTCGAGAAAACTGCAAAAGTAGTTGGAGTTCCGGAGCTCGTCGTGATTTACCACCTTGCGCAAGAAACGCTCAAGACCGCCACGACGATGCTCGAGGAACTCAGGACCTTGTAGTAGCCCTACAACCTTGGCTGGGAGTGGTGGAATCACATAACCAGCGCACTGCTTCGATAGTTGAGTGTGCAGCCATAGGAAGTCCGAATAGCGACGTTCTACGACCACGTCGTCAGCTGATGCGACCTTGTACACAAAATAAGAGTTGACTCCGTCTCCAACCTTTCCAGCAGCACCTACAGTAATATTCGTTGCAAGATTACTACTACTTAAGTCCACCTCATTCATCTTAATGTTACTTAGGACTCGGTAATCGAGTGATGGAGAAAGAGACTGCGGCGTTTGAGATATATTTAAAAAGTGAAAGGTCTTGAGCATGATTAATTCCATACCACAAGCAGCTGTTAGCAGGCATGAAACGGATGGAGCACCAGCCGATCATCGGACAGCGCAAAAGGCCACGAGTGAATCTTCCTCACCATCATTTTGACGACCAAACATATTGATCTCTTTATGCTCACATACAAATACACTGTTTAAATGATAAAATGTCAAATGATAGTTCCACTGACTTGTCTCAAAACATGGACAGGACATAGTCAACGATGACAATGTTGCTAGCAGCAATCATTCGACTTTATACAATGAATATATAACATTGTCTCACGTTATGTCTGTATTATTACGTAATCAGACTGTATCGCATGACCAGACACGAGCAGATCGAAGCAACAAATCTTTCTTCGAGACAATGTGGTTCTCTTGTGCGACGTTTAGGGATGTTACATCCATCGCCCGACAGACAAATAAATCACAACATCTTAACTTTATACAATAACAAATCTTGAGCACTAAGACGTCCGTCCTACTATACGTCTAAAAAAGAATACGCTCTGTCGCAAGCTATGCACTTAATGCTACTAGCACCATCAACTTTCCTTAACCGCATTATCGTTAAGAGAACATAGACCAAAGTGCATGTCTGCGTATGTTTGTACCATTTGTTGTCAGAGCTTGAACAAACTCAATATTGTTTCTAAAAGAGCTATCGAGCAGTTGCTGCAGCTCAAAAATCAGTGGCAAATACATTCTAGCATAAGAGTAAAGCAAATTTATAACCTGGCAGCCTGATATATCAATTACAGTAGTGCTCACAATTCATTATGATTACGTAACGACTCTTGTATGGATATTGAGCCAGCTCTGATGTATACGCCGCAAAGTGTTGCACCTTCTTCGCCAGCCTCGTGTGGTTCCAGCTTGCCTGCACGAAACATGCCAACAATTGGAGAATCGAATATGATTATAACCTTCTACTACTTCTGTCGCAACTTTTGAGCTAGAGTTTCTCAGGCAGCACCATTCTCCAAGCCGTTTATAAAGTGAAGGACTATATCTCACCTTTGGTTTATTAAAACGCTTGCGTACCCATTCCGCTTTCGCATCAGCTTTTTGCTGTTTTTTCAGTAGCTTCGGATCTGTAATTAAGTCACGCGTTCCTTGATTAGACTCGAGTTTTGGCGATGTCAAAGTTTGGAAACTTTAGTGTGCAGACTTTACCGGTTCGACAATTGACTCGGCATCGCGTGACTTCATCGGGTCTGCAACACTCTGCTTCTTTGATGCACCCCCGTTCAGCATCAATGTATGAGCCGCAGTTGTTGCAGTTTCTTCGATTGCCTCGTGTGACTTCATCGTGCCTGCACTACGCCGCTTCTTTCTGGCAGGATTTTGCTGTTCAATCATCCCATTTAGCTCCCTTATAAACCGCGCGATTTTTCAGAAAGGTTTTCATCAGGTCATCCATCTCTCGCTTATATTTATCCAACGGCTTCTCTTCAGCAATACCTTTTTGCTGTGACTTCGGTAGCTCTTGATGCATTGTAATTATCCCGTCGTGCATACCTTGATTAATAATGTGTACAACCGGTGTCAAAGCCTTCGAAACTTTAGACTCGTCTACGTTTTTTTTTTTGGTGGGTTTTTTTTTGTTTGTTTTTTTTTTTTTTTTTTTCTTCCTTCCTCCTTTCTCCTTCTTTTTTTTTTTTTTTTTTTTTTTTTTTTTTTTTTCTTCTTTTATTTTTTTAAAAAAAAAAAAAAAAAAAAAAATTTTTTTAAAGTTTTTTTTTATTTTTTTTTAGAGTTTTTTTTTTAAAAATTTTTTTTTTTTTGTTTTTTTGGTTTTTTTGGTTTTTTTGTTTTTTCCTCTTTTATATTTTTTTTAAAATATTTTAAAAAACGGTTAAAAAATTTTTGAAACTTTAGACTCGTCTACGGGCGTTTTGCTGACGTTACACGTCCCGCAATTTGTATGACTTCAGGTATCAGATTGTCTACGTGAGGCATCCTCTCTTCGACGTCCACTTCCTGTTGAGACAGGGCTTGACGAAGGGACCTTTGACCTTTCGGAGTGTTTGACTGAACATCATTAGATTTGTCGACTTCCAACCAGTTTGCGTGACTTGCGGTCGAGACAGCTTCGTCAGTCGTAATGAGGGAGGCACCAGCGAGCAGCAGTATCTGGTAAACTTTCATTTACGACGGTGTTTGACCGATCCTTAGTTGTTGTTAAAAGTACAATGACAATTGCAGAATGAAAGAACATTGATCCAATGTAAAAGTTAAACCACTTACGATTTCATTCAACACGTAGCTAGCAACTGCTTAGCTGATTCACTGCGGTAAGGATTTGGTCAGCCACGCTGCCAAAAAGTCTAAAACGGTATATCCGTTTTTATCGGTACAGAAACGATATGGATACCAGTAGTGGAACGCGTATGTACGTATTGTAAAAATGCTTTTACAATAAAAAGAGGTAGGTTCTTATCACCTTGTGTTTTCTATTGTCTATGTTGTGTAAATGGAGACTAGTTCATTTGAAATAAGCGTAAAACTGGTCTAATATGTAGTGGAATGTGTAGCTAAAGTTACTGAACACCTCGCAAATCATCATTGTACTAAGCATATTGTGCATTGTTTCCTATTGACACAGGTGCATATTTATGCAAGAAAAGAAAGCAAAAGCGAAGAGACAGAGTGGTGTAGACTTGTGACGATAGCAGAAAACGCACAATGCAATGACGTCTGCAAACCAAGGGGATCCGACTATTTGGATACCACACTGCGACACATTTGTTGACAGAATGCACCATACGAATTTGACTGGTGCCTAATGATTTTCCACAAATTTGTAAGCTACCTTGAGTGAATGCCAGTTTGATTGCTGACATCCCGAGCAACTATCTGGTCGGACCAGAAACCGAATTCATTGGACTGTAGATTAAAGCACAGCGCTGAGTATATAACATCGCCTTTCTGTTTGATTAAGTAGTACAGGTGCGCGTTATTAGCACTGCTCCATGCTGGCGCACGAAGCAAATGCCACTGTACATGTTAATTATCTATTTATGCATCAGCAACTGATGATGTTTCTGCTCTTTTCGGTTGGTTTACCAATATCTGCTCGAAAACAAGTAGAATAAAACATTTGCATGATGGCAACAGCACATTTACTTATGACTACAGACGCATGCCGACAACCGCAAACGTTGTACGATTCTTAAAAGTTTAATGATAGATGCCAGCCTTTGAAATATAGTTAATGGGTGGCCGTGCTGAGGCATAGCACACACTTACGCAAGCACAAGATTTTGTACTAGCAATAATTCGAGTGGTTCCCTTGTTAGTGAAGCACAAATTGAAACTGCTAACGCTGCTTCTAGTCAACAGACCCGATAATTAACTTAATCTGCGCCGGTAAATACCATACTCATGAAAGACGCAAATACTAATACGTCAGACACCAGAAGCCAGCCCAACTGAGAACCGTTGATCTGCTTTGCAGACACAATCCCCGTTACAATCTATACACCAACGGTTGTAAAAAGGATGGCAGTAAACTTACCGCATCGACTCGATGCAAAATAGAGGGAATGGCGAGTGTTGCAATCCACAGAAGCGCCTCGAAGAAGCATCCAAAACTAGTCCAGACACTGGTGGACGGTCAGAACAAAAGTATTAAGAGAGAAGTGCGATTCCACCATCGTTTCAGTCATTTCCCACCTATGATCGTCGCTTCCAGCCAGCGAGTAGAAAATAGCCGCTGTCATGGGCACCAATACGTACGGAATAACTAAAGAATGAATAGCCACATGACTCAAAACAATTCACATCATTTTCTTAAATACTTTCTCTCCATTCAGGTACGCACGAACAAAGAGTCCCCATGGTGTTGAATATGCAGCCGAAGCGACAATAACTCCCATGAGTGCCAGCAGCAGTAAAGATCCGGAAAAAATCAGTCGAATGTCTATGTTACCATTGCATATAGTCAGATAAACCACACAAAAACACCTTGATGATGGTACTAGATTAAGAATCAGTCAGTCAGTCTGTCATCTTACTCTGCTTCATGTTTTTCTATTCGAATTCAATAATCAGTCTCATCCATATATATGAACCAATGAAAAGACGCAATCATCGTCGTCTTCAAAATCCACCAACCACCATTTCCACCAATCCATTCTAGAAAAATGGCTGATGCATCAGAACAGATGAAGACTACTACATCAGTATCAACGACTGTCGCTCCTACGATCGAATCAAGTGTTATAGCAGCTAATGAGGATGCTTTAATGCAGGAGAAATTGATTAGTGAGGAATATAAAATTTGGAAGAAAAACACGCCGTTTCTGTATGATTTGGTGATGACCCATGCACTTGAGTGGCCCTCGCTCAGTGTACAGTGGCTTCCTAACTCTTACACGTAAGTTGTTTAACCTTGAAATTTTATTTGCAACAGTTGTGTACCTTTTTACAGAAGAAGCTTGGATCAAGGTTTAATGAAATGCTGGTGGTTATAATTGTACTTGACAAGCTCGGCGGGAGACGATTTCTCTGTCCACAAGCTACTGCTAGGCACGCATACATCCGGCGCAGAGCAGAATCATTTGATGGTAGCAGAGGTACGCCTTCCTTTGGAAGAGACGGAGATTGATGCTCGCAAATATGACGAAGAGAGTCAGGAGCTTGGTGGATTTGGAGGTGTTTCGGGCAAAGTAGACGTTAAGATCCGCGTCAATCACGATGGTGAGGTGAATCGTGCACGTTTCATGCCATCTGATGAACTTATTGTAGCCACCAAGACGCCTCATGCTGAGGTACATGTGTTTGACATTTCGAAGCGGCCGTCGCAACCCGAGGAGAGCTCCAATTCTAACCCGGACTTTCGCTTGCTTGGTCACACCAAGGAAGGTTATGGTCTATGCTGGGACCCTCACAAACCTTTCCATTTGATTTCTGGCTCGGACGATGCTGTTATCTGTGAGTGGGATATTCAAAACGCTGGCAAGATCGTTGAGCCGCTGCGCAAGTACAGCGGCCACAGTGATGTGATTGAGGATGTGGCGTGGCACATGCATCACACCAAGATTTTTGGCTCTGTGGGTGATGACAAGAAGTTACTCATGTAAGCTCGCGTATGAAAACGTATGTGTATTTGTTGTATTCATTGATGGCGGATTTATCAACTTTGACGATTGTAGCTGGGATATGCGCTCGGAGAGCTACGACAAGCCGGCAACGACCGTGTATGCTCACACGGCTGAGGTCAATTGCTTGGCTTTCAGTCCTTTCAGTGAGTATTTGATCGCTACGGGATCGGCGGACAAGCACGTCAACCTTTGGGATATGCGTAACATGAAGGCCAAGCTGCACTCGTTTGAGGGCCACAACGATGAAGTATACCAGATCCAGTGGTCACCCCACAACGAGACTATTTTGGGCTCTTGCTCGGCTGATCGCCGAATGCACGTGTGGGATCTCAGCAAGGTAATTTAGTGTTAGTCGGTTAACAATCGGCCCTTGTCTGACTGCATTATGCCTTATTTTTGCCATGAAGATTGGCGATGAGCAATCGCCTGAAGACGCTGAAGACGGTCCCCCGGAGCTGCTATTTATTCACGGTGGTCATACTTCCAAGATTTCAGACTTTTCATGGAACCCGAACGACCCGTGGGTGGTGGCTTCGGTGGCAGAGGACAATGTCCTTCAGATTTGGCAGATGGCCGAGAACATTTATAACGAGGAAGATGAGGAGACTGAGCAGGTTGATGTTGCTGACGAAGAGCTTGAATAGACCACAATCTCTAGGGGCTCTTTTGACAGCTTCACGCTTTTGGTGCAGCTGTCTTTGGTATAATGGCTTCGCTAGACCTAAAAATTGTTGTAGAAAGCGTGACCGTTACCTGTTCAGATATTCCATAGCCGCGGCATGTCTCGTTTACCGTCATCCGAGCTGCAAGCTCAACGGAAGAGGAGGCTTCATGGTCTCAATTTGAATATACAAGGATGCTGCTTGCCGAGGGACCGAGAAACTACGGCCCGACAGCAAAGATTAGAGAACGTGAAACAGTAGAGCTTTATGTGCCCGTGTTGCTTGGATGTCAAAAGGTCAAGCGGTAGCACAGATAGAAGAAGCACCAGCGACCAATTTTGGGTCCACATCTTAGCCATTTCACTTGCAGTTGCGTCCTTGGCAGGGGCCGGCCAACTTGACTACGCGCCACATACCCGCCCTCTTTTTTATCCTGCTTACTACGCTCTCTCAATTCATCAACACCACTAGCTACAGGTGACGCGCCTTGCCTGTAGCAACGTGACAATATTTTTGCGCTCGCATCTTAGTCACCAGCTTGTGGTACGTACTCAACAGCAAACTTCATCATCTCTAAGGTGGCACTCTCACTACATGCGGACAAACTCATCTGTATTACTAGTAGACAAGTTCATCTCTCCTACAGTCTCAGACATACCAGGCATTGTCAATCAATTGATCTATGTCCTTATCTCCGCACTCAAATGGATTTCATGCGCCTATGAATCTCTGTGGATGTCCCACAACTTCGCTGCACTCACACTAGCGTCTTTAGCACCACTTCACGCCACAACGTTATTTGACAAATTGTCGATACTGTTGCTATCTAATTTGTTCTAGTTGATCATTCGCGCCCCTGCGTTGCATGAGAACAAATTCTTTGGATAGACACCAACAGTTATTGCATTGGGTGAAAGAAAGACCCAATTGCTTGACAAGCATCTTTGTTTGCATAAGATGAGCTACTACGACTCGTCACTTTGTCTAACTGCATGTTCAGCGGCCATTTTTTTTATTGCAAGACAACTTGCCTTGACTTTGAACTGTCTATGAGTCATCAAGAGTCAAATTTACGAGCCATGTCGGTGTATGTTGTTGCTTTGGGCCTTACTTTACGGCCTATTATTTCAACTCAACACTTGATAGCTTCACGAAGCTTCAACACAATCTGTGCTTGAAATGGGAAAACCATACCCTTAGCTACTGTAAACGCTCTTGTAGTCTATTATAGATCGACTCAATGCTGTCAGCAGTAGTAGTAATTAGATCACTTGACATGGCAATACAATTGGATAAACACTGGGCGTTCGGGTCGTAGTTGCAGAGTTCGTTTCGATTGAGCTAAATTGAACTGCATCACTTGTCACTCCTGCAACTGAGGGTGTAGCTTTGAGTATGAAGCCTCGATATACCTTATCATCAAGGTTGTGCAAACCACTTGGTTTAAGTCACGCAGCATTAATTGTTCGAGAAAGGGAACAATAGTTTGAAATGTGTAGACAAGCGTGACAGCACCTTTTTTCCTTTGCAGTCCGAATATCGACGCCTTCTCATGTAAGTCGTCGGACACTTTAGACAAGCCTCTGCATCCAACCTAATACTTGTCACACGGGACATGACAACTTGAAGCTGATAAACTTGAGCACTGACAGAATATCGTGATGGAGAAAGATCATTGTGTTTGGAACGAATGTGCTGTCACTATCATGAAATTGTGCTTTTTTAGCGCAGATATTGGTAAACCAACCGAAAAGAGCAGAAACATCATCAGTTGCTGATGCATAAATAGATAATTAACATGTACAGTGGCATTTGCTTCGTGCGCCAGCAGGGAGCAGTGCTAATAACGCGCACCTGTACTATTTAATCAAACAGAAAGGCGATGTTATATACTCAGCGCTGTGCTTTAATCTACAGTCCAATGAATTCGGTTTCTGGTCCGACCAGATAGTTGCTCGGGATGTCAGCAATCAAACTGGCATTCACTCAAGGTAGCTTACAAATTCGTGGAAAATCATTAGGCACCAGTCAAATTCGTAAGGTGCATTCTGTCAACAAATGTGTCGCAGTGTGGTATCCAAATAGTCGGATCCCCTTGGTTTGCAGACGTCATTGCATTGTGCGTTTTCTGCTATCGTCACAAGTCTACACCACTCTGTCTCTTCGCTTTTGTCTTTTCTTGCATAAATATGCACCTGTGTCAATAGGAAACAATGCACAATATGCTTAGTACAATGATGATTTGCGAGGTGTTCGTAACTTTAGCTACACATTCCACTACATATTAGACCAGTTTTACGCTTATTTCAAATGAACTAGTCTCCATTTACACAACATAGACAATAGAAAACACAAGGTGATAAGAACCTACCTCTTTTTATTGTAAAAGCATTTTTACAATACGTACATACGCGTTCCACTACTGGTATCCATATCGTTTCTGTACCGATAAAAACGGATATACCGTTTTAGACTTTTTGGCAGCGTGGTCAGATCCGGCTGACCAAATCCTTACCGCAGTGAATCAGCTAAGCAGTTGCTAGCTACGTGTTGAATGAAATCGTAAGTGGTTTAACTTTTACATTGGATCAATGTTCTTTCATTCTGCAATTGTCATTGTACTTTTAACAACCACTAAGGATCGGTCAAACACCGTCGTAAATGAAAGTTTACCAGATACTGCTGCTCGCTGGTGCCTCCCTCATTACGACTGACGAAGCTGTCTCGACCGCAAGTCACGCAAACTGGTTGGAAGTCGACAAATCTAATGATGTTCAGTCAAACACTCCGAAAGGTCAAAGGTCCCTTCGTCAAGCCCTGTCTCAACAGGAAGTGGACGTTGAAGAGAGGATGCCTCACGTAGACAATGATACACATTCTGTATCTCAACTGCTTGAAGAGTTTCCAGATAATGTAAAAACTAATCTCATGTCCGAATTTTTAAATCATCTGAAAACTTCATTTCCTTCTCTTTTCAAATTTTTGAAAGAAAACCCACATTTACTGGATTTAAATCTGGCTAAGTAAACAATATGAAGTATTAGTTGGCGTTCGTGAATCATCTGAAGAATCTCATACATAGTCAGCCAGATAGCAAGGTAAATCAAGTGGTGAAGCTACACGATCCAAGCAAAGAAACGGCAATGAATGCGACTCAAAAATTAGAGCTGGCTCGGGATGCACGAAAGAACAGGAAGGATATACGCAGAAAGGAACGTGATGGAGCCACGATTTAAGGGAATGGTAGAGAGATAAAGCTTGAAGAGAAAATGCATCGAATGCGGATGAAGCATAAAATTGTAGGATTTAGTAGTAGAACTGTACGTAATCGGCGATAGAAATGGGTCAGATTAATTTCCACTTGTCTGTGCTAAACTCACTGCGATGTCGACCACATGGCGCTAACGTTGGAGCTGATGGAAAAACAAAAATACAGCAAACGGACAGACATTTGCTGCGAAGACCGTCACCGAAAGCATCACTACTCGTTCTTGCGATGCGACTTGTGGCGCAGAGGGCAGCGTAAAAGCTGATGACATTACGCTAAATATAAACTAGACACGAATTGTATCTGTGGAAGCGAAATGATGTGACGTAGTGTACTTTTATAATCCATCTTATTACCAGGGTTCCGTCATTGCTGTCGATTTGATCGACTTCGTCCGACTAACATATTTGCAATGTAATTTGCATGCATAGAGAGGGGCTTAGTACGATTTCGTTAAGGGGGTGCTTTTTGCATCTACAAACGTCTTTACTATGCATCTCGAAGAGTCCATCACTCCTGATGAGCTATTCAATCAATTGGAGAAGAGAATGTGTGAGATGTCGGAATGTGTCAAGGAGTTTCCTCGAGCCATAGAGCTCCTGAGTGCGCTGCAATCGCATGGGATTCCCATCGCTCTTGCTACATCCAATAGCAAGAGTGTCGTGGAGTCGAAAATGACGCAATATCCCAAGCTTTTCTCCTTCTTTTCTACTATTGTATGTGGTGACGACCTCTGCTGTAAAATGTGGCAAGCCAGCACCTGACATCTTTTCGCACTGCTGGTCAACGTCTTTTTGGTCTAAAGGAGGAAGAAGATGGTGAGAAGCCCCCGTGCTGCCTCGTGTTTGAAGACTCGGTGAATGGCTATACTGCTGCTAAAGCAGCGAAGATGCACAGTATTGCTATTCCTGACATTAGTATTCATACGGATGATAAACAGAGAGCTGAGCTCTTTGGCGATGCTGATGAAGTGATCAGTCGATTACACAGTTTCAGATCGACAAGTATGACTGGCAGGTGTAAGGAACTAGCAGAAGTTGCTAGCTCTTTTGTGCTGGGTGATCGCTCTCGTGACCTGCAAGCGTTCTTATCAATTGTGAACGTTTACTCAGGTTTTCAATTACTACATTGCAATATGTTTAACAAGTTGCTAAAGACCGAGACACGGTGCAACGCCGTATATGCTGTCTTATCGTGTGCCAGAAGCGAATACAAGAACAGAACAGCAATGAGGAAGAGCTGCAATAGAGAGCAGGGTATTGCAGTAAGAATATGGCGAAAATTTTGAGTCACAAAACGACAAACGGCATTGATTTTGCGTCATCTCGGTGTGCTTGACGCAAGAACGATAAATGATAATTGTCGAGACCATTTTAGGTGAAGTGGAGTAAGTTAAATGAAGTAAAGCTGTCTTCAATGGCAACTTACTCCACCTCACCTGAAATGGTTGCACATGCAGAAGCGCACTGCCAATCTTTGAAAGTGCAGCATTAACAAAGCGTGGTGTCGATTTTATTGTGCAATGCCATTCGAATAGGCTTTACGGTACAACTTGACGAGGTCGTTATACTACTACACAATACGTATGGTATCATATGTTTATCTGGTACGAGTGGTCGGTTTCTTTGGCTCCGACTGAAGCCAATTACGCTCGCAATTGTTCAAAAACTTGCACCTGCTTGCTACCCCTGCGTGCAATCACTTCCAAAACGACAGCAGTAGATGTGTCATAAACACAATTGGCACCAGGTTACTGCTCCATTGCGGGCATGTGCTGGTTGTTCTTGTGTCAGGCAAAAACATGGCAAGAATTTTTTTGAGTCTGCGGACCAGCGCATTGATGTAGCTCTTGACGACGACAAGAAGTCTTGCAGATTACTTACTAAAATGAAATGAAGTTGCAAGTTAACGATGACTATGTTCAACAGAAGAGCATGAGCAGAGGACATTCAGAATTTAAATTAGTTTCATCTACCATGCGTAACCATAGCCAGCTGTTAGAACCAATGTCTGTCTCAAGCGATACCAATCGCGACGTCAATCCTGATAGCAACGGAAGGTATGAAACAACAGGGGCTACATGTCGAACAAACACTCGCCGAAAATGTCCATTCAAGAAGCATACTGTCCGCTGCAAGATGCAAACCGAGCAGCGTGCTTCACATCTGCTGACAAATACTAGTGCTCTCTAGCGTAATACTCAGGATACTTTGCAACATGTTCAAACATCTCACACTCTTGTTCCTAACATGTCACAGCCAATGAATGAGTATTCTCGCATGAAACAGATCAAAGGATAAGGACAAAACGCCAAACGTACGAGCAGATGCGGCATTTTGACGTCATACACATCCTCAAACATCGTTTTCAGAGCAGCCGGCTCCTTCGACTCGGCTTGCTGTAATGCAGCAAGGACATTTGTTCGTTCATTATCTTGCATGTGACGATCCTGCTCTTCCGTCAGCCAGCCGCGTTTCTTCAATAGCAAAGAACTGTTTTAGTTTCTTGCAAACCAACAACGGCAGCGGAGCGGTGTTTGCGTACCATCATATAACGCTTCGTCCGGTCGACCGGATCACAGGTCTCCTTCCAGTGCTTGATGTCTGCCACAGCACGGTACTGCGTCGAGTCATCTGAAGTGGAGTGGTGACCCTGTCGGTAGGACATAGCCTCGATAAGCACGGGCCGGTTCTCCTTCAAAATGAACTCACGAGCACGCCGAGTAACTTCGTGCACAGCCAAAAAGTCATTGCCATCAACGCGCATGACAGGAATCCCGTATCCACTGCCACGTGATGCGATACCGTCGCCACGGAATTGCTCAACAGTTGGTGTACTGATAGCAAAACCATTGTTCCGGACAATGAACAAAATAGGGCACTCCTTCGTGGATGCTATGTTTAATGCAGCATGAAAGTCACCCTCACTAGCAGCACCTTCACCAAAATAGCAAACTGCAATGCGGTCTTCCTTCGCCAATTTAAACGCGTAAGCAGCTCCAGCAGCCTGCAAGTGAATCCGCCACGACAACATACGCATCAGCACTACTCAAACCAAGCTCTCTACATCAATACATGCTGTATGCAATTTCGTACCTGAGGAAGCTGCGTGGCCAATGGTGACGAAATCGTTTGGTGATTAAGGTTTTTAGAGCCATAGTGCACTGGCATTTGACGACCTTTACCATGTCCGTCTTTATTGCTAAAGCATTGATCAGCAAACTCCTGAAGTGAAAATCCTCGCCACATAAGCACACCAGGTTCACGATATTGTGCAAACACCATATCACAAAGACGCAGTGCTGATGCAGTACCAAATGAAATGGCTTCCTCGCCGTGCGACGTCATGTAGAATGAAATACGTCCTTGACGCTGCGCATCGTAGAAAATATTGTCCATTGTCTACCACATTATTGCAATACAACGTTTGTAACAATAACTTTTCTTTCAAAAGTCAGGACAAAAAACTACAATATCGTACGTTTAATCGAATCATTTGACTGTAAATTTGCGTGCATAAATCTTGACTTCGATGTGGGTCCTTGGCTCCATCAATAATATCTCCATCTTCATTTAAAACTATTACAACAACAATAATCACACAATTATGTTACTTTCCTATTATTGGCAATTGTTGCAATGCTTTTAATCCAAAATTTGTCACTTTACGACGAAAACACGGAAGAATGTCGCTCTCTTTTGGATCTTGAAACACGATATTAGCCACAAATGGCATCTTAGTACCTGGGAAATAGCCAAGTCTTGTGGATGATAGACAACGGACGGAACGATGAACATGAATGAAGCGACGGCGGAGAGAGAATCCGGTCGAGAACATGAGGACAAATTGTAAGATAAGACGACTTTGTTGTTGTAATATTGACGTTAATATTTGTTACTTCTAATCAAATGCTGCATCGTATCATTATGTATGAGTGAATGTTTTAGTTACTTCTTTTTAAATAGTAAAAAGGATTACATACAATCTGACACTGTATGAAATTGTAATATTTCACTAAAAGCAAATAAAGTACAAGCGACGAGACAACCATCGGTGAAGTTTATACGAACATTCTGATTGGCGATGCACTTATGGCAAATCATTTCCTCGCATTTCATTTGATGATTATCACGTCACGACTTGCTCTATTATAGCGAATCATATCGTCTCTTGTTGTTTATTTCAGCCTATTGTAAGGCTGATTGGCCCAAAGCCGTCTCTACCATTCAAACTCGTGTCAATAGTTTCGCAGGAAGTGTCGTCTGTGCCAGCTCAAAGACAACACGATGGCAAAGAGTCTGCGCTCCAAGATCAAGCGAAAGTTCCGCACAGAGTTGCGCAAGCGCATTGGTGTACCACACCAGGCAATTCAGGAGTCAAAAATCCAAGAAAATCTCAAGAAGGCCATTGCTGGTCAAGGTGCGGACAGCTGGACAGTTCTTCTCAGCTATTGCAATATGTTACCAATTATTTCATTTGTTTGCTTACTATAGGTACTGGCAAATCAGTAGCAAGTTTGAAGAAGCTTATGGGTGTTTCCGTGCCCGTTTCTCGCGACGAAATTACTGGATTGGTGAAGGAACGGACGTCTGTGGAGATTGAGGCTACTCTGCTGAACGAGGAGACTGACGCTTGTATGGAGAAGGCCAAGAAGGACAAGATGAAACACCAGAAGAGGAAAACAAAGTTTGTACATTTTCATCAGCTGCGCAAGAAGGGTGTGTAGAGAGCCCTGTCTTAGAAAGATCGGAGATGATGTGCGATCAAATGGCGAGATTGATGAACAGCCGCAAAGACGGATAAGGGACTTGCTGACGATGAGTCCTGATCGACTACTATATTTGTATTTGCTAGTTACTAGTTTTTTATATCTGTTAGGTTTGCTGTTCTAGCCGTCCGTGTTGAAAAGCTGTGTCGAGGGTTTCTCGATCGCCCAATAATATTATTCGTGCATGATTAAAATGTCGAAGATGTTGCATTGAGATCACAGTCAACTCAAACACGTGCACTATGATAGTTTAATCTCCAAGCCAACTTGAATCTTATGTTACTGGATTTTACAAGCACATCATTGCGCTGCAAAACACTGAGCGTGACTTTGGTAGTTTTGATGCAAGACAGCCAAGGCTCTGGTCCAAGGTGCAAGTCAACTCTTTGCAAGCAACACATTTGCTGGACCCTTGTCACCAACTTTTCTTTGTCTACATTTACGTTACTCATCATTGAGTTTTTGTGGTACACGTTTTGATGGTACCTGCGGATCAGACGGCGCTGCAGATCATACTGCTGCGCCAGTCATTGGAGCTTAGTCACCATGTACTCATCCAACTCTTTTGTTACATTATTGTTGACTTCCTTCAATTTGAAAGCATTCAATAGCTCGCCTTGATGTGTATTTCCGGGCTGACAATGCTCTTGTAATATGATTGGTTACAATGAAAACATATTTTAAACCAATCCAAATCTTTCAATGTCGATTACACATTAAGAAGAATGACGACGCCCGTGTCCGAGCTATGGCTGTACTTGGACGCCATTACAGGCCAACAGAAAGGACCTGTGTCGACCAAAATCCTCAAAAAGCTTTTGCGCAAGGGAATTATACAATTACAACAATTAGTGTGGACAAAACGTCTCTCGGAATGGACGGCAATAGCTAATGTGGAGCCGTTGGCAACCTATTGTCGTGTTTGGACAATGGTTTGGTATTATATGACTGAAAAATCTAACGGATTCTAGTAAAGAATCAACTAGAAAAGGTCCAGTCACAACGCATCTTCTTGTTCAGCTTTTTGTCGATGGACAAGTAGACGGTATGACACTTGTCTGGAATCATGAATTGGATGGGTGGAAACCTATTGGTGAGCATGGACAGTCGTTAGCAATGCTTTATTTGTAGTTGTTTTCTCCTCTGTTATAAGTATGGTTCTTTCTTTGCGATTTTTGTATTGTGTGTAGGTGACGTGCCATCATTGAAAGAGTATCTACAAGAAGCCAACAATGAGTTGGATCGTGACGCGAAGTTGCAAGAAAAAGCAAGTGAAGTGCCTGTTGAATACCAAGTGTTTGAAAACAAGTAGGTGTTGTGGAGCTTTTTTATGCGTATGGGTCTCGTCTTTGGTGTTTAGTTGTACCATTTGGTGGCGTTCTTTTCCGTTGCATGCAGATCAACTGACGCTTTCATTGCTGAAGATGGCAAGCAATATGTGTTTGACGCTGAGTTCAAGATGTATATTACGCCTGAAGAAAAGATTGAGGAAGAGCTGGCGTCTTTACAAGAAGAGCTTGTAGTAAAAGCGAAGGCAGAGAAAAACGAGATGGGTCAGCCAAGGGCGAAAGACGGCAATACGGATAAGGATCGACCAGAGACTGATCGAAATAAAAAGCTGCTTGCACCCACTGTGTCGACAACATTCTCTAATGAAGCAAACGTGGATACGGATTCTGTTAAAAAGCGAAAAAAGAAGAAGAAAAGCGACAAGTGGAAACGAAGCAAAAAAAATACATGGGCCTATGTGAACGGCTTACCACTAGATGTCACGGTGCAAGAGGTGCACGATCATTTTGCAAAATGTGGCGTAATCCAGCTGGACATTGTAACTGGTGAACCGCGCATCAAGCTTTATCAAAACCGAGAGAGCGGGGGGTTGAACGTAAGTCTTGCTAGTGATAGGATGTCTTCTAGATCTTCATGCCGTTATGTGTATATTGTTGCCTGTAGGGCGACGGGGCAGTTTGCTATATGAAGGAAGCATCGGTAGAGCTAGCCGTACAACTACTCGACAAATCTCGGATCCGACCTGAGTATGTTTGTCATACTAGAAGGCCTGATGTGATATAGCCACACGAATTAACACTTGTGACTTGTTTCTTTAAACTATTGTAGTTGGCCTATCGACGTATCCCCTGCAGAGTTTCAGCAAAAAGGAGCAGAGTTTGTGAAGCGAAAGAAGAAGAAGATCGATACACGCGCCAAGATTAAAATGTTTGAGAAGGAAAAGGTAAGTTAATATATTGTAACGTATAGGAAGCGTGAGTTTTAAAACGAGGTGATGCGTGTTCATTCTATTAGGCTTTGTCCTGGAATGAAGGTGAAATTAATGAGCCAGGTGGCTTGCGCATTGTGGTTATTAAGCACTTGTTTACCCCTGCTGAAATTGAAGGTGAGTGTGTTAATTGTTGTGCGTGCACGACAACAATTGACCTGTAGGTGCTTTGCTATGAATTATAAACTAGACGAAACATATGAACAAGAACTGCAAGAAGATATTCATGACGAATGCTCCAAGATCGGTGAGGTGTCCAAGATCACGCTTTTTGCGAAGCATGTGGACGGCGTGGTGGTAATTAAATTTGCTTCAAGTGGGTCTGCCGCTCGATGTGTCGAAATTATGAACGGACGGTTCTTTGCTGGCCGTCAACTTGAGTGTAAGTTTTGGAGTGGTACAGACTATACCTACCGCGAAAGTAAGAATGAGGAGAAAGAGCGTGCAGACAAATTTCACGAGTGGCTGGAGGAAGGTTCGTCGTCGTCTGATAGTGAAGCTAACGACGAAGAGCTGAGGAAGCAAGACGAGAAATTATTATAGTAAATGAAGTTTGCACTAGTCGCGAATTACTTCGTGATGAGGAAAGTCATGGTGATACAGACGAGCGAACACATTCTACGATTGGGGTGCATGCCGGTCGGGTCATGCCAGATTCTGAAAATCTCGATCATACAGATTAGTTTGTGAGCTGGTCTCAGATTGATCTTGCACGGCATCTTGTGATGAAGAACTGCGTCCAAGAAATTTTGGTTTTGATTGCTAGTCTCGAAGCGTAGGAAATCGTTCACCAATAGATTTTGGTCTTGCTGTCAACTTGACGTGACTGTCTTGGAAATTACTATATCATCGCATCACTGTTAGCCAGTTATGAAGCATGACTGAAACAGCGACGTGGCTCACTTGTGTACACTGCAGCCTGTCAACTTAGACACATATAGGGAATAGTAATTCGTCGAGCTCACACCAGCCGCGACCGAGGAAGGCAGCAGCAAGATTTTACCATCGTCGACTACTATACTTGAGCCGGAGTTTGTTAGCAGATAACGCTGATAAAGTGTTTTCTGTATTCTGTCAAGATTTTCGTGGTGATAACGACTAGATACTCGATTAAAGCACTCTAACTTTGTTGGCGATGTGTATATTGGACAAAACTTTTAGAGGTAGAAAGCGTCACGCGTCTTACGTAGCTTTATTTCACCTGGACAAGAGTAGTTTGCAACCACGTTGCTTCTTGCATGTAGTATAATTAGTTTTGTTGATTGCCAGTCGATTGCCACTTGAACATCATTAGCACACTAGTTCTGTAGAACCTACTAGTTTAGCTCGTAACGATGGCAAATGCATTTTGCCTCAAGTGATTTCATTCAGGTTCCAACATTTTTGTGCTGTCACTCTGTTGGTCCCGGCAAGGAACCAATCCATACGCACAGGTTAAAACGCATTGAGCTCTTCTTGTCAAATTGTCGACAGTTTTCTCCACTAGATACCTCCTATCTCAATCTCTTTTGCTCTTGCCAAAAGCACATAGATTTTTATCAACTTTGTCACTATCAGCACCATTTTACTTCCAATTACATCGACTTTGCATTGTGATAGAATTGTGCAACAATGGTATGTTTCGTTCCGGCACATCCTGAGATAGTGAACATACTGTCTGCACGACGCAGCAGAGTTTTTGATCTGAGGGCACTGCATCATGAGGGACTGACGCAGCTTAAACGTGATTAAACTGGCGTCGGGAGCTCTTTAAAGTGCCAAAAGAGCAGGCAAAATGGATCTCGAGATGTGTCCATTTGCAGTGGGGCTCTGGCACAGACAGCATCACTATGATGCAGTCAGATTTGACCGAGACAAGTGCAACAGTAACTACGACACACCGAGACATTTTGACCGTTCGACGAATATCATGTAATGTTTCAAGACAAGTCAAGGATATGTCTGTCACCTTCATGTATCACTGGGTCTTGATTCGTATTTGTAAAGACACGCACTTTGCCATTGCTCATCCATGTAACAACACCACATAGTTTTTATCATTCGCTTCACTGTGACACCAAAGCCCTTCAGTTTGTCCTAATACCCTACAACTGACATCCCAGCCACTCTTGTACAACAATTCACTGGAACGCGTCTCCTCAGCGAAAATTTCAGACACTCGTACCAGCACCTGGAGTCGGCCAACGAGTCGCAGTTCACCTTGACCTTGTTTCCATCGGCAAGCGTAAATACCATACCACATGCCAGGTCACGCGTCGACCCCACGTCCACAACGTTACCAAGACTCTCAAGCTGATTGTCTACATCATTTGCAACACCCAGGGATGAGCCATCCATCACATAAAAGCGCCGCAAACGTGAGCCCTTCTTCACCTCTGTAAGCCATCCACCAAATACGGGCCTTAATTTCTTACGGCGCCGGCTATTCAAATATTTCTTTATATTGAAAGTTTCCGCGTGCCGACACGCGCTGCTAATGACGGAACGCCACCGCTTAGCTGTTTCGTAGGTCTCGGCATGAACTTTCCAGACACGTCCGCTCTTTAGCCGAATCAACAGCCCGTTCGCATGACCTTCCCATTCTTCTACGGTATGCGCCTTATCAGAAAGCACAGTCGCCGAGTTTGTGTCCTTGGCATACGCTAGTTCAATGCCATGCAGTGTAAAGTACAAACGCTTCCAGCCCTTAAATAGACCTGCCTGTTTGTATAGCCATCCGGCGTGGTTTGCCAGCGCTGTCTGTATATAGCAACTTTTCACCGACGTAATAAGCTGCACTATCTTGCCATTCGCACTAGCAGCCGCTGAAATAGCGCCATACCAAAGCATCTGCTCATCATATGACTCTGCGTAGCACACCATAGACATATCGGTGCTGAGCTGGATAGCTAATCCATTCGCGTGGCAGTCTGCAAATGATACAGTCTTAATATATCCAGAACACTTCCGATCAGCAGTACCGTGCTCACCATCTCGGCACTCGATGTAGCCGTCAACGCGCACAACAAAGAAATACCGCTTCCATGCTTTATTTTTCTCTTGTTTGAACAAATGTCCCTCGTGTTGCTCACATGCTGTGAGTCTATATGACGTTTTCGACCGCGAGTTGAGGGTATGATTGCGCTCTATGGCCCTTTCCATCGAACTCAACCATTCCTTATTGTCCTGGTCATTTAAGCAGCGGATCTGAAGCGTGCTGCCATCACCAAACTCAAGTTGAAGTCCATAGCGCAAATCTTCTACTTCCTTGACGGACATCAAAAGACCATAACCCTTCGGTGTCTGGCCCACGCCTTTACTGTATTTAAACTCGGTACCCGACAACACTGCATAGTATCGTTTCCACGACCTAAATGCACCATGTTGAATGCAAACCCAGCCTGCGTGGGGAACAACTGCCGCATTGGATGTACGACGGTTTTCAAAATAGGATGGACAAGTATCCTTCTGATTTTTACGATTAAAAGCTGCATGGGGATCAGAAGAGAGGTGTCCACGATGTGAAGAGGACAAGTACGGATCACTAACACGCGATTCACGAACCTCCTTCTCATTTGCAAGATTGCTGTATCCTCGATTACGGTGTCCTGCATGGTGCACTTTTGATCCCGGTTCACCTGCTAGATAGGCCACGTAATTCCTTGTGTTAATCGGTAGCCCCATGACAGCATTATCATCTTCCTCTTCATCAGCTTCATCTACAGCCACAGGAACCTCCTCATCTTTTTGTATTGGCTGCGCCATCGTCGCAACAGTCGCGCGTCGATTAAGCCAATACAACGTCCCTGGGTCTGACCGAATGAGGCGATTGTCTCCTACAATAGTTTCATAGTTTCTCGTGTTCACTGGCAGTCCCACGACAGTACAGCTGTCTTCTTCGTCTTGGTCCGCTGCAGCCATCTTCTCGTCTACTATACAGCTCTGAAGCGGTTGATTCTGCTGGTACATTGTGCTTTTGGCAAGTGTCTGTCGTCGACAACCTGATGATACACTCTTACAAGAGAGAGAGGCTTTGCATGCTAAATTGTCAATAAGTGCCTGATAATTGCGTGTATTTACGGCGAAACCAAGCGGTACAGTCTCCTTCTCGTCCTGAACCTCCGTGTCTTCTACTGCATTTGGAGATCCACCATTGGGCTTAACTAGCATTTCATTAGACCGGATTGGTTTCACACGTTGAGTAACCATTCGAGCAAACTATTGACTTTAACTTTGTATACAACAAATTTGCTTGGCGCGCGCACTTGCGCTCGATAGAAAAAAAAGTGGTCCACCTGTTACAAATTTTAGTCCTGCGCTTGAGCGATCGGTTTGAGAAATGAATTGTATGAAGAAGTGGATAAGGCCAGGGTTTTTTCTCGCACTGACCTGTGAAAATCAGATAATTTGTTTTATATTGCACTTACTAAAACCAAGTGTACAAAACTTTTCAAAGTTAATACTTCGAGATTAAAGGACAGATGTACAGTGAACTTTTTTGAGCAATTGACACCCAAACCCACGGCTATGATGACCATGGAAAGGGGGTACAGACGAGAAGTTCTAACGTTTTCTGTAATCTTTTGCTCGTATTTTTTCTTCCATTAATACATAAATCTGGATACTAAACAACAGTCAATTTTTGCGCTTGTCCAATCTTTATGTCGTGGCTACTCATCAGCCATCACTGGTGGCCATTAAGTCAGACCAAGTAATCTGGAAGCAGATGGTGTCAGCTTCGTATCAGATATTGGGATCGATTTTACAGTTATTTTCTTTTCAAATCATGAGATACTGCGTATATTCCAAGCAGAAAAAATGACTTGTGCATGTGACAATAAATATTTTCATGGTAGGCAAACGGTCAGCACTCGATCACGTAGCTAAATGAATAAAAAGACGCCAGTCCGATGCATTTTTGAAAGCCAGACGGATTTTATACCGGCGAGATTGTACCATTTGAGCCTGCCGTATCTGTTGTAACTGCTAAACTCTCGACCTGGATAAAAGAGTAACTGCTACAATCTGTATTGATGTACAGACATGTTATTGTGCTCAGTTCTGTACCTCGTGACTATATTAATACTGAGAAAACGAACAGATTACGTATTGTTGTGTTCCTGTCTTATCTAGATGTTATGCCTATTACATGCAAACTTCTGCTTCGCTGACTAGAATCTTACCCCTTCTTCTTGTCAGCTTAGAATATCGGTATATCAGTTTTGTCTTTGCCTTCGTCGATGATACGTCCTTTAAACTGCAAGATTAACTTGATCACTATTGTGAGATGCATTCTATAGACCATTTTTGAAGCATAAATGGTATCTCTAAAATAATGGCAAACAGTTGCAGCAACAGAAGGTACGGTGGACGCATATTGACGCCATGTTAAAAGATGAGGTCGTGTTCAAGGACAATACTTCCAGCACGGTGGCAAGTATTCTGGCCACGAAGTCGTACCATGCGTCAAAGAGCGGACGGACCTTGTGCACTATTCGGTCTGTAAGACGCGAGCCAGTTATCTTACTTGATGCTCGCTTTTCCAACCCATTGCAGCGTTAGCACACTTAATTTCTGTCAAATCTCACACTCATTCCAGTTTCTTCTGCTCCATGTTCGTTCACATTGGGAGCTAGTACGACGGAGAAGATTTGGCGAATTGGAAGAATTTTACGAGGAAAGTCGTGAGCTTTGAACTGTGAACGCTCCTTGTTTGTCTATCTGGATCTTAATGCAGCAAAATGTGCTCAATGTTACCACATAGCTGCCGTCGGCATTGTCTTGGCAATTCATTCTTGACTCATTTGCCACCAGACTTGGCAAAACGGTCTTTCGATTACAAAAGTTCCAGACCCAGTCACTACGTTACTGATGGCCCTCAAGTTGACCAGCTTACTACTTCAATGCACTACAGGGATAAGCGAGATGTCTTCCATTATCGTTCTTGGCCACTTCGTATATTTCGTATTACATACAGACATGGCCATTACGTTGACTTACTTCATCAAGCAGCGAGCAATAAACTATTGCCACTCTTGCTCATTCAATGTTTTATTTTGCGTACAAGATACTGGCGCTCTTCTTTAGGACGACATTTTGCTTGCGTTTTTGCTTTTTCATGTAGCAAGTTCTACTTGGCGCAAACTTAGTCTTCGGTTTCCAAAAATAGCTCTAGCTGTCCACAGCGCTGACGTAGCTCATCATTCTCTTCCGACAAGCACTCTATTTGCAAATTGCGGCGACGCACCTCCCGCTCCGCAGCATTGAGCATTGAATGCAGAGATTCATTAGCAAGCATTAACGATTGAACCTTCATGCTAAGTTCTTGCTGTGCATGACAAGCCAACAAAAGTTAGTTCAAGCAATAGTCGAAACCGTAGCGCTGCAACACGATTACCGTTTCGTCGTCTCTGGTCCAGTCACTGTTCCTGTATTCAGGCAAGAAAACAAATGAGTGAGCTAGAAACCTCGTATCCTCATAAGGAATTGAATATGCAGACATACATGCGTGCGCTTTGACTATTGAGCTCATTGATTTGCGACGGAATGGACATCAGTTGTTCTTGTTGCTCCTGAAGCACGCCGATGACCTGCTTTAGATCGTGTTGTTGTCGAATTAGCGAGGCAATCGTTTGCTGCTGCTGTAAAAACTGCTCAACGGATATCGCCATTGATGATGATTGTGGTAGCCCAACAATGTTGCCGTTCGTTTCAGAAACATTTATGACCTGCGAAGACGGCGCAGTAGGACGAACAGCAGACGAAGCGTCCGTGGCAGTCCTCTCGCTATTGGGAATCGTTAGACAAGTCATTGATACTGATGCGCTGGCATGTGGTATCTTTGAGGCACCAGTACCAACGTCAATAGCACTTGTTAAAGTTATTCTATCCAAAACATCCGTGTTCTCAGCCGCGTGTTCAGCACTGTCTTGCTGATTTCCAGTGAGACCTACCACGTCCATGGGTTCAACGAGCTCACGAGCTGGACTTGCGCTTCGTCGTCTCGAACGACGCACGGACGAAGGCTGCCGAAGACGAGGCATTGACCGAGTCGCACGCTTTGGCTTAGTGCGACGCTCCATGGAATCGAGGCTGCGACTAAGTTGCTGCGGAGGACTTTCACCAGAAGATCCTTCGACTGAAGTTGTAGTGACGAAACGATGATCATACAACTGTTTTAAAGACACGCAAGCAGAAGAGTCAAGTCTTTAGTATGGCTCCTTCCATGTTCAAGCACACCTTGTCAACTTTTTGATAACGTACTTCGTCAGAATCTTTCTTAGATGTTGGCGAGTCAGATGCCATTTCGATAATGGTGAAGCGTCCTCTACGCTTGATCCTTTTAACCGTCAAAGTACCATAAAAACAAAGACAAGGCTAATCAAGCTCAAATTCATAGATAAAAAGGCAAGAAAGACCAAAGAAAGAATCAAACCGTCGAGCTCGCTGCACGCCTTCACGGCTTTTCTTAGGAGACGAGTACTTTTGCAACAAGTCTCCCGAAGCTGAAGCAGCACAAGTAGTTACAGAAGTCATAACTTTACATGTTGGATCAATTGCAACAGCTTGTGTCTAGTAAAGATTCCATTCATTGATACGCTAGTATGTTATATTTCATGACAAAAGAACAACTCAAACAACAATCGTTCGTGACAATATCTTACGTACTTCTGAAGCAATCAGGACACTTGTTTTATTCGATACAAAAGAAGATTCTGTCACTCTTTCAGTCTGTGTATACAAATGATCAGATGTTTCTTCCATCTTTAGCTCTACAATTTGGTTTACAACAAGTTGTATGGGATTATTGCTCTCGACAGCATTTAATTGCTGATGAGAGATTGGTTGAATCGTTGCCATTCCACCACAATCATTACTAGAAGATATTGGTGTATCATCCAGAAATGTAGGTGAAGAAGATCCATGGGAAGAATATGGTGAGCCAGGAATGATCTCAGTAATAGTAAAGCGGCCCTTTTGCTCCACTCGCTTACGCCGTGATTCCATCGTCAAGGTGTTGATGATCTGTCATCTTGACGATAATTCAGGTGGACCACATGTACTTTAAGGATCCCTTAAACTAACTCCAACCTATGGCTACAATGTCTGGGTTAGAGCAAGGTTGATGCTAAATGGGTGCTAAGTATGCAGTAAATATTGCAGAATTGGATCAGGTCACACAGAAATACACTGAGAAGAATACACGAAAATTAATGATAGTGAGAAATGTCATTATCGGACGATCGCATGGGCAATTAAATGGTGACGATCTTCTGATGATTGGCACTCCGATGATCTGTGAACCCGCTTCAAGTACCGAAAGCTTTCGTGATGCTACGATGGAAATTTGAGATGATTAGAGTGTCGACCACTGAATCAATTGCGAAAATGTCTTTGAACGCGCGCAAGTTCTGACAGTCCGCCTGCTGTGAGTGCAGTGTACCTTAAGGGCTCGAACAGTCATTCAGGAATCGTTTAATGCACTATGCAACCAGCGGTTCATGAAAGTCTTGACCATGTTGACTAGTAATCTCCGTCAACAACGAGGTTTGATTCGTGAGATGAATAGAGAGATGTGTGCTAAGGTTCAGGATGGTCAATGGCGATCGATAGTAACTCCTGCCGTGGCTCAAAACACACCGTGTGCGCCTTACAAAGTTTGTTCAAGATACTCAACCAAGCAGGTGCTCCTGGGAAGGAAATGGTGGATCACAGTTTCTGCTGTGATCAGCATTATGGATTGTGTCAACGTCGCTTTAAATGTCCAACGCCGTCTTAGGCTTGGTCCGGAGCCAATACCTAAGTAAGAGCGTTCACGTTGATGACTGTGCACTTGAACCTTTGGCAGCATCTTGGCGAGTTTGAATGGTGCAAAGTGGCTGTTTTGAAGCTAGAGACTTCTCTTTGAGTAAAAAAACAATGCATTTGTGTTGTTTAAAAGAACAAAGCAGCTTCTCGATGAATGCTGTAAGAGAATTAGAGGAGTTTGATCAGGCATACGGCAATTTCATAGCCAAAACGTCTGCAACTGTACTAGTCAATACTGAGAATGCTAGCATTATGTCAAGCTCCCCAACACCTCCGTTTCTTCACGAAATCGGTGCAAACGCTACACCAAGCATTTGTCACTCATGTGAAGATGCAACATGTGCGTTCTCCAGCCGTACTTCGGCAGACCAGATGAAGACCAGCAGCAAATGCTGTAAACAGCTTATCAGCTTGACGAACACGTGAGCTTGCTAATCAATGCGCTGCCTGCAAACGTCTCATTCATTGTAGCATGAGAAGACGGTTAATTTGGCGAAAAAATGACGGCTTCTTTGCAAGTTTTGCAAGGTGTTGCATGCATTTCTACAGATTCGGAGGAGAAGCCCGTTCAGATTTATTGCTTGTCGATTTCTTGCTGGAAGCAGTTTACTACGCCCAACAATACAATGCCTTATCCCGCTTGCAAAAGTGATGAAACCACGACGCATGACAAGCATAAATAGACAGATTTATGTGAAAATGCCTGCCGTATGCTCACGATAAGTAGCGCGACAGAAGTGCAGAGGAAGCTGATTGAACTCATAGTAGCGAACGAACAGGAAGCTTTTTGACAACGTGATTTACCTACCGCCTTGCGTCGACGGTGGTAAATTATATTGACAAAAAAGCTTTCCGCGCTGCTCTCCAGCACACAACATTGACTACTGAGACCGTGTCAACCTATTGCATCCTCAACCAACCATAAAACACCATTTTGGTGTCTTGGATACAGTGGACCTTCCTAGTCAATGATTGTCAGTCTTTTCAACTCGGCTGGTCCCAAGTTCTCAGTGCAATGACGTTGTTTCATGATACATTTCGTGATACATATGCAGCTTCATCGATGAAACAAACGAGCAATTTACAAGAAGGAAGTTATCCTGGTCATATCGCTTGAACGTATTTGTACTTCAACGTGTGTTAGACATGGCTACATTATCATATCATTGGCTATCAATTTGTTATTTTTTATCCAATGAAATAGCTGCAACTTTTGCGCACTGTTTGGATGGACGGGCTCATTCCGCATTTTAACGTCAACAAAGGAAGTGGGAAACAAGAGTGATGGTTGCCAGTGCATTTCCTGATGATGGTGGAACTCGGGATATTTCACGGGACCTTGCAGTCATGGAGAAAATTGAAGAAGAGGCGCGTAAAGAGCGTGAAATTTTATCTGCTAAAAATACACGAGCAAATGCAGAACCTGTAGAAGTGACGGGTGAGAAGATTGCAAAGCTAGACTCGTTGCTGGAGAAAGCGAGTCTGTATTCGAGTTTTTTGTTCTCCAATATGGAGAGCGCCGCTACAGTGAGTGATGCTGCGCAGGTTAATGAAGAAAAAGCTGAAGAGCTTACGAAAGGTAAACGGAAACGGGATAAGAAGTCGCCAATGAAGTTTAACAAGAAGACGAAAAAAGGAGTAGACAAGCTACGTGAGGTACAGGAAGACGTACTATTGGGTACGCATCATCATCAACCTAAGAAGATGCAGTTTGCTCAACCTAAGCTTCTTACCGGTGGTACGCTGCGTGACTATCAGTTGGAGGGTATTCGATGGCTGTGCAACTTGTTTGAAAATGGTCTAAACGGTATTCTTGCAGATGAAATGGGTTTGGGTAAAACAATACAGGTGATTGGTCTTTTAGCGCATCTGAAGGCACTAGGTGTGCGAGGGCCGCACCTTATTGTAGCCCCACTGTCGACGCTGATGAACTGGGCGACGGAGTTTCACAAATGGTCGCCTAGTATGCCCGTGGTGATCTATCACGGCACGAAACAGGAGCGCAAGAGTATGCGGAAGAATGAGCTGAACGCGATGAAGAAGAGTAATGTCGATTTTCCCGTGGTCATTTCTTCATACGAAGTCATGTTGGCAGATGCCAGATCGTTTACAAAAATGGGATTCGTTTGGAAATATATGGTTATTGATGAGGGACACCGCTTGAAGAATATGGATTGCAAACTCGTTCGTGAGCTGAAGCGTGGACGCTCAGAGAACCGGCTGTTGTTGACAGGCACACCTTTGCAGAATAACCTGACGGAGCTGTGGTCGTTGCTGAACTTTATTCTACCTGATGTGTTTGATGATCTTGATCTCTTTGAAAGCTGGTTCTCCTTTACGCCTGACGCTGTTGCTACTGCTGCTGCTACGAATGAATCGGTAGCTGTGCAAGATGTGTTGCAGGGTGAGAAGAAAGTCGAGGTTATTGCAAAGTTACACGAAATTTTACGACCTTTTCTTCTTCGTCGACTGAAGGTCGACGTAGTAGGAGAGATGGTCTCAAAAACGGAGATTTTTGTTTACTGTCCCATGACGCCGATGCAGCGCGAATATTACAAGATGATTTGTGACGGCACGCTTGCAAAGGCTAGGGAGGAGAAATACGGCAAATTCCAGGCTCAACAGGCATTCAATACAAGGACGCTGAGGAACAAAGTGATGCACATGCGAAAGTGCTGTTTGCACCCTTACCTTTTTGACGAACCTTTGACAGCCACTGGAGGTGTTGTTACGGATGAAAGCATTGTAGAGTTGTCTGGAAAGATGCTTGTTCTAGATAAGATGCTGCGGGAGCTTAAGCGTAGTGGCCACAAGGTGCTTATTTTCAGCCAGATGACACGTGTGCTGGATATTCTAGAAGATTATCTGCTCCTGCGAGATTATAGCTATTGCAGATTGGACGGCAACACGAAACTGGTCGATCGTGTTGACCAGATGCAGAGGTTCAACAAGGTATCTGCTAGGTCGGTGTCCGCAAACGATGACGAGAATATTTTCGTTTTTATGCTGTCTACGCGCGCTGGTGGTCTTGGCATCAACTTGATCGCGGCCGATACAGTCATTTTCTTCGACTCGGACTGGAATCCGCAACAGGACAACCAGGCAATGGATCGCTGTCATAGAATTGGTCAAAAGAACGAAATCATCGTGTATCGTCTTGTGACTGAAAACTCTTTCGAGGATCGTATGACCCAGCGAGCGTTCGAGAAGCGTAAACTTGAGCGCGTTATCATCCAGCGCGGCGGGTTCAAGCATCGCACAACTCCTGCAGAGGCTGGCAAACTTACCAACACGGAGTTGGAGGAACTATTAAAGGATGATGTGGAAATCCGAAAGGGCGTTGAGAGCGGCGGCATTACTGACAAGGAACTATATCAGATTTTGGATCGCGAGTTGGTTGTCAAGAGTTTTGTGAAACACACTAAAGGTAAATGCGAAAAGAAAACATCAACACAGTCAAACGCGATTCCATCGAAGAGTAATGGTTTTGAGGTGGTGGAAAACGCACCGACATCGATGGAGGGCTTTGCTTGAGTGTCCACTTTGGTTCAATGTGAAGCATGTCAATAATAATTATTTCAAAAGCGTAAGTCTTTTTCTTTCCTTTCGGCCTGTCAAAGCTGGTAGTTTCAAGGAAACGGCCAATGCTCGAGGGTATTCTGAAGGAACGTCGTGATGAAAGCAGGAGGAAAGTGCGTCGTTGACAGGTGGAATACAAGCTGTTGTGCTACCTCAATGTACTTGGGTGGATGCTGCTGCTTAGCTTTGCTTCATAAAGCACCTTTTCAAGCATTTCTTCAATGAGACTGTACAACAGCACAAGCAACACGCCAATTATGTTCAGAATGGATAGCAAAACGCAACAGAATAAGTGCTTCTACAGCAGGCATGAACTCACAAGGCATTCACTTGCGTCATAGTTCCTGCAACTGGCACACGATGATATACCCATTGCCACAACTGGGCACGCGAAATAGCTGACGGTCTGGTAACAAGCACTCGGGTCGGTGGCGAAATTGACCACAATGGACGCTGTGTAGTCCCACATTCCACAGTTTAGGCCAGACGAGTGATGACGAAGCTCGAAGAGAATTTCATCCATTTCAAATGCGGCAAATATGTTTTCAATCAACACAGTCGCCTTGATGCTATCCTGCAAAACTCACGGTATTTGTGTCGTCACCATTAGGTTCAATCAAACCAGTTCAGAACAAAAATTGAGTCAAACATACATGTGGGAGTTGGAGCTTCTTCTCCGTGTACTCAAAGATCTCTCACCATAGAGCAGCTTCCATGTATCCTTCCAGAATGTAGTAGCTAAATTCGCGACAAACTCAAGCGCAGTAGGTGACAGCACAGTGTCATAAATGTACTGAGGACACGAATTGTTTGTTGGTGACACAAAAAAGTCAATGAAGTTAGCGGCTAACGTTGACGATGCCGGTAACGTGCTGATCTGTGCGTGTAATCGACTGACGCGCTCATACGTATCTTATAGAACAAAAACGTATCGTATTCCATAGCGTAACCCACACGATAACACAGGGTTACATTGTGTATCACCTTTTGTCAAGACAAAAACACTAATGATTCCTAGTCAGAGGATTGTTACGAAAATACCGGTATTTCGGTATTTTAGGCTCACTTAATGCACTGTCAATACGATCGATGGACGTCCGAGTGCGTTTAGTATTTGTCGATGACGTGGGGCGTCACGTACAACGTCGATGCGGGTTTTCATCCTGTTGGTATCTACTTCCAAATGACTTGAAGCTCGTGGGTGACTTGTCACATGTGCTACTACGAGAGTTTGGGCTTCGTAAGACTTGTCCAAAGGGACTGGAGCTACACCTGGAGGAGCTACTGGTATTGGCCACGCAGAGCATTCGTATTGTACGAGACAATGACACGATTTTCGTTCAGTGTCCTTCCTTAGTAGAGGGATCAGAAGTTGATTATGATGAAACGTCGTCTTCTGAGAGCGGCTCGAACAAGATGAAGCTGAGAAAACGAAAAGCGCATGAGAAGAAGGATGAATCAGGTAAGAAGAAAGTCAAGACGAGTCAGGATGGGTCAAAGGTGTTGAAGAAGCAGCAGAAATGCGAGTCAAAGCGTCGGAATATACCAAAGACGCGTGTTGAATCGAAGAAGAGCAGCTCAAGTAGCAGCAGTGATAGCTCAAGTTCGAATTCGAATTCGAGTGAAAATAGCACCAGCAGCAGCGAGCTGGAGGAAAAATCGATGACTCGACACAATAGAAAGAGCGTGGTGCGCGTGGCTATAGTAAACAAGCCGCTGCGAGAAAGACGCAAAGCTGCTGCGACGATATGTAAGAAAACGGTTGTCTCGAACGAAGTTGCAAGCAAGACAAATGGTACAACGAGTAAAAGTGGAAAAGAGCCATGCAAGAGACGGCGACGATTGCGACATCGGAGCGGAGGACGTCAACGAAATAAAAGTCAGGCCAGTACTGCAGAGAGCTTTGCTCGCGCTGCGTCGTTATCTGGTGGCAAGGGTACTGCTTTACAAGCGCAAGAACAAGTGGCGACTGTTCCACGGCTACCCCGACAAATTTCATCTATCGAGAAGCAAAACCGCAGCAACATTGCTGGTGTTAAAGGCAAGCTTTGTGCCAAAACGCATGTCCTTTTTGATGAGGAAACGGGAGACCCGGTCGAAATTGATTACGATGAGCATCAGTGTGATGCTAAAAAAAGCATCCAGCCTACTTGGCGTGCTCAGGCACCCGAACTGGCAAAATATGGCCCTTCGTTTTCTAGTAACCAGCACTCAAGAATTGCACGCAACAATCAAGATGGTTTGACTTCTTCTACTACTTCTAGTGAACTGATTAATGGAGATGAAAACGCCGACGTTTGCAATGATTCCTCGAAACGAGACGGAAATAGCAAATACGTTGAAAAGTGGAAACGTCCGTACAAAATTGTCGCAAGTGTACTGGACAAGAAGTTGGACAAGTCGGCCTCATCGACCGCGGTACGTTCGTGTTGACTATGCAAGATATTTTTGTTCTGTAGGTGCCTTACTGACATGTTGTTGCTGTGTTGCCATTGACGCACGACCAGGATCTGACCAAGTTGTTGAATACGTATCCAGCCGCCCCTACAACTTCTTTCCAGCTTGTTCCGAAAGATGTCGTTGCTTTCAAGACGCTTACGCTCTGCCTCGAGACATGGCAGCCTGTTTTGAGCGAGTGGCAATGCGGTCAGGTGCAATTTATGGATGCATCAAGAAATACGATCGAACTGTCGAGTTGGATACTCGCAGTCAACAGTGATTCCATAGAGTTTGAAGATGCATGTACCACTGAACATCAGAGTGTCCAGATCAATGAGATCAGTGAATTGCGATTCCTGAGCGGCCCCAGCTACTCATCATTGCTGCAAGTCGATGGACAGAACACAAGGGAGATAGGAACGAGACAGAACATGTAGGTACCCGTGACGGAGCGATGTCCATGCTGATCACAGGCAATTGAAGTTGAAAGCGTATCTAGCTTCTTGTTTGCATTCATGTAGAATTGTGATCAATCAACGCATGAGTACTCGTTTGCTTCACCTTGACATATCCACAAACAGCCATTTACGGTGCACACTGTCATGATGCCCGGCTCAGGACAACCTCTATTGAAGAATATTATACGCCAAGCCCATGGGAATGGTCGCGGTCTCATGTGGTGGTAGTGAATGAGTAGATTATCGATCGATGATGACCAGTCAAAACAGTGGCACGTACAACTCAACGTCCTAACAGAAAAAAGACAACGTGACTTCGTGACAGGACGAAAGTGACGCGGCTCCGTCATTGGCACTTCAACATGCATGTAAGCGCTACTTTTTTGTTACTTAACACAAGTGCGTCATAGATCTGCGGTAGACACATGTAAGTCTTCTATAGTAGCTCGTCATATATTACCTCCTACGGTGTAAATGCCTCATGGACTAATGCAATGATTAGGCAGGACCCCATGGCTGCTGCAGTTGCTCGGGCAGCACCTAACGCCCTACAAGCAGCTGAAAGCTGTCTTTGACGCGGCGAGACTCGAGTGTACTGGGCGGTGTTACCCACCGGCAGCTACGCGCTATAACCCAGCCAAAGCAGGTTGATACCAGTGCAAAGCTGTCTTCAAGGCTTTGCACTGGTGATCAAACTGCTTTCGACTGGTTGACCTTATAAACGAACGCTACGATCTGTTTCTTAAGCTGCAAAAGTAGCAAAGAATACCCATGGACAACGAAGTACGCACTTTCAAAGGCATCTCAATTCATGTCTTCCTCTAATCAAACAAAGCGACGCGGTGTCACCATGAATACATGTGCCGCGCTTTGCAACAATTAAGCAGCTTGGTCGTCGTTCATGTCTGTCAAGATGAATCCGCACTGTAACCGACATTGAGCATGCACAAACTCATTGCCGATTGCAATACGGATTCATCTCTTCATAGTATAAACTTACAGCATCGAAAGCATAGAGTGTGGTTAGTTTAAGACCTTCAACTACGTTTTGTCAATCAAGCAACATCGTATCGAGAAGCTTGGTGAGGCTTACTCCACCGACTTTTATAAGCCTCTCAATGTCTGTGCCACTTGTTGAAGCCACCAGAAGTCGATAGGGTGGATAGCTCAAGAAGGACGTTGCTATCTCAAATGTCTTGTCGTACCAATCAATCGTCATGATGACGCACGATCGGTGACATATCCAAAGCAAAATAAACTGTTCACAGAAAAGCCATATGAATGCATGTGGTCAGTAGTCACCTTGTTGTACTATGATGGAGTGCTGCGACACACGACCATCCGTCTTGTTTCTGTCTATTCCTGTTGCGGCAAGTTATTCAAGAGAAAAGACATTCTTACGATGTAGAGACGCGACGCAACCTCCGAGTAAACGTCGTCGACGAAAGCGCGTCACCTATGCCTCTTTGTTAAAGTAGGGCGATTCCGTTCGACTTAGCTTCATTAGCTCAAGTGTGCTCTATTCTGTCACCATCGATTGTCTCTGACATCTCATTGCCTTGTGTGAATAGAAACACGGAAGTTCATTTTCCAATTAGCATCAATCTGAGCAACACGAAGCCCAGTAAGCATTTCAAACTACAAACTTGCTCACTATTCACGCAATGCCACCGCAAGAGACCACGACCGCTGCCCTGGGTCTGGGAGAGCTCGGTATCGAGAATAACTGCAAGGTTTTCCACAACTTGACATACGAACAACTTGCGGACCACGAGAAGCAGTACGATGAGGGCTCGTTCGTGGCCAACGGAACATTTGCCGTGGATACAGGCAAGTTCACAGGCCGCTCTCCCAAGGACAAGTTCATTGTAAAGCAGGAACCGTCGCAGGACAATGTCTGGTGGGGCTCAATCAATCAACCCACGACGGCCGCAGTGTTCGACGTACTGTACACCAAGGCGGCCAAGCACTTCAGTTCTGTGGATCGCATATACGTGTTCGACGGTCATTGTGGTGTGAATGAGAAGTCACGCCTGAACGTGCGCATCGTGACGGAGCTCGCGTGGCAACACCACTTTGTAACGAACATGTTTATCCGGCCGGAGTTTTCTAGTGTAGCGGAGAACTTTAACGCTGACTTCACGGTCATCAACGCGTGCAACATTGTAGACGAGGACTGGAAAGCACACGGCTTGAACTCGGAGGTGTTTGTGATCTTTAACATCGAGAAGCACATGGCCATCATCGGCGGCACATTCTATGGTGGTGAGATGAAGAAGGGTATCTTCAGCATGATGAATTACTACCTGCCGCTGAATGGCGTCATGGCCATGCACGCATCGGCCAACATCGGCGAGGCGGGCGACACGGCCATTTTCTTCGGCCTGTCGGGCACGGGAAAGACAACTTTGTCAGCCGACCCAAAGCGCGAGCTAATCGGCGACGACGAGCACGGCTGGGACGGCGATGGCGTGTTCAACTTTGAGGGTGGCTGCTACGCAAAGACCATTGACTTGAGCAAAGAGAACGAGCCGGACATCTTCAATGCCATCCGACCGAACGCCATGCTGGAGAACGTGTGGATCGACGCAAACAACGAGCCCGACTACTTCAACTCGAGCAAGACGGAGAACGGACGCGTGTCGTATCCCATCTACCACATCCCGCACCACCAGCCACATTCTCGTGGCAACCACCCGAACGCCGTGATCTTTCTGACATGTGACGCATACGGCGTGTTGCCACCCGTGGCAAAGCTTTCTGCGGGTCAGGCACAGTACCACTTCCTGTCAGGCTACACGGCCAAGGTAGCAGGCACGGAACGCGGTATCACGGAACCGCAGGCCACGTTCTCGACATGCTTTGGCGCGGCGTTCATGACGCTGCACCCGACCAAGTATGCTGACCTGCTGAAGAAGAAGCTGCAGAAGCATAACACACACGTTTACCTGATCAATACTGGCTGGACAGGTGGGGTGTACGGCGTGGGTAAGCGCATGAAGCTACCGTTCACGCGCAAGTGCGTGGACGCAGTACTGGACGGCAGCATCAACGAGGCGTCGTTTGTGAAAGACCCGTTGTTTGGGTTTGAGATTCCGACATCAGTGAAGGGCGTGCCGTCAGAGATACTAAACCCAAAGGACTCATGGACCGACAAGTCAGCGTTTGATGAAACAGCACTCAAACTAGCCAAATCATTTAAGGAGAACTTCAAGCAGTTTATCTTACCCGACAATGACCTGTCGGTATACGGCCCCAACGTGTAAGTGGCATCATTGTAGCTCACTAAACTACTGCGGTAGCATCGGCTGCATTGACGGCTTTGAAAGCAGTGTCAAGACTGCTAGTCGCGTTGTATCTAGTTAGTGCATTGTTTCCTCGTGTCTATACGATTCATTAAAGACACTATATCAAAAAGAATGCAATTTAAATAGCTAGCTGTACAACTAGCAAGTTGAAGTGAGTGAGTGAGTATCCATGTGGTATATTATCAAGAAAACCTTCAATCAGTTGGTCCAATTTAAGTTGTTACATGCAAAAGGCAATAGAGGTTATAGTTTATGACCATTACTGAAGTAACAGAAGAGGCAGTGAGCAAAAAAGCGCACGTCGCAGTTTGCACTTGATTTGAAGAAGAGGTTTATCAATGATATTGTATACATAAATCTGCTTAGTCAGCTCCAAGAGTGGCAACACTTACCCTTTGCAATCTAGCATACGGACGGATCCATACTGCAGAATATATTGTTACGTAACTCGAAAAAGCTGGTACGTTTACTACCTAGTCACCCACTTCGCTTGCATACGATTACAGAAAGGTGATAGCTTTAAGCTCTGGGTTTTTACAAGTTCAAGCATATCACTGACGACGGATTTCGCACCGTTCACTTGATGAAGCAAGTCCATGACGTCTTCGCACTGTGCAAGGAGCTGCTCTTGCTGTTTCATGCTTGGTGTAAAGTCAGTACCTTCATCAAACAACACGCAAAAAGCCACAACACGTAGCACGCCGACCAGAATCTGCTCGGTATGTGGTGCAATACGAGGCCACGCAGCAAGCACAGTTTCTCGTAAGGTTTTAAGATTCTCCACTAGAAGTGCAACGTTGACGCTTTCAAATCCTGCAACTAACACTTTTAGCAGCGGCTGCAGGTAACGGATTAAGTTGAGGCTGTGCGGTGCTCCCTGACGGACTACTAGCATATGGAGATGGCGCACAAAGACAATTCGGAGAGTCACATCACTGCACAAACTTGTGTCACTAAGTATCCGCGGCATGAATCGGTCATAGTGTTTAAGCTCGCTTGGGGAAGATATTATGTCCAGAGATTCTACAAGACACTCAAGCAGCACATCAAGCGTATCTGGCTTGCGAGAAACAATAGCAGTATGAAGTACCTCAAGTAGAACGTCCGAGTACCAGCGCAGTTCTGTAGGCGTGACATTCTTGATAATGTGACGTAGCATTCTAGCTCCAATGAATTGTGTGGAATCAGTTAGATCATCCACCAACGGGAACGTAAGTGCCAGGAGACGGCCCAGCAGATCACCACCAAGATACGGAATTGACACTTGCTCGACCACACGCAGCATTATTTTCTTGTTTACTGACGTCACCGCGACCCACTCCTGTTTGTCAACGTTATGAGTGCATAGTGCCACCATCTCCGCAACGTATTTTGCCACTAAACTCTGTCGATCTTTCGATCTTGTTAGCACTGCAGCTTTGTTTAGTACTTTATTAGCAAGCACAACACTCTCCATCAAGTCTGCACCCGGCAATTCTGCTCCATTCAGAAAATAACAGGTCGTTAGTACAAACGGTAGCCAACGGCGCAGCTCTTTGTCATCCTGCAATTCTTGACATGTCAATTTATCCAATAGTGCTTGAAATAAACGCACTATTGGCAGCAAAGTATCGTCCAGCGCTACCAATATTGTCACATTTTGTGTATCTGCTGCTGCCACGGCCACGTATTTGATCGCTGCACGACTAAGAACTTTAACGATGCGAATGGCGTCGGGTAATATTAAATACAACTCTGAATCGTTAGTATTTAGTAGCACTTCTTCCATTTGTTGAGCTTCTTGGAGATTACTTGATAATTGAGAGGCATCGACAGACACGGTAAGCACCTTGGTGTCCATTATGGTCTTGACGCGGTAAATAATACTACCAATGAAATACCGGTAATCGATACGATACAAAACATCACCAGTAACTGTCTAAGTACCAAGATTTCTGGTATGTCCGTAGCCGAGATAAGAATAATACCAACGCCGAAGAGCGCGACGTTGCGTTAGGGCACTCGTCGTAGGGACCAGTTGGTGAGTAGGTGAGGATCTCGATGAACGCATGTAATGAGGTGCTGTGGATGACAGCGTCCGCCTTGCTGTTGTCGCGTTTGGCAACGACTTTGAGTTGCCGGGCTGCCTCAATTCAGTAGTCCACTGCTCCTTCCTGTGACGGTCATACGTTTGCCGCTAAAAAAGGATCAGTACACGCTTGATTCAGAGGCTCGTGATCACGACCGCGCAAAGGAGCGTCCAAGATCGAGCCCAATTGACAGCGAAGCCATCTGGTTCGTAAATCGTATCATTGTGCTACCATCCGTCAGATATAGAGCGAGGAAGGCGGCTTGGGGGTTTGCGCTGCATATGCATGTTTCCAACGATGCAAGTGCCCATGCTGCACTCCAGTGCCTTTCCGGTGGTTGATGAGCTCGATCTAAGTCGCTTGAGCAAACGAACAGCTCCAGAAGAGGTGCTCAAACGCTAGCCTTTCACTGGCGAGTCCTAAGGGGCCGACACGTGTAAAAGAAGTTTAGCTAGTGCGTAGCGCTCCGGTTTGCAGTCCAAACTTGATAACCCGCGGGCCATGCAGATGAGCTCACAGGTCCTGATTCATGAAATTGTGCTGCCAGCTGTTCGATTTCACCTTGGTTATAAGACGGTGAGTGATAGTAATCAAAGGCTAGCCAAAGTCCTGTTTGCAAAGGGCTTTCGGTTGAAGGCCGTGTGGGACTGTTGCATTTGTTCAAACAAACATCGTAACAACTTGTAATCATAAAGTATAGGAATAACATGTACAATAAGCGTAAGTTCTGAGCTCTTTTGTACTGATAAGCCACTTGGACTGCGGCAAGCGACACTAATGTATTAAGTATGTAAAAAGTCGACTGCGAAATGAAGATCCTTTAATAAGCGGGGTATCTGACGTGCAACGGAGTGGATAGTCTGTTTCGTGTATAAAAACATTTAGAATATCATCATTATGTCTGACACAGTAATGTGTCAATGATACATCGGCAACATTGATGCTAGGCTTATATTGAAATATTGTGGGCGTTCATGAGTTATGACTAACAACCGTTTTTCCTAATAGTATATAGTGCGTGCGAACAAGGATAAGTGAACGTGTGGTGGTTGGAGTTAGATAGACATAGATTGCTTCATTTGTCTACAATCTGGATGCAGAGGCTATGGAGAAACTTTCCGTTTTGTCACTCGACCACACAATTTACAATAATCAAACAGCCACGGCGCGTGCCTTAACCTCTTGCAGATCCTGAGACGCTGCCTCTCTATTTGCCGTACATCGTCTGCCCTCAAATGAAAGCACCGCTTGCCAATACGTACGCAAAATGTCCTAGACTAACAGTGAATGTACTTGACACGTGACATAATGATCATGTGAAGAGAGCAAACTCGATGCGATTCTTTGGTGCGCGTGAACGGGGCACTGTTAGCTAGGATGTATCCTAACATGACATCTACCAACGGTGTTGCTGCGCCATCTTCAGCATGTCCGTTTTCCACCTTCCATCCGTGCACTTGTCAACTCGCTCAATCCATATGTACTCTTTTTGCTTGAGAAGCAGAAGATGTGGGGACACAGTACAATCGTCGTAACACAACGGTTTTTTAGTCCATTACTGCTGCCTAGTTACGCGTAGCAAGCTTCAAAGTGTCAATAAGATTTGGCACATCACTACGATACAAAGATGTTGGAGTGTGAATGAAAATCGTTAAGATTGAATTTACAGCGTGAAAAAGTGCAGGTACCTTGACTATGCTAAGTTTTGATAAACTTGATCGGCCCAATGATTGATGTTTTCTTGCGTAGCGCTTCTGCCATAGTTGTCAATCGACTGATTCAGTGTCGAGTGCAACAAATCGGATTGAAAGACACGAAGAATGGACCGTGTGAGAACTTCAGCATCAACTTGTTTCAGCACGGGTTCCGCTTCCATCACTTCCACCAGATCAATCCAAAGACGTTCAAAGACGTTATTCTTCTCGATGACGATTACATTTTGCACGCGAGGATCGCCATGGACCAGGCCAATCTTGTGGAGCTGCCATAACAATTAAAAAAGTCTAGTACTTCCTCTCGAGTCGTTGGTTGAGGTATCGTTCTCCCAACAGGAGATAACAAGAACGCCGCGCTTTCAGGAGTTGCAATCAGCAACCTTAACAAGAAACACAATCGCAATACAGTCATTTCACTAAACGAATCGTTAAGCCTGTATGCTGCGCTTTTGTCAAAGCTATTTTCTCCATAAGATGACGTTTATGGCTCGCCACAATTTTAGAGCAAAAACCGCTCCATCTTGCCCAGATACCTTAAAAACACGTCCGTATGCACCACGGCCGCCAAGAAATGCATCGCCCTCGACAACATCAACGCCGAACGAAATACAGGCTTTGTTTAAGCGGGCCACCCATGGGGACATGTTGCCTGAAATGAAATTCTGAAACAACAGTTTTGAGCCTTCGTTAACCCAATTTGCTTTCTTGACCTCACGAGGAGCATGGCGGCGGCGTGTGATTAACCAAAAGGAGCGCCGATCAAAGAGAACAGCGCTTCCCGTCTGAAAGCCAGGGCTTTGCAGATATCGCACCACTCGGCCAGACGCAGCGTCAGTTATAGCGAGCTTGCTTTCAAATAAAATGATGCAGTCGAATAGTTATTTTTCTGCTACTCCAAATCGAAAGTCATTCGGCCGCTGCACTCCATCGTTCGGTCTCGGCTTGACACGAAACATTCCACGATGAGTCGCAAATCCATCCGGTTTGAAGTCTGTCTTCTTAGACACAAGTGAAGATTGAGACAGCCATTGATAACTCACAGTTGACGAATACCATACCGCAGTTGTGAAGCACGTTGCTGAAAAACGGAGTAATAAATGCGTCAAATACAGCCTCATCGCTGATGGCATTGGCTTGAGTCTGAATTTCCTCCGACCAAAATGCTTCTGCGCTTGCCACTGGTGCAAAATCGATGATCCGTCGTCGTTTATGCAGTCTTGAAAGCTCGAGTTGACCCAATTTCCCACTAGAGGCGGACATCATATTGTTCTTTCGATAATACTCTATATCATCTATTAGATTTTCTAATCGCGATCCTGAATCATGGAAGTTATCAACTCGCAACTGTTGTTTCTGCTTTGGAACCACTACTACCACGTGAATCTGTTCAGCCGATGGCTGCAGCATTTTGTTCTTCTCAAACAGCCAATGCTGTAGAGTCTTTGTCGCCTTCATTTTCTCTCCAAAAATCATTCTTTGAGTATCCTGATGCGTTTTTCCTTTTTCCAATTCTAGCGCAGCAGGTTCTTCGTCCGACAGCCACTTGCCGTCCGTCGTTTTTGCGAGGAAGAGCTGCAACTCGTCTGCATCGACGTTCTTCAACCCGTTCGGTTTCTTCACCTGAATCGCCTTTTTTAAGTCTCCCATGGACTGATTTACGTCGATATCTACAGAGAGTACGCGTCCTGGCACACCGACAATCGCACAAAAAAGCTTTATCATCTTTCTTTAAAGCGACAAATTCTTAAGTGACTGAACGGAGAGAATTTGGGTATTGATTGGATCTGAGTGATAACGAACCCATGGTCAAAATGTGTAGGAACTAAATCGACATTATTTTGATTAACAGATAAGACACAGCAGCGGATGGAACACGGCACAAATCTATCGTACAGACAGAGTCAATTCAAAAACGTGTTGTTTGATCGATAGTGACGGACAAACAAACACCAATTTGTCAATTTATTCGGTTGCACATTCCACCGTTGTGTCCACGAAAGCGGCATTTTTATTCAATCTAACTGGAAGGTGGGTGATGGCGCAGTACTGTAGGTCATTTTTGGAATGGTTCACAATCTGCGTCGACTTTACACTATGTTAGCGACGAACATTTCCTATTTTGTTCAATGACAGCGCCATGTGTTGTCGCTTGCCTGAGGGTTGATCTTGTAGCGGCCAGATCCAGAATTAGTTCAGTTGGGCTAAAAACCTACTTAGATAGGTTCTGTTCGACGCTGAGAGCCCAGGACGGGATCTAGAAACTGCAGCCGTAAATTAGCATTGCAGGCAGCCCAATCGTATTGAGAATAACATATGATTCCAGTTTGCATGGTGGATAGGCTATTGACTCAGTCCTTCCTTGCTGAATGTCTTAGAGATACGACACGTCGCCATGGAAAACACGATCCAAAAGACGATTATAATCTGATTCCATGAGTGATTATTCGTTTGACACATTATTATTATTATTATTGAATAAAAGGACCCATATTTGTCGTTTTAGATCCATTTACAATTTGCAATTAAAATAATAGTTACTATTGTAGAAAGCAAAACAACACTTATAGTAACTAATTTATAAAAAAGACACGAAAATTGGTAAAAAAAAAAAGTCACTCAATTACATCCTCCACTCAATTACATCCTCCCGTGTAAATAAAAATGACACTAGACACTGACACGCTCTCTCGCTATAAGGTTAACGCTTTATTATCATCATCAATAGTGTCGCACTCATATGTTCATACTCTATATATATTTCTATGTCTTTCTGTGTCTCTGTAGGTGAAAGATTTACAACGCGAGCTCCAAAAACGAGGTCTAGACACGAGCGGATTGAAGGCAGTGCTGTTTGAACGTTTACAGGAGAGTTTACAGCAGGTAATCGAAGTTTATCGATGCATTAAAAGGTATAGAAGAGCTCAAACTTGATACTGTTATGCTTATTTACATACAGGAAGAGGTTCCAGAGACGCAGAAAGAGGAGAGACAAGAGACAGAAGAACAGAAAACGACTGAGATTTTGGACAATACATTGAAGCAACAAGAGAATGAAACGAGAGAAGACATAGAAGATGTCGAACGAGTAACGCAAGACGAAGAAGAAGATGACGAGGCGTTAAATAGAGAGGAGGAAAAGACAAAAGAACGAAAGGTTGAGACTGGTGAAGGAGGACAAGTGAAGACAATGGTGGGGTTGAAGCGAACAATGGAAGCATTTGAAGACCAAGAAGATATGATGGATGCAAAGAAGCCTAAAATATTGCAAGAGATGGAGGATAATAGCCCACAACCTGAAGACGAAGATGGTAGCAAATCCTTGTCATCTTGTGATAATGCTGAAGCTGATGTTACAGCCGAGGAAGAGACGACAACGTACAGATCACTGTTTGTACTGTATATACTGCGTGAGGTGTTGTTGATTTATATTATTCTTGGATTGATGCTCTTTGTTCATAGAAAAGATGAAAAGAAGTGTACAATCCGAATTGACAACTTTGTCCGACCGTTTACGTTGAATGCTGTCAAGGTTTGTTCTTTTTGCTCTAAGAAGGAGAGGCAGTTTACTAATACGGTACTTTTGTAGGAACTCGTGCAAGAGTTTGGTGAATTTGTGGACGAAGGTTTTTGGATGGATGCTATCAAGACCCATTGCTTCGTGACATATCCTAGTTCCGAGATCGTACGTGCTTTTTTGCAAGCACTTTCTTCTAGTTGTACAATCGTCTGATTGCAATCTTGGCTACCATCGTTACGCTTGAACCAAAAACATACAGGCGGAAAAAAACCAGTTGTGCGCTTGATGGCAAAGTATGGCCTCCTGAAAACGGACGACCGCTTAGTGTTAAGCTGGTAAATTGTACAGCCATGGAGGTAAGAGCTAGATATGCAGGCTGTAAAGATATTCGAGTGGCTAATTCAGCTTGTCGTGGGTCAGATTTCTCAGCATGGCGAGGCGACCATATTAAGCGAATCAAAGAGCAAAACCAGCAGCGGCGCACAAGCCACTCAACGTCCAGGTAGTGTGCGTTGTACTTATTAAGGCTGGTATGCAATGCAAAAAACTGACTTTACTGTTTGCAAGAGGTGACGATCGACGAGTTTTTTCAAAAGACAGAAACAAAACCTGTGCTGTACTACTTGCCACTTACTGACGAGCAAATAAAGCAAAAGAAAGAGCGTCGGGGTCAGAAACCGGAGGGTCAGCCACGCAAACGTCGCCATCGCGGCGGTCGCAAGAGAAACAGACGCGGTCGCTTTCAAAGGCGCTAGTATTTCAAAGGTCAACATATGCAAACAGGATCAGACGACTGAGATAAAACTCTGGGCTTGCCATTGAAACGCTCATGTTTGCCATTTGCCAGTCATCCTTTCGTCGAGCCAATTGCTGTCATCGTAAGATATGTGTGACGCTTATTGCTCCTGAACCCTTTCATAGCTCGAAGGGAATATCCTCGTTGGAATATAGTACATCATGCTCGAGTCCAATTTTCGTGTCGTACAAGAGCGAAACGCAGCTGGTTGCGTAGGCCTTGTCCGTCGTAAGACATTCTGAAATACGCAGCAACGAGCGCACTGCAGATAGCAGCTCTTCTTTCTTGATGGGGTTCACGTCATGCGCGTCACCTGTTCCTCCAGCCCGACCTTCCTCGGTAACATCTCCGCCCGCTGCAACCGGACCAGCGACAACTTCGCTCTCGCGCTCGATCGCCCCGACCATACGATGGAGGTTGTGTAGCAACCAGTCATATAAAAACCCATGAGGCTTGGATTTAAACGCCTCTAATATCAACGGGTCATCTTCTTCCGTGGCAATGTGAATTAGGTGCACCAACGTAAATGAAAGCTGCGTCTCCAGTTGCTCTTTGTAACGAAATTCGGTCACATCCTTCAAGTCCGATGCCGTCTCCAGAGCATCCATCGTGGCTTGAAGCGCCGTCTGGAAGAAAGAACCAAACGCACTTCGGGCTTGAGACACCCGCAGCGCAGTCGCGGCACTAATACGCACCTTGAAGTTCTCCTGTTGTGCGACAGCAGTCAATAGTGCTTGAAAAACAGATGGAGCCCATGACACCGACGATAATGGCAGGCTGGGACACAATAGAACCTTAGCGATAGCGTGGCACGCATTCCATCTGACCTTGGGCGAGCCTGCATTGATCTTGCTTGCTAGCACAGTCATTGCTTGCCCCAACAGGTCATCCAGCCAAGCACAGCTTTTTACAGTCAAAGTGCGCCGGAAGGGTGTAAAGCTGATCCAACGACATACCAACCCCAACGTACGAGCCACACTCGACGCTACCTTGTCGTTGTCATTGATATACACCATCATCTTCTCAATTACAAGGCGCAACTGCTTCTCCGGTAATAGCTCGTACAGCACTTGAGGGGGCAACGGTGGGGATGCCATCGACGATTCCACTTTGGCTACAAACAATGATGGCAGTGCTGGTGGAGGGAGTGATGGCTCATTACTCTCTGGAATCGACTCGGGGCCAAGTGTGGTACAAACGTTGCCCAACGCCCATGCAGCCCGAACACGCACATTCAGAGTGGAGTCGCCAAGAGCCTCCAGAGCTAAGCTCACCACAGTACAGGCAAATCCGCACGTCTTAAACGTCGGAGCAAGGCACAGCGACCCTAGGAGACGGAATCCCGCTGCGCGCACAACTGGAGAGCTGTCTTTCGGAGTTTGCAAGATAATCCGAGTGTATCCGTCTAGGCACGAAACATGAGGCCCAGATCCATTGTAGCCGCCGCTTTTAGCTGCTAATACTGGAAGGCGTCGGGACCGTTTCTTCTCACCAAGCCAGGCCCAGTCTTGAGCAGATAACAGCGTAAAGCATGCGCAGACACTCGCACGAACATGGTGTGAGGTATCATAGAACGCTCGCACTAAATGTGTCGCCATCAGCTCCAAACAGTCGATACGGCAAGCCCCCTTTGTATTTGCACTTCCAAGCAGTGCACTATCAGAGCTTCCATTCTCGCCCTTAATGTAGTTTTCCAATATTTTTACCGCTTGAAGGCGTACATTCGGGTCCATGTCTTGAAATGCTGTCAACATAAATTCCGAAAGTTGCCTCCAGTTAACACTGAGGGCTGGTGAATAGTTCTTTGCGATCTTGGACAAAAGTGACATAGCCTCCAAGCGCAGTAACGTGCGCGACGAGTCATCGGGTCGGGATGCCATCAGCAAAAGCTCCTCAACAAATGAACGGTGACGCAGTAACCACGTACCGCAGGCGATCGATATGTGTGCAACTCGGATCACGTGGTCAGTGTCGCTTGTGTTCACCATCCACTCCAGGATCGACGGAAGAGTCTCTGGAACATTGAGAAGTGTTGACATGCATGACAAACTTGCCATCCGCACACCATGATCTATTGAACACAGGAGTATATACACCAAAACAACAGATGACTCACGAGTCTACGTATCAATTGCACCTAACACAACTTACCAGTTGACGCTGCTGCTACGTACAAACTTGACGCGAGCGCCTTCAAGATATCTCCGAGGCTTGGTGTGAGTTCGATCTGGTCAAGAACCGCAGCCACGTTTCCATAAGGAAAATGTTGAATCACTGAAGCAGTACTCTATAATTTATTAGCACACAAGAAACATTAAGCTCAGCTCGGATGATCATTAACGCATTCATAATGACTTGCTCACTCACCTTAAGTATCTGTGCAAGCGGTGCGGATTCTCTCTCGTGCTGAATACAATACACCAAGGTGACATGCACCTGATACAGCATCAAAGAGATCCGCTTCGGTATCGCAAACGACAATGATGAAGCAGTAGGTGCAGACGTTGTGCTGATCCCAAATGGGCGTCGGAAGTACATCTTTAGGGGAATTTTTTCCCAAAAAGCGTCCACAAACTTAGCAGCCGTCACGCGAACCTTTTCGCTTGGGTCTGCAATAAGCAGAGTGAGGACCGACGGTGTATTGTTAAATACCGTCATATACGGCGTGGTTTGCTCCGGTAGGTACAGACCCATCGACGAAGTAATGGCTTTGGGAAAGTGTTCCGCTATTGCTTCCAGTGTGTACAGCACGGTAATGCGCAGCCGAGCGAGCAAATCGCTACAAAAGATGTAAGCATATACAAAATTAGCATGACAAGCAAATAAGAGACAAGATTAGTATCAGAGCACTTACTCCCCCATTTCGCGTGATCCCATTATACCATCAGAGCCGTATAAAGACGAATCGGAATCAGAAAGGTGCAGTTCTTCTTGATACGTGAACACCACGTCGTTTTGATCAATCTTCAGCACAAGGCCAAAACCCATTACTTGGCGCATAGAGCCGAGAAGACTGGGCAGCGTTGCCGCGATACGATCCCTCAGGCGGTCGAAGTTTGAGTTGATAATCGTAAACACGCACTTCATGCTAGAGGTACATGCTTTCACAAGGATACGGTCGTTCTGGCCCTTCACCAGACTAAGAGCTTGCTGTCGAAAGTTTTCCACCACCACACGCAATAACGACGAAAAGTAGTGGTACACCTCAGGTGTTTTACCAGCCTGTGTGCAAATGTTCGATACACAATTTGTAGCCGCATATCGAGCTTCAATGTCCACTCCTGAAGGGTCCAAATGCTTTAGCAATACTGCAAACAATAGCTCAAACTCTTTATTTGCTCGATCCGCATTGTCATGTAGCACTTGACCCAAAGCACGGATAGAGTTGGCCGTATACCAACTAGGACATATCTTGATAAACTTCAGCAAGAATGTCATGACTATACGTAATTGTGTACTAGAAAATAGCACTCTTTCCCTACAGCAGCACTTTTGCACAAACCGCGTAAATTCAGAGCATAGCAGTCCTGAACTCAATGGTAAAAGTTGTGCTAATGCCGTGATTAACGCGGCAATTTCCTATACAGTACACCCACCACCAACAACATCAATTCATTCAAATAATTAGCGAGAGCCATGTCTTGTTACAAGCTTCGACATCACGTACATCTGCTCGAATCCGTGGATTAGGTAGCGTCACAGCCATCAATTGTTTCAGCATTTCTTCCACTTCCACAAGTGTTAATTGCAACACGGCAACATCAGCTTCAATTTTCTCTGCAATAAGTGTCCAGAGCTTCCGATCACGACGTTGGACGCCCAGAGTCCAACCCATTACCGATGGTGAGGTACTTAAGCTACTAGAGCTCATACTGGTCGTTCCAGAGCTTGAATTCGATCCACAATTGACTCGACTCATGGCAATTTGCTTGTGCAAGTCACGAACCTTCGAGAGAAAGAGACAGGAAGAGACTACTGACCAACGTCGTCCCCACCTTCTCTCTTAACTGTCGTATGCAGCTTGAACTAGCAACTTTTACCAAGAATGGCGTAGATGTCGTGTCCCAGATCAAAACGTCACGTCTCGGGGAAGCGACGAAGCGTACACAAGGCGTTAATAGACAGCGAGAGAGAGCGAACGAGCGAGAGACGCGCCGCTTCTCATGACGAAGAGCTACTCAAGAACTTGGCTACATTGTTACTGATTGGATAATAATAATCGACAATAAGACACTTAAGAAAAATGACCCATGAGCATGGAGATGGTCGTGATCATAGTAGTAAGAATGTCCGTGTGGACACTAGAATGGACGAATGCTGCCATCCAATCTATCAAAATACGCACAAATATCTCTTCCCACCTTCACCTAATTGGTATTACTCCAAGGTTTGTCACTCCTGAGTTCTTGATGGATTTATACAACACACAATTAATCTAGTCGTACAAATAGCGTTGATTGAGTTTTATGTGTGTGTGTGTGTGTCTTACTGGCTGTCCGATATTAGATCTGCGATTGGGGAAGAAGTGATGCATTTGGATTAGTATTTGCCTTTGGAGCCAAGCATAGCGTCTTTATTTATCAAGTAAAGGAAAGACAATGAACTATAGGAAGAAGAAGAGGAAGAGAAGAAGGAGAGGCTGTTGTTTTGATTATGGATTCATGTGCTGGTTTAATAGGTGAAGGAAAAAGAAGCACAAGAGACAAATGGAGATATGATTGTTGAATCAACAGTAAACGTTGAATTCTTTGCACAAGTTGTGCGTGGAAAACGTGATCGTCGTGTGACAACAGTCACGTTTCTAATGGACACGACAGGAAAGCTTTGTCTTATCTGTGGTGGTGAGGAAGGTAGTGTGCAAATCTGGTACGTTTACGCTCGAGTGGGTGTAATGTAGAGAGATGTATTGGAAGATGATGGGTAGATATTGGTGCTTTGTAGGGATGTGGCGACATTGACGATGATAGAGCAGCATCGAAAGCATCTAGTGGAGGTGATGGCTGTGACAGTATCTGCCACGTTGGATGCTAACTTTGTAGTGGCAGGAGACCGAAAAGGACAGATTAGCGCGTGGGACCGTGATGTGTATGTAAGATTTTTAATGATGTTTGTATGGTTGGAGTGGTGACAGTAATGGTGTGGGGTGTGTTGTCTTGCTGTAACGGTTGTAGTGGAACAGTTTCGGTCTTCATGCCAATCGCAGGCGATGGGATTCACTCCATGGCTATTTCACCGTACGACAAAGCATTGATAGCTGTAGGATACCGAAGTGGAGTGCTGTGCGTTGTGGATGCAGCTAAAAGAACCGTGCGTCACCGTCTTTTTGGTCATGATCAGGAAGTTCAATGTGTGGCGTGGAAGTCGACAGTCAAAAGCACACACCCTGCTGGAGAAGAAGAACAAGATTTAATTGGTTTTCCTAACCAAGAAGTATGGCTGGCCTCCTCGTCTCGGGATAAAACGATTAGAGTCTGGAAAGTCGAATTGAGTAGTGCGGAAGAACCAGTGTTGGACCAAATGCTGCGACTTCCAACGGGAAAGCAGGGCGTGTCGTATACCCAAACCAAGCAGCTATGGCTGCCTATTGCCTGGAGTTTGAGTGGCAGTCAAAAAGCAGTAGACAAGCATATTCTTTGGTCAGGGTCATTTGGTGGCGCTTTACTTCGTTGGGAGTGGAATGTAACCAAGATGGATGCTAAGGGAACAAACAGAAATAATTTCCGTGCACCTTGCAAACCAATTGTTGTCAAAGGTGGTCATAGTCGCACGCTCTTTAGCATTGTGATGGTACCTCCTCGGGGCTCTACAGCTGACGAAAACGAAGCCGTGTCTATGCTAACAGTTTCGCTCGATCGGGAACTGAGGCTTTGGAAAGAGAATGTATTTTCAAAACCTTCAGCAGCAATTTGCGTGCACAAGCTGAGTGGATTGGGTGGACATGCATACAGCGTTTCCTACAACGCAGCAACGGGCATCGTGGCTGCTGGCATTGGGGATCAGACAATTCGGCTTTGGTATCTAGGCATTGAAAATTCATCCGTAGCAAGCGCCTATCAGTGCGATCTGTTGTGGAAAGGGTTGCAAAGCAAGATCACTTGCGTTCAATGGCATCCATTCCAGCAGGCTTTGCTGGCTTATGGTATGGAAGATGGGCGCATTGGGGTATACAACGTCCACGCAAAGACATACAATTATTTTCGCACCAGTCACGATGAAGAGGTTCGACAGCTTCGGTGGATCGTTCGACAGCCAAAGAAGGCTGATGACGTTGGTGAAGACGAAAGCTTATTTCTTACAAGTATCAAACAATTAGAAGCTGCACAGGCGGAAGGTCAGAGCCTTGAAAATGCATTGATTGTTCAAGAAAGCCAAATAAGTAAGCGCTGCAATAGAGATGATTTGATAGTCTGCTTATGGAGCTGCGACACTGGCGGTACACTCTTGGAATCGAACGCTGACGTTGTTGACCAGAAATCGCGTGAGATTAAGCTAAACAATGTTGCGTTTGAGTGGGATGAGCAATGTAAGTTTGTTGCTATCGGGTGCGCTAATGGTGTTGTGGAAGTAATGCGATGGGATGAAAGTACTTACGGCAACTGCAGAATAGTATGTCGCTTTCACGAACATTTGGCGTCCATAACATGTCTTGCGTGGGGCAAAGGTACTGATGCTTCCTTGCTGGCTTCTGGAGACGAAGATGGAAAAATATTCGTCTACAGCTGCGAGCACGCTACTTCTTGGACAACGCAAGCAACTGGCAACTTAATTCAAGATGGCCGTCTTCTCGGTGGCTTAGCAGGTCACTCAAATAAGATTTTAGACTTACGATGGTGGTTCTGCGACGAAGTCCAGTCTTTCCTCGCCTCAAGCTCTGCAGATGGAACTGTTCAGGTTTGGAATCTGGCATCCTTTCAGAGGGAAGCGTATTTCAATCATCATGTTGGCCGCGTCCTGTCGCTGGACTGGGTACTGCCGTACACGCTTGTTTCAGGTGGCGAAGACCAAACGCTGCGCTTTTGGGATATTAGAGAGCAGCAGAAGGAGCTACAGCCTAGGTTGAAGAAGCATGGCAAGGTGAAACAACCACAGAATGTCCAAATAGCATCAACACTCGCGGCTCAAGCTACTGTTGTTATGCAAAGCGGAGACGCAGCTAACCCAACGACCTTGCAAGATTCATTTTCTACAGGCCACTGCAACGCCCAGCTTTTGATCAACAAGAAGTCTAAAAAGAGTTTGTTTGTTTTTCATTCCGCCACGACGCCTACGCCAACAGAAACTGCTTCAGCGTGCTGTAGTGTAGCCGGAGTAAAACAGAAAACGTCTGACACCACACCTGGAAAGGATGCCGACGAACCGGTAAACAACCTTCTCGCTTATACTGATCGCGTATCCCTTCAGAGTTTCTTCGCTTCCGAATGCAAACGCTTTCGAGAAGAAGGGGAATGGGAGAGTCTGGCGAATACTTTGCTGATACAGGGCAAGATTACTGAGGCCCTACGAATTGTAGCGAAGGAAGGAGCTTTGACACCAACGTGGCTATCGTACGCTCCAATGGCCGGCATGGATGTATGGCGAGAAATGACGAACCTTTACGCCCACCAACTTGATGCCCAGGGTGACAAGAAAGCGGCAGGTTCGTGTTGTTGCATTTCATGATTTTGTTAAGTCGTGTCTGATCGATCGCTATTGTTGCGCCAATGCGGTTGGTCATGCAGCATTTTATTTCCTCAGCATTGCAAAGGTTCGTTCTGCAGTTGCCTGTTTGGTGAGTGCTGATGCTTACGAGGAGGCGTTAGCACTCATTCGATCAAGGTTAGGACCTTGTGATTCTCTTCTTTACGACACCTTGTGGAAATACGCCGATTCCCTTGGAATGCGTGGTCAACATGGAGAAGCAGCTCTAGCCCTTCTGAATATTGGTTCCGTTGCGGCGAAGGCACGGGCTGTTTATACGCTTGTGAATACAGGTGATATGATCTATGTCAGAACTGCTCTAGATGTACTGCAAACAGAATTGGAAAAGCATGAGAAGTTTGCGGGCGAGTACGATAGAGATTGTCAAGATGTTGTCGACAAGCTTTCATTTCCTGCAAGCTTTTTCATCTCAATTGCAAGTCAAGCTCTTGTGCATGCGCGTCTTGATATTGCTGAAACTGCGGGATACTTGCTTCAATCTTATCGATCTGGGTCCACGTCCTCATCACCGCATGATCGTTTGACATGGTGCCTGCTTGGTATTCTAAAAACATATGATGAGCATCAACTAGCCCACTGTGTACTCAAGGAATTTGACGATGACGTTGTGGCTAAAAGACTTGACAATCTGCTCCAGTCTGACGCACCTGAAAGTGTTCGCGAGTTTTTCAAATTCTTGACAAGTCGATGCATGGACGAAAATGATAGTGATCGCTTTTATGACGTCATGGTTGAACAACACGCTTTTTCAAACCTTCCGAAAAGGAAGCAAAGCAGGCAGTGGCTGATGGGTCGTACCGATCATTTTTGGTTTCAAATATTGAGTGTTTGTCGAAGATGTGGGTACTGGTTTGATATCGACGGAGATGTTCATATTCAGGAGGCACAAGATATCTTAGTTGAAGCAAGCTGCTTCAGCGATATTGAAAAGGCTGTGGCAGTATGTGTGGGTACAGTAAAGGATGCCTCTGCTATCTTGTCGTTGCAAGTGGGTCAGAAATTACTACGGTTTGTCATGGATGTAATGAGCACGAGTTTTATTGGCGCTCTGGAGCACATGCGGGAGGTTTTCTTGATTCTGGCGCAAGACAAGACCTTGACTAGCACTCGTGGCACCAACGTATCCTCAATTACTGAAAGCGTTTCTCCTCCGATAACTCGCACTGAACGTCTTGATATGATGATACTGCTATATGCGGGCGGTTTTGCGTCCCCGAACAAGTCACCACAGTGTGGTGAGCTTGCAGAGGAGCGACTCGATACACTTGTGCTGTGGAGTTCAATTTTGCTATCACAATGCAAGCTTTTTGTGGCATCTTTGACACGAAATTTTGAGAAAAACAAATGGATTAACGAGCAGGATGTAGAGTCTCGGATTGAATCATTGCTGCATCAAATTTGCTTTTGGTTCCTGCATGACAAAGCCAGAAAATCATTTAGTCAAAGTTTAATGGATGCTGGGAATCAATTGCAGCTTCAAATGCTGCTGAATGAGATGCTTGTGGCAGTACATAGGCCTACCGCATGTCAGATACAAGACGTGGGATGTTGCGTTGATGAACAATCTCAGCAAAACGAAGACACAAGCAAGTATTTGTCGAAAAAGCAAGCTCTCATAGATGCCGTTGAAGAGATGCGATTGCGGCTTACCTGGAGTAATGATGGTGACAAGCAGTAAGTCTAACTATTTTCTTGACAAGGAATGTGCTCAAGCAACAAATGCTTTAACTGGTCGTGTCAGCAAATGTCAATAAGTCCCATGACGAATGTTGTACGATTCGCCTGCTGGTAGTGCGATGTAGAATGGTATCACGCAATTTCAAGGAGAAGCAAAGCAGTAAGTCGTTTCAAGGTAAAACTCGTTCCATTCCCAACAGTGAATGCAGCTTCTAGCTCTTCAAATACTTGTATGTGCAAATGCTGCGTGCTGCAAAGTTGCTGATGGGCTCAAATCTGAACTTGTGGCTGTCAAAGATGCTTGTCCTCGACTCATACCTTCTCTACTGCGCTCATGTTGAGCCTATTAAAATCCTGTTTCTGCATGATCTATTCGGCAGCTTGAGTCTTATGCATTGCGTGACCTGATTACAATGGCGAATCTCTCCATCGCTTTTCTTATCAACTTGAGCATATACAATGCGATGTTTTAAACATCCTTGGACGCTTCTTATCGTCTATAGAGGCAGCAATGATGTCTCAGTACGAAGCCATGAGCAAAGAAAAGATGCCGGTACTTGTTCTAGCTTCAAATAATCGGCTGTTCGGAACTTCGTAGCAGATACATACACAATCACTGGTAGCGACGATATTGGCACTGAAGAAAGCTGCGGCACGATCCACCACATGATGTTAATTTGTACGGACACGAAATATATTTCACATGTAAACAGGTCGAGACCTTGAAGACGACCTCAAAGCTAGTTCCACGTAATCACATTCTATCGCCAGCCTTTAATCTAGCAACCACCACCTGCACCTTTATGACCAACACCGTAACAGTCGGAATTATCCCTCAACTCCAAGTGTAACTAGTTTGCAATCGTAAAGGATTCGTCTCCAACCCCACCATCCACGCTACTGGCGTCAATGCTGGCCGCGTACTTGCTAGCAAGCTCCAAATCAGCCTTAAGCTGCTCCATGCCGGACGATAGCAATTCCCACAAATCGGGCGTTTGACCTTGTCCCCCCGCAGCCAACGCGTCATCTTCCGGAAGATCCGTGTACTGTGACAGTTGCTGCGTCAGACGATGAGCCCGCGCCGATAACACATTGTTTTCGGCCTGAAGCTCAGCAAGCTTTACGCGAAGCTCGTCATGTACGTTTGTCTCTTCCAAACGAGCCTGGGCCAAATGTTCCAGCTCGTCTCGCAGCAAACCATTCTCGTGCACAATACGGTCAATTTCATCGCGTGCCTCCTGCTCCACGTGGCGGGTAAACTCTTGCGCACGGCTAAGCTTATCCTCGCTGTCGCGAGACAGCTCCTCGCAGTATGCCTTCGATTTCTGCAGTAAGTCTTCCAGCTCGCGGTTCATTTCCTCTAGCCTTCGGTTCACTCGTTTGTACTCATCCATTTCCTGGTGCAGATGAGCTTTCTTCTCGCTCAAACTACGCAACTGGCCAACTTCTGATTCAAGCGAAACTTTCTCTTGCTGGGTCATGCTTAATTCTGCGCGCATCTGTTCCAGGTCATGCTGAGAACGGTCCACCATTGTCTTCGCCGCGTCATAAGCCTGGCGAATGTGCTCACACTCGACATTTAGCTGTGACAACTTCTGCTCCGACACCTGCTTGTCTGTCTTGTAGCGATTGACAAGGTCCTGGAGTTGCGATACTTCACCTTGAATGCGTTGGGTTGCTGCAGCAACCTCCGCGTCTTTGCCGTTGAGAGCGTGGGTGGCATCTACGAGCTGGCGCTGAACGTCAGCATGCGCCGCCTTGAGCTGCTCGAGCTGACCGCGCGTCATCTGTTGTTGATTGTCAGCTTCATCGCGCACTCTTTGAACTTCTGACATCAGTGAAAAATTCGTTTTCGTTAGAGACTCGATCTGCCTCTCTGCATCACCGTGCTCTGCACGCATAGTGTTAAGTTGTTGCTCTGCTTGCATCGCCTTTGCGCGAGTTTGCTCCAATGAGTGCAAAAGCTCATCATTCGAGTGTTGCAGCTCGCTTGCTGAAGACTGAACGGAGGCAAGTTGCGCTTCTGCCTGCTCGTACAATGTTTTCAGTTTCTTTTGTTCTTCGTCAGCTGCGACGCGCTCGGAGTACAAAGCTTGCAATTTCGCAGCAACCTCATCCTTGGAGCGCACCGCATCTTGCAGCTGCTGAGTCAGGGACTGTTCCAGACCACGAAAGTGACGGATTTGTTGTTCCAAGTTCGTAATTTCACTCTGGGCACGATCCAGCTCATCGCGGGAGACGGACGACTGCTTGGCCATTTCAACTTCTTGTTCAAGTCTTCCACACTTCTCCTGCTCAGTGCAAAATTGAGCTTGAACCTTCTCTAACTCATCCATGGTAGACTCCAGATTGCCTTGAAGTTCGTAAAAACCTTCCATATTCTCTTGTGCCATCTCCTGTAAGTTCTGAAGCTGCTGCTCTAGTAACTTCTTCTCATTCATCTGATTTTTCACAAGATCTTCCAGTTCCTGGACTTTCTGTTGCAGCTCATGCACGGAAGCCTGAGACCGAGTCAGCTCTGCAGCTAGAGAATCCTTCTTAAATCGTACTTCAGCAAGTTCGGTCTCAATCACAGCTAGTTGCTCCTCACTTTTCAAAGCGGCGGCAGAATTAGTTCTCAATTCGACTAATTCGCGCTCAAGGTTCGAGTTGGACGCTTCTGCTCGAGCAAGGCTGTTTTGTGCCTGCATTAACGCATCACGAGTTTGCTGCAGTTGACTTGTAATATCATCCAAGCGTTTAACGTCATTAGCCAGAACGGAGTTGGCTGTACGAAGTGCGACCAGCTCTTGCTCCTTCGCAAACAGCGCTTGGTCTTTATCAGAAACACTAGCCTCAATAGCGCGAAGGAATTCCACATCCTGTCTAAGGCCGTTCAACGCGACTTCGTCGGCTTGCTTCGCTTCAAGCAAAGTGTTGTGCACAGAAAGAAGGCGATCAAACTCATTCGAAAGCGCACTATAATTCTGCTCCAAGTTTGACAAGTTCTCCGCCTTTTCATTCGCAGCACGCCCAGCGTCTTGAAGGTCCCGCTCCAGCGCTACGATGCGCTCCTCCACCGAAGGTTTAGAAGCACCTGTATCTTCCTGATCATCATCACCCTCTGACTGCACGGAAGACAACATTTGATACTGCTCTTCTAGCCAAGCATTGCGGTTGTTCAAATGCAAATTAAGCTCCATTGCTTCAGTTAGCTCACGTTGAGCAGTGGCAACCTGCTCAGTAAGCACACCAATAGCACCACCATCACCTCCGACCACCACAAATTTCTCGTCGTCCTCTTCCGAGGCTTCGCCTTCTCCATCAAAGACAGCACGGCCTGCATTTTCGGTCTGCAGCTTTGCAATTTCCCGAGTCTTTCGGCATAGTTGTTCTTGCAACTCGGTAAGCTGAGTTTCCAATTCAATAACCTTGTCCTGAAGTAGGATTTGACCTGACACCGCAAATTCGCAAAGATCTGTCGCCTTGGTCACAGTTACAGCTGATGTTTGTGCGATCTGCTGCTTCAAGTCCTCATTGATTTTCCACAGCTCGACGCAGTCGTGTTTGTAATCCTCCAGCTCCTGCGCCTTACTGGCAGCATATGCCTTCTGTTCATGTGCGTACTTTTCCAAAGCCTTTATCTTCTGTTGGTCTTCGTCTTGCACTTGCTGTAGCTTCTGCTCGTGCTCACAAACAACGCCCTCGAGCTTTTGACGCAGCTGTTCGAGTGCTTTCGCGTCCGCTTCACCGTGAGCATAAACCTCATCAAGTTTCTTTCTCACCTCCACCGTTGCAGCTTGGGCTGCATCCAGAGCTTGCTCTTTTTCCATCAAAGACGCCTCTAGCGTCTCCTTCTGCTGTAAGACTGATTGCAACGCCACCTCCTTTTCCTTCATCTGTTGCAGGTATTTTTCACTAGCAGCATCGCTCGCTACACGAACAGCTTTCGCCATCTCTTCTTTTGCAGCCTCACATGTCGTCGTCAACTCATCAATCTGTTGTTCATACTTTTCTTGAAAACCACTAAGCTTTTTGTTCGTCTCTAGCGCAAGTTGTAGCTCCTTTTCCTTTTCCTGCAGCTCCATTTCCAATTGCTTCTTTACATCAGCCAATGCATCACTAGATACAAAATAAAAACACTGTCAGCTTCTACTTTTTCCTACAAGAAGGACACACCCCACACTTCCACACCCCCACACTCCCACATATATACATATATATACACATATATATATATGACACACAAAATGCAATATCGTACCGCATATCTGTAATATCTTGCACCTTTTCCAGCAGCATAGGTTCGGACGTATACTCGACTTTATATTGAAGCTGTAGATTTAAATCCTTTACGACTTCCATCTCTTGCTTTAATTGTGTCATTTCTTTTCTCCATCCAATTCTTTCTTTCTCCATTTGTTCCACAAGTGTCTTTTTTTCAAATTCATGTTGTCCAACCTTAAGCATCAAAGTATTCATTCGTTTAAGTAACAGTGTCATGGCAGAGTCATCGGGGCTTTTAGTAGGGGTAGGTAACACGGAATTCAAGGAAACTTCAACTTCAACTTGAGACGGTACGCATGGCGTCGTAAGATCAAGAGGTGATGGTGTCATGGGTGGTGTCACTTGCTGCGGAGACAGCGTAAGTATCTTTTTCTCTGCATGCACATTTGTGTCATCTTCTTGTTCACCAAAGAATGCAGTCCACATGTAAGAAATAATTCCACTGAATCAAGTCCAGACTTGTAATCAGAATAATCTTCCTCCTCCTCTCTTCTTTCTCTCTCTTTCTAACGTTAGCTTGTGTGGAATGCGGAGAGTCACACGAGACTTGATTGGACTGAATGTTTGTTTGGAAACACGTAGTCAAAAAAAAACCTACGGATTTACGTTTACTATGCTAAATGAAAGGATGTGGAATGGAAAAATTTAATGTGGTTCCACGTAACCCGTGCGACCAAAGAGTACCATATTCTAGGTACACTTGGGGGCACCCGTGGACCAACCAAAATAAAGTACTGTACCAAGCTACACTGCATTGGACGACGGACAGAGGAAGTTGATTAGTTCCAGTATAATTGTCTTTACATACACATACGACTCTGTTCATTGAGATTCAAAAGCCAAGTTGATTTGATACAAGATGGTTGTTTATAATTTTAAAAAGATTCAGACAGTACCAACGGCCAATGATTTTATTGATATCGTGCTCACCCGTACGCAACGTAAGACGCCAACGGTGATCCATCCAACATACGCCATCTCACGCATTCGTGCATTTTACATGCGAAAGGTTAAATTCACGCAGCAAACTTGTCAAGAGAAACTTAGCCAGATTATTGATGATTTTCCACGTTTGGATGATCTGCATCCATTCTATGCAGACCTTATTAATATTCTGTACGACCGTGATCATTACAAACTAGCGCTTGGTCAGGTTAATACGGCTCGAGCACTCATTGATAATATTGCTAAAGACTACGTTCGTATGATCAAGTATGGTGACTCACTCTATCGCTGTAAACAGCTCAAACGTGCTGCTCTTGGACGTATGTGCACGCTGCTAAAAAAGCAGAAAGCATCGCTTGAATACCTTGAAGAGGTCCGCAAACACTTGTCGCGTCTGCCATCTATTGATCCAAATACGCGCACTTTGTTGATTACAGGCTTTCCTAATGTGGGCAAGTCAAGCTTTATGAACAAGGTCACGCGGGCGGATGTGGACGTGCAACCCTATGCTTTTACGACGAAGGCTTTGTACGTTGGTCATCTAGACTACAAGTATCTCCGCTGGCAGGTCATTGATACCCCTGGTATTCTTGACCATTCGCTGGAGGATCGGAATACGATTGAGATGCAGGCTGTCACGGCGCTGGCACACTTGCAAGCGTCCATTTTGTTCTTTATGGATATTTCGGAGCAATGTGGCTTTACAATTGAACAGCAGCTGAGTCTGTTTGAGAACATTCGACCACTTTTTGCAAACAAGCCACTGGTGTTGGTATGCAACAAGATTGATCAGATGCGGTTTGACGCTCTCTCGGAAAATCACCAGGAAATGATTAATACAGCGGTGGAAGAGACCAAAGCAAAGCTCTTTACAATGTCCAACCACTCGGAGGAAAACGTCATGGATGTTAGAAATTACGCGTGTGATGAGCTGCTGTCACATCGTGTGAATTCAAAGATGAAGGGCAACAAGGTGGCAGATGTGCTAAACCGTCTCAGTGTTGCAATGCCGGTGGCTCGTGATGACGTGAAGCGTGAAATTACCATTCCTGCCAGTGTCATTGCCGCCCGTGAGAATCCGAATGGTGTAGTGCCACGCACCCTTCAGAAGGACAAGATGAACGCCAACGGCGGTGCTGGTGTATACTCGTTTAACTTTAAAGAGCACTACAAGGGTATGCTTCGCAACGATGATTGGGCTCAGGACGCTATCCCTGAGATCTGGAACGGCAGAAACATTGCCGACTTTGTCGATCCCGAAATTTTGAAGCGTCTTGATGCTTTAGAGCAGGAAGAGGACGAAGCTATGGCGAACAACGCTCCTATGGATGAAGATGAGGAAATGAGTGATCTTGATGACGAACAGAAGGATAAGGTTGCTCGCATTCGTGAAAAGAAGGCCATTATTGTCGCTTATCACCGCCAGAACAAGAACAAGAACCACGCGACTGTATCACGAAAAGTGCTTGCAAAGTTTCGAACGCTTACTGAAACGAAGAAAGAGTTGGAGGCTCTTGGTGTGGATACAAGTCACATGAAACACGCAGAGGCTGTTGTGGCAAAGAGGAAGGCGGATAATGAAAGCCGTGGTCGTAAACGCGATCGTGAAGATATGGACGTGGAAATGGAAGACCCGACTGAAAGCTCGGATCTGCGTGTACGTGCTCGTGCCAAGTCAGCACTGCGCTCGAAATCCAAGAATCGTTCTCAATCTCTTGTTGCTCCACGTGATCAGTCAGGGTTTGGTAATGAGGCTGCTTTGGCTGCTGTTAAGCGTGCTACTCGGTTGACGCAGCGTAAGGCCGCTAAAATGGGTCGTGCTGGTGAAGCCGATCGAATATCGGTTCCTAAGCTTGCAAAGTGGCAGAATTCGGGCAAACGTGGCCAGGGCAGCATGAACTCGCGTTAAATTAACTTTAACATCCCGTTAGCTTTTTTTTGCTTTTCTGCCTTATTGCATAGTATGGTGGTAGTCAGGAGATAGAATGGAAGGACTTTTTTATCTCTTGTGACATTTACTTCTTCGTATGCTTGCTTGCTTCTATATACAATCATAGTACTTACTTAGTTACCGTCGCATTGGTTTAAAGAAACATGTAGTAGAAAACATAAGAATAACATGTACCATAGGCATAAGTTCTAAGCTCGTCAGTAACTGATAAGCCACTTGCACTGCGGCAAGCGACACTAATGTATTAAGTATGTAAAAAGTCGACTGCGAAATGAAGATCCTTTAATAAGCGGGGTATCTGACGTGCAACGGAGTGGATAGTCTGTTTCGTGTATAAAAACATTTAAAATATCATCATTATGTCTGACACAGTAATGTGTCAATGATACGCAACATTGATGCTAGGCTTATATTGAAATATTGTGGGCGTTCATGAGTTATGACTAACAACCGTTTTTCCTAATAGTATATAGTGCGTGCGAACAAGGATAAGTGAACGTGTGGTGGTTGGAGTTAGATAGACATAGATTGCTTCATTTGTCTACAATCTGGATGCAGAGGCTATGGAGAAACTTTCCGTTTTGTCACTCGACCACACAATTTACAATAATCAAACAGCCACGGCGCGTGCCTTAACCTCTTCAGATCCTGAGACGCTGCCTCTCTATTTGCCGTACATCGTCTGCCCTCAAATGAAAGCACCGCTTGCCAATACGTACGCAAAATGTCCTAGACTAACAGTGAATGTACTTGACACGTGACATAATGATCATGTGAAGAGAGCAAACTCGATGCGATTCTTTGGTGCGCGTGAACGGGGCACTGTTAGCTAGGATGTATCCTAACATGACATCTACCAACGGTGTTGCTGCGCCATCTTCAGCATGTCCGTTTGTTTCTCACCTTCCATCCGTGCACTTGTCAACTCGCTCAATCATATGTACTCTTTTTGCTTGAGAAGCAGAAGATGTGGGGACACAGTACAATCGTCGTAACACAACGGTTTTTTAGTCCATTACTGCTGCTAGTTACGCGTAGCAAGCTTCAAAGTGTCAATAAGATTTGGCACATCACTACGATACAAAGATGTTGGAGTGTGAATGAAAATCGTTAAGATTGAATTTACAGCGTGAAAAGTGCAGGTACCTTGACTATGCTAAGTTTTGATAAACTTGATCGGCCAAATGATTGATGTTTTCTTGCGTAGCGCTTCTGCCATAGTTGTCAATCGACTGATTCAGTGTCGAGTGCAACAAATCGGATTGAGAGACACGAAGAATGGACCGTGTGAGAACTTCAGCATCAACTTGTTTCAGCACGGGTTCCGCTTCCATCACTTCCACCAGATCAATCCAAAGACGTTCAAAGACGTTATTCTTCTCGATGACGATTACATTTTGCACGCGAGGATCGTCATGGACCAGGCCAATCTTGTGGAGCTGCCATAACAATTAAAAAAGTCTAGTACTTCCTCTCGAGTCGTTGGTTGAGGTATCGTTCTCCCAACAGGAGATAACAAGAACGCCGCGCTTTCAGGAGTTGCAATCAGCAACCTTAACAAGAAACACAATCGCAATACAGTCATTTCACTAAACGAATCGTTAAGCCTGTATGCTGCGCTTTTGTCAAAGCTAATTTTTCTCCATAAGATGACGTTTATGGCTCGCCACAATTTTAGAGCAAAAACCTCTCCATCTTGCCCAGATACCTTGAAAACACGTCCGTATGCACCACGGCCGCCAAGAAATGCATCGCCCTCGACAACATCAACGCCGAACGAAATACAGGCTTTGTTTAAGCGGGCCACCCATGGGGACATGTTGTCTGAAATGAAATTCTGAAACAACAGTTTTGAGCCTTTGTTAACCCAATTTGCTTTCTTGACCTCACGAGGAGCATGGCGGCGGCGTGTGATTAACCAAAAGGAGCGCCGATCAAAGAGAACAGCGCTTCCCGTCTGAAAGCCAGGGCTTTGCAGATATCGCACCACTCGGCCAGACGCAGCGTCAGTTATAGCGAGCTTGCTTTCAAATAAAATGATGCAGTCGAATAGTTATTTTTCTGCTACTCCAAATCGAAAGTCATTCGGCCGCTGCACTCCATCGTTCGGTCTTGGCTTGACACGAAACATTCCACGATGAGTCGCAAATCCATCCGGTTTGAAGTCTGTCTTCTTAGACACAAGTGAAGATTGAGACAGCCATTGATAACTCACAGTTGACGAATACCATTCCGCAGTTCACGTTGCTGAAAAACGGAGTAATAAATGCGTCAAATACAGCCTCATCGCTGATGGCATTGGCTTGAGTCTGAATTTCCTCCGACCAAAATGCTTCTGCGCTTGCCACTGGTGCAAAATCGATGATCCGTCGTCGTTTATGCAGTCTTGAAAGCTCGAGTTGACCCAATTTCCCACTAGAGGCGGACATCATATTGTTCTTTCGATAATACTCTATATCATCTATTAGATTTTCTAATCGCGATCCTGAATCATGGAAGTTATCAACTCGCAACTGTTGTTTCTGCTTTGGAACCACTACTACCACGTGAATCTGTTCAGCCGATGGCTGCAGCATTTTGTTCTTCTCAAACAGCCAATGCTGTAGAGTCTTTGTCGCCTTCATTTTCTCTCCAAAAATCATTCTTTGAGTATCCTGATGCGTTTTTCCTTTTTCCAATTCTAGCTCAGCAGGTCTTCGTCCGACAGCCACTTGCCGTCCGTCGTTTTTGCGAGGAAGAGCTGCAACTCGTCTGCATCGACGTTCTTCAACTCGTTCGGTTTCTTCACCTGAATTGCCTTTTTTAAGTCTCCCACGGACTGATTTACGTCGATATCTACAGAGAGTACGCGTCCCGGCACACCGACAATCCCACAAAAAAGCTTTATCATCTTTTTTCGAACTCAAATTCTTAAATGAGCACTAAGTGAAAACGAACCCAGGGTCAAAATGTGTCAGCGGATGTTACATAAAGATAAAGCTCAAATCAAAAACGTGTCGCTTGATAGATAATGAAGGACAAACACCTATTTATCCATTTATTTGGTTGTACAGTCGATTGTCTTGTCTACGGAAGTGGCAAAAGTTGTTCAAATTAACTGGAAGGTCAGTGATGGAGCAGTACTGCAGGTCTTTTTTGGTATCGCTCATAACCTCGTTACTATTATTCTCTGTAACTTCATTGGAAGCGACAAGACATTGATGATGTTGACGATTCTCGACGACATCATCAATGTCTTGTCGCTTTCTCACAGGCTTTCTGGATGCTTAATTACTTGTGTGCTAGTCTATGAACGATCATATTTTCAACTAACTCGGAGCATTTGTTCAAGTTATTTCCTGTTGTCATCGGTAAACTACTATGTCGTTGTTTACAGCTCTTACGTAGCGTACATTTCTGTCTAAATTAGGCCGTATGAGGAGCATTTAGCTTTTGCTTTGCCATTGCCTGGAAAAGAACCGATGAAGAAGAAAGAAGCGACGGGTTGATGTAACAGATAAACGCTTCACTCAAACCATACAAAGTAGACGGCAAACTTTCTCTTAGTAGTACCATACTTGATGAAGCGGACGCAAAGCATTTCCATTTCATTAAACACGGAATCGTCGAGTGCAAACGTCTCTGTCTCACGGAATGCGTCGATCTACAACACCCGACGCAAGACAAACAGAATCCTTTGAGCATACAATGTCCTTTCATGACGTCCACAAGTGCGAAAATATAAAGCGTGAGGCGCGCTTATTTACGCCAGCGACGCTATCGTCAAATTAAGTCGCTCCAGTATTTTGAAAGACGGGTTTGTTTCTCATGCTAATCGTACGATATGTTATCCACTTTTTGTTGGTGTTGGAAGCAAATACAATCATACCCGATGACCCTTGGGCATTTGTCTTGTGCATTCCTCAAGTGTCGGTTAACCTCAGAACCACAAATTTTCTCCACTGATTCCAACTTGTCTTCCACTTCTTATCTCTCACCACTTGTTCAGCATATCGCTATTTGATGCCGCCAATATCAACAATCCAAATTGAGTCAGACTTTACAAGCTTTGTCAGCGCACTCCGATCAGACTTTCCTCTTAGCGGCTGTTTGCTTGGATACGCCAAAATGCTATTTTGTGAAGGTGCTACATGAGTTACCTCTTCGACGTCATACAAGAACAAAGCACACTTCCACTTTACTTCGTCAAAGCCTCCACTGATAGTGTCCAAATTTAGCTCCATCTTTTTGATCTCCTCATCTGACTGTCCATTCCTTCGAAGACGCACATAACGTGGGCGATGTCTAGTGCTGACTGAAAGAAAAGCGATCCTGAAACTTTTTCATCAGGCCGCCATTGTTGCTTCCACTATTCGAGGAGATTTGGCCTCGTTTTCGACTGTCAGCACTAAATGCAACTTCCAAATCACTCCCACTGCTATGTCCCGTGCGATCGCATCCATCCGACACTCTTTCCCCGCCATTAATGACACTACGGTGCGCATTTGCGGAGTCGTCATGGCTGTTAGCGAGCGAGAAGCGGGCTAGCTTCTGAACAGAGACACCCGTTGGAGTATCAGCTCCAGCATGATCGGTATCGCTGCCACAACTACTCGGGCCATGCGCTCCTCCAGCGTTCCCACCTCGTAACAACAAGTGACGTGTTGTGGAGAATAAGGATCCACCACGTGAAGTCGCCTGCTGCTGAGCCGCCTGCTCAGCAATTTTGGCTTTAGCTGACAGCGCTGCCTGCTTGGCAATCGGCATCATCGCGTTGTTTACTGAATTGTGGAACAGCGCGTCTTGCAACTCTTTAAGAGCGGCAGACATGCGGTCTACGTCGCCAGAATCAATAACTCCAACATACATCTGATGTTTCTTACAACCATGCGCAAGTGATGCCATTCTGCATAAAAGCCTCTTGGATCTTTTCAAACAGCACATACTTTAAATATTTCAACATACGTTTCATAATTTGGTACAAGCACAAGGAGTCATCAGAGGCAAAAATGACATTAACAATAAGCTTTCCATGGCTACAGAAACACCAGAAGTCTCATGTTCATGTTTATGACCATTAAAACCGCCTACAAACTCTCCAAAGTCCGCTTCAACTCCGTAAACGTTACCAAAAGGATCCGAGAGTTGCTCCGCTGCGGTAAAAGACCCAAATTCGTCGTTTACTGCATTGTTGAGGTTGATTGGGAGGCTTTAGACTTCAAGGCACTTTAATGCGTACGTAAACAATTGTGTCTTTGTCTGCCCCCTCCTTTCTGTAATTGGTTGAAATACATACAAAGCGGTGTACTGAAACCTAGAGTAAAGAAATTAAGAAAAGTAATAGTAATGACCAATTTATCAATCTAGTATATAGCATATATCCGAAACTAAGAATCAATCGTGTGACATAATTGTTTAAACATGGCGTGCTGGCTATCGTTCTTCTCCGAATACAACTTTGTCGTCTACTACAAGCCTGGTTCGACAAACATTATCGCCGACGCGTTGTCGCGTCCTCCCGATTACGATCCTCGCGGTGACGGTCCAGTTCGCTCCTCCATCGCGGACGAAGACGAGGGATGTGCAGCCTGTGTGGCTCTTTGGAGTAAATACGACCGCTGTGAGCGCGATCAATCCGTACTGACATCGCGACGGCGTACCATCGCAAAAGTCCTCTCTCCACTCATGCAGTACTGTCAAGATCCATCGGATGAGGCGCTGTGCAAACTGACAGCGCCGACACACAAAATTACTTGGCGCTGTTAAGTAATTTTTACTGGCCCCATATGCATAAGTGGGCTCGCAAGTGGACTCGTTCCTGCGAGACATGCCAACGCGTGACACCAGCTCCGTCCTCTCAAGCTCCGCTGACTCCACTACCCATCGCCATCGAGGCGTGGCGATAAGCTAGCATGGACTTTGTATTTGGTCTTCCAGAAGACGCGCAGGGGCGCACTGGTATCTTCGTCGTCGTTGACCGGTTCAGCAAGATGGTACATCTGGCTCCGGTCGCCGCATCAATAACTGCGGCAGATACGGCGACACTCTTCTTGGAAATGGTCTTCCGGCACCATGGAATGCCCACTAAAATCGTTTCGGATCGTGATCCGCGGTTCACAACCGCCTTTTAGTCGCGGCTGTTCGAGTTACTGGGTACCAGATTGTTAATGTCTACTGCGGCGCCCCCCGAAACCGACGGCCACACTGAACGTGTGAACCGCGTATTGGAAGACGTGCTGCGAAGTTACGCCACGTCATACGAGTCATGGAGTGCTTTCCTCCCCATGAAAGAGTTTGCATTAAATAACGCCGTTCACGCTTCAACGGAATTGACCCCCTTCTTCGTCAATAGCGCGCGTCATCCACGCGTGCCTGTCCTTCTCGGTTTGGAGGATGACTCTACTTTTGTTGGGGGAGAAACCCCAGGCGTTCTGGAGCTGACGAAGTCCGCAGCATCGGTCGCTGCGGATACAGACGATGACGCCTCGACTTTCTTGGCGTCGCTTAATGTGGCAACGACTCGCGTTGATCCGTGGACGCAAGAATTTAGAGAAGTTCTCCGTGGGTGACTCCTTGTTGTTATCCACGACAGGCATTCAAGAGGCATCTGTGACAAAATTCGGTGCAAACAAACTGTCCCCGCGCTATTGGACCGTTTAAGGGCGTCAAGGTTATGGGAAATGCCTACAAACTTGATACCCCAACTACAATGCAACTTCACCCGACGTTTTACGTCGGGCAACTCAAACGCTACTGGCCGGCCCTCCTCCCGACTGATCAGGAGGTCCCACCGCGGGATCATAACCATGGCCCGCGGTACTTCGGCTTCCTTGGCGAATCCGGTTGACGGTCCTCTCGCAACACCGCGTTGTCCTTCCGAAGAGCCGCTTTTGACTGTTCCAAACGTTCCAAGCGAGCCGTCAATCCGGCAACAGTCGAAGACACCTGCGCCACTCGCGAGTCAGCAAGCTCAGCCAGCTTCCTCGCCTGCTCCGAGTCACATTTAGCAAACCCAACGCGCTGTTGATACTCGCAAAGCTCCTTCGCGAGAGAATCGGTCATCTCAGACCCCGCCAAACTCGCAAGCACCTCATGCACGCTTCCACCGCGATGGTCCTATCCCGCTGATTGACAGCGCCGAATAACCGCGCTGGATTGTCGACAAGATTCTCGAGCATCGCGGCCCATCGGCCTTGAATTACCGCGCCTCCAGTCATGGCCGTCCCACAGCGATCTCGGACGGCCGTCAATATCGCGTCCGCTGGCTTGGTCTCCCTTCCACAAGCAATTCGTGCAAGCCTCGCTCCATTATTCTCGCTGACGTTCCAGACGTGCTGAAGACGTACAAAGCCGAGGCGAACGCGAGGCGTCATCGTCTGTATCCGCAGCGACCGATGCTGCGGACTTCGTCAGCTCCAGAACGCCTGGGGTTTCTCCCCCAACAAAAGTAGAGTCATCCTCCAAACCGAGAAGGACAGGCACGCGTGGATGACGCGCGCTATTGACGAAGAAGGGGGTCAATTCCGTTGAAGCGTGAACGGCGTTATTTAATGCAAACTCTTTCATGGGGAGGAAAGCACTCCATGACTCGTATGACGTGGCGTAACTTCGCAGCACGTCTTCCAATACGCGGTTCACACGTTCAGTGTGGCCGTCGGTTTCGGGGGGCGCCGCAGTAGACATTAACAATCTGGTACCCAGTAACTCGAACAGCCGCGACTAAAAGGCGGTTGTGAACCGCGGATCACGATCCGAAACGATTTTAGTGGGCATTCCATGGTGCCGGAAGACCATTTCCAAGAAGAGTGTCGCCGTATCTGCCGCAGTTATTGATGCGGCGACCGGAGCCAGATGTACCATCTTGCTGAACCGGTCAACGACGACGAAGATACTAGTGCGCCCCTGCGCGTCTTCTGGAAGGCCACATACAAAGTCCATGCTAGCTTATCGCCACGCCTCGATGGCGATGGGTAGTGGAGTCAGCGGAGCTTGAGAGGACGGAGCTTGAGAGGACGGAGCTGGTGTCACGCGTTGGCATGTCTCGCAGGAACGAGTCCACTTGCGAGCCCACTTATGCATATGGGGCCAGTAAAAATTACTTAACAGCGCCAGGTAAGTCTTCCCCCGTCCTAGGTGACCACTCGTTGCGCTGTCATGATACTCGTCGAGTATGCGAGCACGCAAATCATCATCAAGTGGAACGACGATGCGGGGGGGATCAAATCGATCGACCTGGTACATAGCAGGTCGCTAACAATTGTGTAGCGAGAAGACTGGGCGCGTGTCAGCGCTGTCAGTTTGCACAGCGCCTCATCCGATGGATCTTGACAGTACTGCATGAGTGGAGAGAGAACTTTTGCGATGGTACGCCGTCGCGATGTCAGTACGGAGCGGATTGATCGCGCTCACGGCGGTCGTATTTACTCCAAAGAGCCACACAGGCTGCACATCCCTCGTCTTCGTCCGCGATGGAGGAGCGAACTGGACCGTCACCGCGAGGATCGTAATCGGGAGGACGCGACAACGCGTCGGCGATAATGTTTGTCGAACCAGGCTTGTAGTAGACGACAAAGTTGTATTCGGAGAAGAACGATAGCCAGCGCGCCATGCGCTGGCTGAGGTGCGGATTTTTGTGGCTGTTCGCAACGATACGTGATCCGTGTAGAGTGCTAACGTTTTTCACCAAGCAGATATACGCGAAACCTCACTTGAGCTTAATGCTTCGGTTGTAAATCTTTGTCATGAACAGGATAACTACGCTAGGCAAGTTTCAACTGCCGAGACTGATAACTCACGATACAATCGTGACCTTCATCATGATGTTGCATCAGAGCACAACCAATCGCGAAGTCACTCGCATCACAAACGACATGAAAAGGCTTGGAATGATCTGCCATGGCGAGAACTGGAGCTGATGACAGTTTCGCTTTTTTAGCATTAAAAGCGCTTTGATGCTCCTAACGCCACGCCCACGTGGCGTCCTTCTTCAACAACTAGGACAGCGGGTGAATAACTGCAGCGAAGTCCTTGGCGTAATGATGCAGATAATTGGCAAAACCAAGCCATCGACGCAATTGCTTCGGGTTCGTTGGCTCCGGCCAGGCGCAAATCGACGCGACCTTATCAGGGTCAGCGCAAAACTTTTCGCGCTGACGTAGAAACCTAGAACAGGGATCTCTGGAGCGCAGAAGATAAACTTCTTCAGGTTCGCGTATAGCTTATTTGCACGCATGGATTCGAACACCTTACGGAGGTGACCCAAATGAACGTCAAGGTCTGTCGCGCCTTCAGCGGCGCGGTTGTGTACGAAGATATCGTCAAAATAGCTAGGCGAGAAGTCTCAAAATGGCCGCAGAACGTGCGAGACCATACGATAGAAGGTATCAGGGGCGTTTTAAGCCCCCGCGGCATCACGAGCCATTCCCAGAGCATTCCGCTGGGTGTACTAACCGCTGTTAGGAAAATGTCTTTTAGACGCATGAGGATTTGATCGAATCCGTACATCAAATCCAGAGTAGAGAAGATTGTGCTGCCCGACATGTGTCCAAAACCATGTCTTTCCGCAGAATCGGGGTCAGGGATCGTAGCATCGTTCAGCTTGTTAAAGGCGTGAACAATGTGCCACCCCCCGGTCGCTTTCTTAACACAGAAGGTGGGACTCGATTGTGGAGAGACACTCTCACGAACGTAACCCGCCTGTCTTCGTCCTTCGAAGAAGGCTGTCAATTGCATCAGCTTGGTCACGAAGAAGCGGCCACTGCCGCGTAACACAATATTTAGAACCTGGCACGAGATCGATCTCGTGCCGTACACCGCTGTCAGCAGGCAGGACTGCTGGAACCTTATCCGGGAAAACATCAGCAAACTCTCGTGCCAGTTTGATAATTGGATTATTCGAGGACTCGAGCTCATCCCATGACTGTCCCGCGAGGCGCTCTTCGCGTACTGACTTTGGCTCCATCCCTGCAGGACGCTCGTGGTTGGCGAGCGTCGTCTGGTAGACAACAACACATAGTTGTTGGATCTCCCCCCTCTTAAGATCACGCAGCATTTCATCCCAAAAGGCATACGTGGGCTCTTCATTGGACGATGTTTTACCAACCTTTGCATAGAATCCGCTACTAATTTGGAGAGAAAATTGTGTTGTACTTTGCACGGCTAGAATTTTGTACGAAGATGCTTGTCTTTCCTGCAGTTGCGGGCATTATCACGTTTGTTTATATTGAAGCACGTCAGGCTGCTACGGGTACCAACGAAAAGGCTACATTCTTATCGTCTTTGCCGTCTTTGTAGTTCTTTGGTCGTCCGTTTTTTCCGAATCGTGGAAGCGGTATATTGGATTCGCTCTGGGGTCTAAGTGGCTTGCACGAATCATTCCATACATTCATCTGTGACGTATGAAGTGACAATGAAGTACAAGATGTCGTGAAATGATCAAGTGTTGAAGTAGTTGCTGTAGCAAGAGATGTTCCAAGTGCTTCATACTGGGTCTCGATTTGTCTGTTTGTTTGTTTGTCTGTTTGTATATCGAGGTGTTGCGTGTTGTGGAGACGCAATTTGAGAACTGAAATATATAATTTCGTGGTAAGAAACAAAAGTTATACATCTGACGTTAAAGTTGCCATTTAGTTTTCCACAATATTACGTTTGGTTTTTGTATCGTCTTTTGTGTCATTTATTCTTTCTGTAAAATATAAAAATAAAAAACCATGACTTATGACAATCGTGATATGATACCAACGACGGCGAAACCAGTGCGATATTCTTATTTAGAGATAAAAGAAGCACAGCGCGTGTGTGGGGAAAAGATGATGGTGGCAGCATTACGTGAATGTGGATCAGTATCAGACGCTCAACAGCAGATTTTTCGAGCGCATGTGAATGATTTGTGCGCAACAGTCTTTGCAGCAGCATTACGGAAATATAACCCTGAAAATCAAGGTGAAGGATTGAAGTGATGGTATCGAATCATAGTTCTCTCTCATTCTTGCTGATGAACTGTTATTATGGTAGAGGAGGTGGCACCAGTGGATGAGGAATTAGCAATGAAACTCAAGCAAATGGAGACGAGATTGAAGGAAAAACAAAAAGCTGTCAAAAAGCTTCAGGAACAAGTACCGAGGATGGCGGCAGCAAATGCACGCGACGAATTAATGAAGGCTCGTAAACGCCATGCAAATGTGCTTGTAACGTACGTTTGTATACATAGGTGAATGTAGTATCGGGGATTGGAATGTGAAAGACTGAAGCAATTGCATGTAGAGAGCTGAAACTGACGGAGGGTGTCGGGTTGGAGTTGACTGAAGAACAGATTGAGGCATTGAAGGCAGCTTATATCAAGGTAGAGCTGAGATGAAAGTGAGGGGTTATGATGTTGTGACTGGTGCTGATTCTTTTGAGTGCTTGCTGATGCAGACGGCGTCTTCGATTGCAATTACAAGTGCCAAGATGTCCCAAGTTAGGAGCCAGACAATCGAAACCATTAGTATTGTACGTCAATGAGACTATTTGACGTCGCAACGGGCTTAGTTGACGTCGCAACGGGCTTAGTTGACGCGGTGTTGATTTGATATTCTAGGTGGAACAGGCGATGAAGCGGCCAAAGACGGAAGTCGATCTTGCCATGGAAAACAGTCCAGTCAAGCCAAAAGCGCTTTTGAGCGTGCAGGTGAGCATTATCGAATGCTGGTGGTGGAAAATGATTGTGCTTCTGGCGTGACTCATTCAGCTATTCCTGTCGTCATGCAGGAAAAGAGCAGTCTACAGCAGCCGTCTCCTCTTCGTACGCGTCTCGCACTTCAACTGAGCGCATCCAAGAACGTGTAGTAGTAACTTTCTTTGTTACTTTGTTTGAAGACATGAAGCAACACGTTGGTGTTCTTTATGGAGCACATGATACATCGCTACGTTAATCGTTCTTTTTGCGTTGATACATAGAGCGAGCGATCACTGTATACATACATGACCGGGACAAACGTTCTGTTTGATTACTTTTTATTAACGAATCAAATTGATATCCACGCAATATAATTCTATTTAATGTAAATATTACCCAAATATTGTGAAATCATTTCGTCTATTTATTCAAATTATTCTTGTTCTTCGCCGCTTTTTGACCCATTGCTCCGGTCGCATCTCCGTCACTCGCACAAATGAACTCATGCAGTGATCCATTCCAGGATCCGTCCATGCTGCGTGCACAATCATCAGATACAAAAGTCATCAACTTGATGGCTCCACCACCGGTTTCTTCAGTAGACAGTGTGCCGTCACTGTACCAGATCCCGCCTTCTTCTTCTTCTTCTTTTGCTCCTATGACTACTAATCCATCACATTCGAACCTTATGGATGAGATTAGTGATCAGATAAAGACTACAAATAGTCAACAGATTATCAAGTTTATGAGAATATTGAATCTAGTACTGGCCTCGGCTACTATTACAGTGGGTGTATTGGCGTGGCTATTGGGCCAAGTGAATACATTCCACAAGGCCATTGCAGGGATCTACATCATGTAAGAGAGAGAGAGACAATTGGAAAGCAGTATGTAGTCGAGAGGAGAGAGAATTGACTATTGTTGATGATGTTGTTGGTTTTTGTGGGTCTGTAGATTGTTTGGTATATTGCTATTGGCGTTTGAATTGCGTACTGATAAGACAGACGTGGTCCTGCGCACAAACTTTGGCTTTATGTATGGCAACAAGACACGGACCGTATTTCTTGTCTTGTACGTTCAAGTAACATGTTGATTCCAGTACATGACACTTGTGTACTGATCATGTTGATGCTGCTGCTGTCTTTTTTGCCTGTAGTATTGCAATCTGGCCGCTTTCGATGGGTAATTTCTGGCTGACGATTCTAGACGCTGTGCTACTGTTCGTCAATGCGTTTTTCAACTACTTTGTCATCTCACAGCACCCAGCTTTTTCTACAATGCCACCTGTACAAGACGTTAATCAACCTCAAACCTATCAACCTACTAGCAATATACCTCCTTCTGCTCACGCGAACGTGTAAGAAAGAGATGAAGGATTGAACCCATTTGCAATGATAACGTTCGTCGTCCACAGTTCTTTTAACACATTTTTAATCTCTTTTGTCTCTTTTTTTCAGTCTCATTGTACCCATTTCGTCCATGAGATGGCTACTTGGGTCCAAATATATTGATTGTTTCATCCTTATCATACACAACGTCACCAACCACATATTTGAGTGCTCACAGAGAGATACAAGCCTCGATGTCATCCTCGTCTATTACGTCTAAACGCAGCAAGTTAGAGCGTAAGAAGGCTCGACTTAATCGAAGAAAGATTGCAGCAGAAGCAGAACGTGATGCATTGGCTCGAGAAGCTGAAGCAGCGCGTGTAGCGGCCATTAGTCGCAGTCGTTTACGTCGTCTTCCGCCTTGGCTGCCCACGCTTCCATCGACCAATAGCTTCGACGCTGCAGTTATTCAAGACCTGAACGACATTTCAAGACCAGTTGCTCTTCGTTTAGGTGAAGAAATGATCCGTTATTGTGCCTATACACAAAGATTAGTGGATGCTGCACGCCAATACATTGATGCAGCCATTGCGCATATTTCTGAGGGGGTACGCACGATTTGGCCTCATGCGTCTGTCATGTGCTTTGGTTCATACTCTACTGGTCTTTGGCTTCCGTCTAGTGACGTAGATGTAGTGATTATGGGACTGTCTAATGCTAAGGATCGGGATGTACCGACACGTTTTGTCCCTGATGGAGTAAATGAGCTTGAACAATTAGCAAGACAACTTCGACCTCAAAAAAGCTGGGTGCAACGTGTTGATGTGGTACGAGGAGCTAAAGTTCCTGTGGCAAAGTTGTGTCTTCGACGTGGTAGTCAGCAGGAAGGTGAGAACTCGGTGTTATTACGGGTGGATATTTCGATCGAGAATGTGCAGACATGCAATGGACTGGAAGCGAGCAAGTTGGTGCGACAATATGTGAATAATCTGCCTCGACTGAAACCGTTGATAATGGTGTTAAGACAGATGCTACGAGAGAAAGCACTAAATAGTGCATTTACTGGAGGCTTGAGCTCGTATGCTGTTACGTTGTTGGCCGTGTTTATGATGAAACTTCAACGGCATGAGGAGCTAGAGAGTGAAAATGACGATGAAGATCAGAACTATATATTCAGCGAGAAACAAATGCCTGATGAACAACAGAACGCAAGGAAACTTGGTCAATTGCTGCTTGATTTTCTGGAGTATTACGGAACTTCGTTTGATTATTTCACGACAGGACTTTCACTCAAACCCGAAGCATTTGGCGCATATCCACTTGCACCACATTTGTCAATCACCAATGGCTTGCCACTCATGCCGCAACTTGTTATTGACGACCCAGTGTATAAGAACGGACAGCACAACGCTGCTGCAGGAGCATTTGCGCTTGCTCGTGTAGTGGCCGCGCTAGAGGATGGATATTTTGCATTGTGGTATCATCGACCCACTGTGTTCACTCCGACTCCATTGTGTCAATTGCTGCACTGGTCTGGCCACCTTGTAAGTTACTCTTCTGTCACGTCGTCTACGACCCAGTAGCAAATGTGACAAGCGACTAGTGGCGTCACGTATGACGTAAGAAGCAGTGCTGCTTTTTTGTTTTCAACAACAATCGTAGCTTCAACGGCAAAGCCACTTCGTTGCAGTAGCAATAGAAGACAAGCCAATAGAGGGTAGAGATCACAAAGTCTGTTCATATAAGATGGACTTCGTGATTTTAACTAGAGCGTACGCTACGAAGGTATACAGTGTTGTTTCTAGCTACTAATCTCCTCAGCAACGGCAACAGTGCTCTGCTGCTTCTCTAAAAGCTGCTGCTGGCGCTCAAACTCATCGTAGTCGATGTTGGCCAGGACGTAGATGATCAACAATGAGACAACCGTCATCTTCAAGAGATGGCGCACGTCCTTCAAAGTAAATGCGCGCAGCGAAGCGATGAAAATCTGTGGCGCAAACATCAAAAGACAGATCTGGTCCCACGCAAAAGCACCCAGCACCTCAAGAGTAAGCAATCCCGTAAGAATACGCGTGAAACGCAGGTCAGGCATGGGCACAATTTGCAACACTTTGTTAAACATGGGCATTCGCTCCGTGCACAACAGAAATACACCAACGATACTGATACCGAGTGAATAGAGGAGACCAGGATTCTCCGTCATGGGCTTCATAAATGGTCGGCCCTTATAGTTCACAGCACACACGCTCACCGTCTGCACGCCATTGATAAGGAATATGACCGTGCTCATAACGTTGGGCTTGTATTCGCCAGGCTTCGAGTACGTAATATCGCCTGCGATCGTGTACTCCTTGGCAAGGTTGGTAAGGTAGATCATACAACCAAGGTGGAGCGCGAACTGACCAGCAAGACTTGAGAAAAGCGCTGGATGGAAAATTGATGTTAGCGGACGAACAGGCGACAACTTTTCCAACGGAGTGGCGCGACTCAACGTAATGCTGGCCACAGTTGATATCATGCCTAGCGCCATCATCTGCGAGTTAGCCCACTTGACCTTATCCAAATACAGCACTGACAGCGAGTACGAGCTGATAAGGCAGTTGATAGCCAGAATCTGGTACATTTGCATCGTTGTCACAAGTGCGCAACGGCCTTGACGAATAATATCGACGCAGCCCTTAATAGAAGGAGCGCGAGATGTGAAAGGAGAAGCAATCGATGCGTCACCAAGCTTTACCATCGGCAACTCGCCATCGTCAAAGTCATCCATATACTGCGCCATAGCAGCGTTGTTGGCAAAATTTGCAAACCCTTTTGAGCCTGTGCGTTCCATTTGCAGCTTCTTCTTTTCTTCCGCCTCACGCTTGGCAAAAGCCGCAATTGCTTTCATCCGTGCAAATGACTCTCCACGAGCCTGACGAGCACTAACGTCTGCCTCCAGCTCTGCCTGCTTTCTTCTCGTCTCCGCCATTTGCTCTTCCTTACTAAGAACCTGCAACTTCGGGTTTTTCTTCGCTAAGGCCTGTTGTTTCTTCCTAATCGCGTCCATGGCCTTTTTCTTCTGCTCGCTAAGAATAAGCTCAACGTAATCCTGCTTTCCCTTGCACTGTGACGTGTTCACATTTTGCTGCACTAGACGCTTCTTCAATACCGACACATGTAACTTCATCAGGTCTTCGCGAGTGCTCACGGTAGCCTCGTTACCCTTCTGGTACTTAGCCAGACCAGTCACACTTTTGTCGGCATTCGCTGACCCAAATCCACCTAGCAATGCTACTCCAATATGCGCCTGCTTTAAGGCTCCGACATCGTTACCGCCATCACCGCACATAAGTGTATGGTGGCCGTGCGTCTTCAGCAATGTTAGCACCTTTTCTTTCAATTCTGGCGTCATTCGAGCATAAACGCGGATGTGGTTCAAGCTCTTCCAGATCATATCGTCCACTTCGCCTGCAGCAACGAGTGTCTTTCCATTTACGCACAAGTCATACTTCTTTACCAAGACCTTAATATCGCCACTAGCGTACGGCGCCAAAACAGAGTCATCATCAGCGCTTAGCCACTTTAGAGGGTCTCCCGGCGACGAGCTTTCGCTCAAAATCAGCGCTGGGCGAGTAATAATACCCACTTCCTTTGACACATGAACAGCAGTCAACGTAGCATCTCCAGTGATCATTGAAACCTCGTGCGAACTATCCTTTAGCACCTTCAAAATGTCGCCACTGTCCTTACGAACTAGACACTGAAACACTGCAAAACCAGCAAAGTTTAATTCGCTTTCGGCCCAAGCGCGAGACTGCTGAGCGACTTCAGCCTCTGACGAACACCCATGAAGATCCTTGTAAGCGAGAGCAAGCACACGCATTCCACGCCGAGCAAGACTTTGATAAGTCCCCCAGTACCATTCCGGGATGGAATCACGGCGCATCAACGTCGCAACTGCCTCGGGGCTTCCTTTCACAAGTGAACGCAACCGCATACACTTGTCGCCCAAATGCACCTTGGCAATAACGCTCATTCGCTGTAACTTCGACGCAAAGTGGTTGCGGTGCATTATTTGAACGAAAACGTCCTTCTGGTTAATACCCTGCCCCCAGCGACGCTCGCTTGCGCGCTCAAGATCTTTTTTTGCCTGACACCGACGAGTTGCCGCATCGTACGAAAAATCGATAGCACGGATCGATGCCTCTTCCACTGGATCACCAACCATCTTGCCGTCAATCTGAACCAATGACTGGCAGCCAGCAAGTACTAACGTAGCGTCCAAGTTAGCCGCAATCATTGGCACGTGACCAAGCACCTTCGCGGTTGAGGGAGCAGAAGTGGGCCTGCTCGTATCTTCACAAACCACACCAACTGCGGTAAGTTGGTCTGTTGTAAGGGTACCGGTTTTATCGAACAAACAAATGTTCACCTTGCCTGCCAGCGAGATTCGAAAAGGCTCGGTACAGAAGATCGACAATTTTACCAAATTCAGTAGAGCCGAGTTTACCGCCATTGCCGTTTGCATAGGCAGTTCAGCTGGAATCACGCTAGTAATAATAAGCACACAACGTAGCAGCAGCTCAAACGTGATTTTGCCCTTCTGCGTAATACCGTGACGAAGGACGTACCCTGACGAGACCAAGGCAAAAATCAAAAGTAAGAATGCAAGCCCGTAGGCGTCCCATGAGCTACCCGTTACTTTGCCACTAGAGAACTCGATCATGCGCACCAACTTGCCCTGCGATGAACTAAAGCCCGTACGCAATACATATGCCGTGCAGCCACCGTCGGGTGCATAAGGGATTGTCTGATTCGTAGTTTTTGATTGTCCGTTGCTCGACGTATCCGCCTGCATTACAGTAGTTCCACCAAAAAGCACGTGCACTTTGTGACCCGACTTCATGTCAAGCTGCTCTGCCAGATCCTCCGGGCTCATCTTTGTACCAATAGCCTCCTTCATTTGTGGCACGCTTTCACCCGTCAATGTCGCTTCATTAACAACAGCCATGCCGTCTAATAGCAAACAGTCACAGGGCACCATATTGTCGTGATCACCATCTGTCTCACGTTTTACCGAAATGACATCACCAGGCACCAGCATATCGGAGCTCAACATCTTCCACGTTTTGCCACGGTATGCATACACCTCCCGAGCCTTGTTGCCCATGCCACGAAGCGTCTGCAAATTTTTTAGACGACTCATCACCGTAACACCTTCAAACATAAGAATCATACCCAACGTAAACAGCGAGTACTGCCAGTACTCATCTAGCATGTAGAGACAGACACTAAAGATCTGGAAAACAGCTAGCGGCTCCAGCAGCTGCTGTTTAAACATGTCTACAAAATTCGGCTGCGGGATACTAAACTCATTCTTCCCGTACAAACCCAGCTGAGCCTCAATCTCGCGCTCCGAGCTGAGACCACGCGAATCAAGATAAAACTTTACCGTCTCAGTAGTAGGAGCCTTCAATTTGCAAAAAAGAACGGACCCTTTGCCACCTGCTTCTTCTTTGGCGATATATTTATGTTTCTGGAAAAAGAAATACGGGCGTCCAGCTGACTTACCATCCACGTGTCTGGGACGTGCAATCTCAATAATACTGCTCTTGCCCTTGAAAGAGCGTGGTACCACCATCACATATGTGGCTTCATCTAACGAAGTCACTGCCGTGTACTTGATTAAAGCCTTTACGCGCACAGACCAGATCTGGAACAGCGCTATGAGACCGTGGGTCATGATCGTGCCCAAAAGGCACAGCAGAGGTACAATAGCAGGTAAGAAAGGGTTCGGCAGTGTTGGAACCTCATCGTTCGGTTTCACTATAGTCGTGGTGTTAATTGTTGGCTGGACCGCAGCCTCACGTACGAATCCCTGGGACAGCATCGCGGCAGCCAGGCCACCGTCATCCCCCGAGACAGTAACATCTCTAGGACTAGCAGCCATAAGACCTGCTTCTTCCATTTCCTTTATAACTTGAGCATAAGGCTCTCCAATAGTTAAAAAACAATGGTAGAGCGAATACGCGTACAAGAATATAAAAGGAATGTGTTCAAGGCCGTAGCCCCAATTCAAAAAGTTCACACGACGTTTGTATAGTAAAAGTTTATGAATGGAGTTGCCCGTCCATTGCACGGGTGCACCAGGCTTTCCCATTGTCGTAATTCTCCTTAAAGATGGCTACACAAAGAAAGATTTTCTTGTGAGGACTATCACCAGACGTTAATGATTGACTGATTTAAAGTATTATAAAAGTCTAGAACGAAGCCAAAGGCACTAGAAAAAAGGCCTTGTTGCTTATATAGTAAAAGCAAGAGCTTTTGTAGACGTGGTATTACACTTTACGCTTCGCCAATCGGTCGTGGTACACGTGGCTGACATGAAGTTACGTGACCCACATTGAAATTACGTTATTTACACAAATATTTAAAAAACGTACTCTTTTTAACCAATCAAAAGCGACAGGAGCTGTTGACGATTTTTCGATGAAAAGTGGCCAGATTAGAACCGCTTTTTTCGTCGAAAGCGTCAGACGACTTTCTCTCTATATTATGATTCATTCAACTGTTAATATGATTGGTATGAGTGGTACGTATGTAATATGTTGCGTGACGTGGTTGAAAGCAAAGGATGTGCTTTATAGACAACGTGGCTACTCGAGACAAGAAATTTGTGCTGCAGAAGTCATGACGGCTTGTTTTTATTTGAACCTGATGAACACACAGCTTTATAGGTATCTGCAATATCAATTAAAGGCATCGATTGATGCTATTTGCTTGCGCTTTTTGCCGACCAAGATTCTTGCAACAAACGGTTTACCATGCAGTGTGTCAGGGCATTGCAACATTACCACACATGACTGAAGTGGCATTACTCATGACGATTTCTTCAACTAGAAGACTTACAATTACATTGAAATCTCAAGTGCTCGACATTGAATCATCAAATGACATTGGTATGACAGATGTGCCAAGACTGACAAAGCTTAAACGCGTCGGAATCATTGCGTCAGGCTGCACCGATTTTTCAAGTGCTAGACAAGTATTTCTAACTTGACACTAGTCGGCCGGCAAAAACGCCAAAAGAATTGACACCTCTGTCCAAAATGTGTGGTTGTCGAAAGGTTTACCCTTTATGAACAGTATTCAAATGACAAATCAGCAAGATAAATATACTAGTACAATGAAGCACGACCCTATACAGACGGGGACTGCTCGTGTGCGCTACCTGGTACGGGCGGTCCTCACGTAGAGCAATCCGTACGCAACTTAGACCTTCAGTCCGTGAAAACTCCAGACTTCAACCGTTTCGCACCGAAAATCTTCGTAATCCACAAGTGGTGGAGAGTCAAACGTAGTGCAGGCGTGCGAAAATCCGCGTCTGTCATCGAGCTGTAGACACAACGCAATACCCTTTCTGCCTCCGCCCACAAAGATAGAATCGTGCTGCGTGTACATGAAGGAGCTGTCGAACCCTGACCATGTATATGCTCTCATACGTGGGCGCAGTGAAAAAACAAATGTCCGTCCGTTGCCAAAAAACAACTTTGAGCGCTTCCACGAAGCCGAGCAAAAAGCTCCGAATATGTTTTCATGTTCATCCTGCACAACAACGATCGTCGGTCCCTTGTTTCCAAGTCGTGAGAAAAAACTCAGAAAGTTCCAGCCATGTACTCGAGTCGTGAATGCCAGCTCCATTTGGTTGCAAGTGAGATAATTTGGTAGGTTCTTCCAAAGAAATTGCATGTGTTTTTCAGTCAAGAATGCGGACTGATGGCCAGCTATAGGTCTTCCTTCTGTAGGGTTTTCGCTACCACCCCACAACTTGAATTGATCCAGGGCCCCAATTTTCGCTGCAAAAGCTCTGAGATCTTTCACCCGTTCATCTTTCTTGTTCACAGAGGCCGAACCTTTCTTTGGCAAGAAAAGCTCCGTGGGTTCTGGTTCAATAAAGCTTTGAGAGACAAGAACTCCAGGCTCGTTGACTTTTTTAGTGGTTGATACATCTACCTTCTTCTTGTACTCAGCCGACGGCGGGAACATCGCGCTCGCAATAGACTGTGACGAAAGTTTCTTTTTTGTCTTTATCGACCTTGCCAAGTATTTGCGGTATGCCACCGGCCGACGAAAACGCAGTGTGACAGGAGCTTGCAACTCTGCGATAGTATCGATGACATCATCAGATGCTAGTCGTACGATCGACGAGTAACCATTGACAGCCATAATCACATCACCTACTTGCACCGTAGGTGCGTGCTGATTAGGTTCGTACACTTCCACCGATCCGTAAAGCCTTGTTGACGGTGCCAGCGCCAAATGCAATGGAGTTTCGTTAAATATGACGTCAAATTCACCAAGCGCCGACAACTCAAGTCCATCTACTTCCTTTCTGTCTCCATCCACGGCGCTCACTACCACGGCAGTGTCGCACTCCCGAAGAGGCAAAGCTCCTGTTATCCCAGCAGGGGCAGCTTTATGCATATTATCCGAGTCTCTGCTTACCAAAGCTTGAGCCAATGCCCGTGACGTCTCTCTTTTTGCTTCCTTTGCATTGAGTGTCAAGTCGTGCTCTAAGGAACGTCGCCACTGCATGGACGACGCTCTGGCCACCACTTTGGCTGGAAATTGATGGAAATAATAGTCAATGGAGGCTGGATACATGGCCGTTGACATGGCTTGCGAGTCCAATGACCCATAAATTTCTGGATTTCGTAATGTCATGACAATGGGACACGAGCACTGACGTAAGTATGCGGCGAGTTTCGCACGTGGCAGATGTGCCTTGTGGCAGCTAAAGTTGATGGCGATCAGCACGTCCCCCTTGGTAATAGCTTGTTTGTCTTTTTGTTCTCCACTCTCTGTCTTGTATAATATATCCTCCCTCTCTTCTGTCTCTTGCACAGAACTTACTTCCCATGAACCGTAGAGTTGTGAACTAGGCACGAGTCCTACGCCTAGAGGCTTGCGATTAAAGCATACGTTATACTCACCGTCAAAGCGTTTCGGTATGTACGTTGACTCGCTCTCTACGTCAGTCTCACTACATCGTCTGTCGTCTTTGCGCAATGATTTACGAACAGGAGGCGACGACAATGACGATGATGAACGCTGCTCTTGAAAAATAGCGCGCACGAGGTTACGCGCAGTTAACATGTTGACGGGTCGATAAAGATGATTAAGTAAACAAGTAGCAAACAAGTAAGAGTTACTTTTTCATTGAAAAGTAAGCCAACACGTGTCTCACTTTGTACTTTTTCTTACTGCAACACGCTCATTTATTCCAAATTCCACTTGCCCAAAATAAAACACGGCTTAATATTATAATTGCTCTTTTAGCAATATATCTATGCTGATTACTATAATACAATATTTTTATTGATTATAATAATATTAAGCCGTTAAGAGCAGCTTTGGTTTTGCTTTTTATAGTAGCCTTATTAGCTGCCGTGCGTGTATTTTGTCTGGCATTCCCCCCGTATCGATGCGCTTCCTCATATCCAGGAGATAACGTTACAGTATCTGGACACGTCTTTGCAATGGTCACTTCCCCGTGCCGCCAATCGAGGCTTTGTCCATCTTGTGCAGTATCTTTTATCGTTTCAACCGACTCAATATCTCCATACAGTTGCTGAAATTCGCTTGACAATGCAAAATGCATCAGCACATAATTATTTAAATATAATGGATATTGTACAATAGTACGCAGGTTGTAGCCGAGCTACTATAGCTACGCTACTTATGAACTATGTGCAGATGCACTATCTGCAGAAGAAGTAGTCAGACTACTGTAGCAAAGCTGCGTATGCACTATGTGCAGAGGAAGACAAGCTCAAAGAGTTTCTACGTCTTAGGATGCTTAACCCTCTCCTAGGCTATCTCGTAAGCTTGTGCCTATCGGTATAAACAGAGTCTCAAAGAGACTAGTATCAATAATACGATTCCCCAGGAGAAATAGTTAACTAAACTATTTGAATAGAATGTGGTTAACTAATATGTTTATATAGAATGTGGTGAAGCCTGTCGAGACATGCACCGCGTTGATCCAATGCAGGCTCAATGAGTGGGAGTATCGGGCACCATTACTTTAGTGTTTCAGCACAAACACTTCGCAGCATATCACTAACAATGCAATTCACGCGATCTGTTGGACCATCGGTCTGCGGCAGATCCGCCGTGGACATGCCCAGTCGAGTGCCTAGCGCTTTAAAGACTGATGTTCAAAACCTACCCGTAAAACGGGGGGTCTCGATCAGAGAAGATTGCCACAGGCAATCCGTGTTGTCTAAGCACACGATCCATAAACAGCTTTGCTGTTCCGTCTCCATCAGTAGGGTCCAGCACGGCCGCTAAGTGAGCCATCTTGCTCAATCGGTCAGCAAAGACCTCAATTCCAGTGTTGCCTGTCGCATCGCGCGGTAGACCAAACACAAAGTCCATGCTAATGGACTGTCACAACCTTGACGGTACACGCAAACCCGCCAAAAACGCAGCCATATTAGGCGAGGATTTCACCCGTTTCACACGTGCGTACATTTGTACCAACTCATTTGTACAACTTGGGCCACCAATAATGTGTGATCACCGAGCTGTAGGTCTTCTCACGACCTAAATGACCACCAAGGGGTGTATCATGAGCTTCGTAAAGTATCTTATACTTGAGGTTCTCATCATGAGCCACCAAAACACGAGGCTGATCATCCGACCCTGTACCATAGTACAACAGACCATCGGTCAGTGCATAACGATGTAATCTCGCACAATTACGTGGTGACAACTTCACCTTAGCGTTTTCAAACTCTGCGCTACCTAGCGCCTGCAGAATGGCAGCACATGCCTCATCGCGTGCATACGCCACACGGATACGATCCGTTAATGACGAACCCACAACAGTGAGATGAGCAAGTTCATAGTCAGGTCTACGCGATAACGCGTCAGCCAAAACATTCTGTTTTCTCGGCTTATACTTCACCTCGAAGTTATACTCCGCGTAAAAGGAGAGCCAACAAGCCATTCTCAGTGATAGATGAGGCGACTGTGTCGCTGTGCGTCGTGACGCATGATCGGTATAGATTGCAAACCGCTTTGAGCCCAACAGGTGTACCCTGAACTTAACAAGGGCATACTTCATCGCAAGTAGCTCCTTGTCATGAATTGGGTAGTTCTTCTCTGCAGCTTTCAGCTGGCGAGACTCAAACGCGATAACGCGTTCTCTACCCTCAGAGTCGACTTGCAAAAGTGCACTGCCAATGGCAAAGTCCGAAGCGTCACATACGACGCTGAACGGGCGATCAAGATCAGGCAGAGCTAGAGTTGACGCCTGAATTTGACTCTCCTCAATGGCTTCAATAGCCTCGTGGTGCTCGGTGTTCCAACACCATTCCACATCCTTTTTAAGGAGATTTGACAATGGCCTAGCCACTTCCGCATAGTTGTGGCTATACTTATGCAAGTAATTTGCCAAACCCAACCACTTGCGTTGGTCCTTTTGGTTCCTCGGAACCGGCCAATCTACTATGGCTTTGACCTTAACAGGGTCTACCCGGATTCCTCGCTTCCCAATGACAGCATCCCTAAAATAGAAACTTTTCCGCACCGAAGATGCATTTGTCAATATATTGGCATACATCTTATGCATCCTCATGCAACCGAGCACAGCTCACAGGTGCTTGATGTGGTTCTCCACATCAATCTTTTCGTGTTCGGCTCGGCTATGAACGAATATATCATCAAAGTATGTCTGTGCATACGCCCTATGGGGCCGAAACAACTACGTCACCAGACGATTGAAAGTTGCAGGTGCGTTAGACAGCCCTTGGGGCATCACTAACCACTCCCACAGCATACCGCTTGGAATGATGACCGCTGTCAGCGTGATATCACTAGCTCGCATGAGCAGTTGGTAATATCCATCGACTAAGTCGAGGGCACTGTACATCGTACATCCCACCATATTGTTCTGAAGAACATCCTTGCGAGGAATCGATGTTTGAACCGGGATAGTGGCTGCATTCAGCTTATTGTAAGCATGCACTATTTGCCACTTCCCATTAGGCTTTCTCACACAAAATGTGGGCGAAGAGTGAGGAGACTTACTCTCACGTACCATGACAGCCGCGTACTTCGCACGAAAGAACTCGTCAATGACGTCACATTGTTCTCGTGGCAGTGGCCACTGTCGTATCAGATATTATTTGGTTCCTAGAACCAAGTCAATCTCATGAAGTACACCTCTATCCGGAGGTAACACTGTAGGAGGTTCTCTGGAGACAACATCTCCATATTCCTTCAACAAAGGAAAAATAAGGATTTGAAGGATCCTTCAGGATCTGTGATCCCCTCCGCGCATTTAGCGCCTTCTTGACGCCTTCAAGAACTGTTTTATCCAAAAGCGATGAGGAGTTCAACTCCTCCTTAGGTCGTACAACGACCACTGCGGCGATGTCGCCTGCCTAAGGCAATGCCAAACTCGGCAAAGGACAACACGTGTGAGTTGTCCTTTGCCGAGTTTGGCATTGCCTCCGACGCATCAGCGTCCACAGGTGTACACACCTCAAGGTTAAAGACCACTTCGTTTACTGACTGCACCCTACCCTCTTGGGTCAATGCCTCGTCATGAGATGTTCGCACCTCGTTGTGCTCAAAGACAACATCCATTTTTTTGACTTCACCTGCCCTCCAGGGTCAGTTCCTCATCACTCATGTCACTTGGACTCACGTCCTGACATCTTGGCTTGCAGCCACCAGCACCACTCACGGTGTCTAATGATGCAACATCATTCTCATGACACATGCCATTTGTACCATCTAGTGGGCTCTCAATCACACTATCAACAGTCATTGGGCCTCGACCAAAACTATTGTCCTCGACACTTACAGTGTCTACAAAGTCGTATATTCCGACATCCAACGTATTGACCGACTTGGTCCGTTATCCGCGCCAAAAGCACTTTTGCTTCCTAGCAGAGGTGGGTTCATGACTCTCCAGAACCCCGCCAGGAGCATTGCGCGTTGCGCCTAAGGTCTTCGACTTACAATCAATCCACGGCTCATGACGTTCTAGCCATTCCATGCCTAGATGAGGTTATACCTCGCATCCAAGTTTAAGACCAAACAGCGTTCCATGCTACTAAAGCCCAAGAACTTTACATTCAAGCCCATCGAGACTTTGGGTACCGTAAAATGCGTACCCGTCGCTAAGCAAACTGTGACTGTGTCACTCTCACGCGCTACAAGCGCTTCAGCATGCTGACTCCCTTCCACGATGGCACGGCGCACATAGTTGCCCGATGCCTCAAAATGATCCATGGCTTATCAAAGCCCTTAACCGTCCCTTTGACGACTAGCAAGCCTGGCTTGCATTCTCGCTCCGTTTTTGAGATTTCGGGTCTCTTTGGGGCTGGGGCCTGTTACTTCATACCCTCCTAGAGGTTCAACAGAACTCAGTTCTTCCCCAGTAGGGCGCCCCGTGCCTACTGGGCTCCACCGTTTCCCCCGCGGCAAACCATAAGGTTTACCCATGGGGTGTCGGCCCTTCGATGCCAAATATGACTTTCTTGCAGATCATTTTGCCATCAAATGGCCCGTGCTCTTGCAGATATAACATCTGCGCTCAATTTGCTGCTCCGCAGCTTGAAGCTCAGCTTCTTCATCCTCCACTTGACTACAGTCCATGGGTACACATCAGACGAGTAGTTATAAGTGGCAGACCTATCGGCCTTAAAGTTGGTCTCGGCATTCCATGCCACTCCAACAGCTTCCTCGAATGAGGACGGGTTTACACGGAAGACTTCCGTTCTGGCAACACCAACTTGGAGGCCCTCCATAAAAACCGTGACGGTCACTGCCTTAGGCATAGGGTCTATGACCATGGCAGCATTGAGAGTTCTTAACTCTTGTATATATACCGCAAGCTCACGCTTGCCTTGGCGACACGCCAAAAAAACCGCGACCAAGTTCAGTGTGCTTGGTTTGGCGGTGCATACTGCCGGGTCATCTGAACTTTCAGATCGGCCCATGTTGGGATTTGTTGTGCACCACATGTGAATGCCCACTGTTTGGCTTAACCACCCAACTTGCCCGTGGCAAAGCCCACACGGTACGGTTCATAGGTGATGTCGGCTATAAACATAGCCGACTCAACCTGTCGGAACCAAAGCATAAGGTTATCACCTTCTTTGCCGTCGAACTTATCTACTTCCTTGTATGGGTTTTGGTCTGCGGACCACTTCTTGCGCCATAGTCGCCATGAGCGTAGGCGCAGAAGAAGGCATTTCTGCCTTTACATGCTCGACTAGAGCTGTTGTTATATTTATCAAGCATATGAATACGCTTGTTAATCTCTTCTTCGCCCTGGGCGATGAGGTACTTCACGCCCTTAGGGCCAAGGATAGAGAACAGCTTCTGCAATTCTTCCTGTTGTGCCTGTGACAGGGCAACCGCCGTCATCTCATCAATGTCAATTCTCACACAGAGAAGCAGTCGCAAAACCAGGAGCGGGATTGACGACAAGTGTTACCAGGTGTAGTAAAGCTACTGTAGCCACGCTACTTATGCACTGTGTGCAGAGTCAGGATGTAGCCAAGCTACTGTAGCATAGCTACTTATGCACTGTGTGCAGAGGAAGACAAGCTCAGAGAGCTTCTACGTCTTAGGGTGCTTAACCCTCTCCTAGGCTAGCTCGTAAGCTTGTGCCTATCGGTATTAACCGAGTCTTACAGAGACTAGTATCAATAATACGATTTCCCAGGAGGAATAGAACGCTCTAGCAACTAGTGCTATAGTGACCACGTGGCTCTCTGCCACGATGTGACCCTTCGTACTTCAAGTACGGTCACATCACCTACTTTGTACCCAAGGTACAGCCACACCACATTGGTGTGGCAGGTGTGTATGTAAAATACACACCTTTGTGTAACCCCGTTACACAGGTGCTGCAGCTGACAAGGCAGTGGTGACGGAGGCTCTTTGCAATGGACATATGGATGTTTTAAAGTGGATTCGACCACGACTGGCCGACTTGTTGCCTTGTTATCGAGATTATGATTACTATACATTGAAAAGTGCGGCGTAAGCAGCTGAAAACGGGCGATTGGCGGTGGTGCAGCGGCTTTTTGAAGCTCGAGGAATGGAAATCGAGCATGTCCAGACGGAGACGCATTTACATGAAGCTGCGGCGAGAGGTAGACACTTGCATGTGATTAAGTGGCTTCGAAAACATTCTACCGAGATAATTGAGTCTCAAGCACTGGACGAAGCAGCAGCTGGAGGGTTTTCAGAGATTGTTGAGTTTTTGCATGCCGAGTGGACGGAGGCGAAACTTAAGCGCAATCGCCGCATTTGTCGCGTTTCGACGAGGGCGATGATCAAAGCAGCTGGTAATGGACACTTGAAAATGGTAAAATAAATGCATGAGTATAGAAAAGAGTGGTGCACCGCGTAAGCGATGAATTGGACAGACAGTCATAGATTCGAATACGTATTGGGGCGAATGCTTAAAAACCTACCAAAACGCCAGATTGTGTTGTGAAACATGAGTGGATGATCCATGTAGTGCATTTTGGCTTACGTGAAATGTGTCAATGAAGTTTCGGCAACATTGTCGCACACATTGAAATATTGTGCAATTTTCTACAAGGGTTATTGATAAGTTACGACAACCAATCATTTTGCTGATAGCGTATTTTTGCGTGCTAGCTCGGGAAAGTAAACGTGTCAAGCAATTTATTTGGTCAGGCGACCCTTTTGATCCACGTCTGTGACGTACTTCTTCAACGCCCTCGTTAATGTTTGCACCATCCGTTCAGCTGTTCCATTTGCTTGGGGAAACTACGCCATAGTAGCTCGCTGCTTCTGACCAGCGATCCGGTTAAAAGCTCGAAAGAAATAAGACATGAAACCCGGCTCCCGATCCTGGCGTATGGCTTTGCTCGCACCAAATCGATGAAAGACACTTCTTCATAGTTCTCCGCCACTCTTTTAAACGCTCAGGACGAACTTGGTTTTTTAATTACATAGCCAGAAAATAATTAACCCATAGCAGCAGCTCGGTATTCCCCTTAAACGATTGGGGTAACGACGGGATGTAATCCATGGCAATAATTTAGAAAGAGCAAGTAGCCTGAAGATTTCCAGGCGATTCGTCGTGGATCGCTGTCTGCCCTTTACCATTTTCACGATTCACACATTCTCATGCACGCTCCGATAAGGACCTCGCCAGTGAAAGTTAGCCCTGATCCGTTGGTACGTTCTGCCAATTCCTTGATGACCATCTTCCAAAATAGTATGGTAATGGTGTAGGAAGTCTTGTTGTAGCAACTCTGGTACCACTGAACAAAACACTCCATTGCGGTCTCTAGCTTTGACCGCTGAAAAAGGGCAGAAAAACTGTAGCTTGCTCTCATTCACTTCATAAGGAGGCGTGATCAAGGCACTTGTCTTTGCCGTTTCAGCATCTAGATCCGTCACATTCCCGATTAGCTATGTTTTCACAACAGCAAGCGATCCAGCTTTCTTCATCTTGCGCTTGATTTATGTGCTCGATCCGGACTTGCTGCACGATATCTTCCTGTAGCAATATCGGCTCTCAACGTCTTCAAAGTTGATCTGGTGATCGCTGCTATCTTGATCTCTCGATCCACACACTCTGCTACCAGCAATTTATCTAACCGATAGAGTGTAGTCAGTTTTGAAGATCATGATCAGAAAGTTTGTCCTGCCTTGTTCCAGCTGCAAAGCTTTACTTGCCAATCGATCTGCACTCTAGTCCTACTCTCTCTTCATCTGTGCGAGCTCGTGAATCGGCCACGACCGAAGTTTCTCCATAGCTTGATAACTTAAACTGCAATCTAGGTGCCTTGTAATCGATTTCCCTGCGCATCTGCCGAATCACTAGGTATGATTACCACTTATAATCACTTATCCATTAGTCTGGCTCTTCAAAAGATCGAAACTTAATAGCAATACTCGATACTCGGCTTCATTTACTGTCAGACCTGTAGCATACTCAGAAGCTGCCGCCGCGATCGTCCACTCGGAAATTTTCCATCCGACCGCGCTGTATGCTCCTCTTTTTCGCTTTGTCCGAGCCGATCCATCGAAGCTGACCACCAAAAGACTTTCGTCCTTTTCCACAGTAGGCCACGGCATACTTATAGCATACATCGACAGTTTCTGGAGCAATCGTGATAACAATTTATCGACCTCAACCCGAGCCGTTATGTTTGCAGTCAAAGCACCGAGTATCTCATCTTTCCCCTTTCTACATCTACTGACCTCTATCGTCTAAGTTGATGATAGCGCGGCCCATCTTCCTAGTCTCCCGTTGAGACCGAAAGATTGTTCTAGCCACGCTAATGTTGAGTTCCGAGTGAACACGTTGATCGCACGTGAGACTATAGCCGATATCCAATATACGAAGAAGAGCTCAGCCTTTTTTAACCTTCTGTTAATTAATTACAACAATCCAGTGTACGGCTCGTAAACATAACCGTCCAATACACTCCATCATATTCCTGTAGCAATGCTGCTGATACTTCCCACTTGCTGCCAGATAGCACAATTACCGGGGTTCAGTCCGGATCAAATGTTTCAAGATTGAGGTAGCCGCGATTTTAGCTTTCAGTATAACGAACGCAATCATTGCTTTCTCCCAGCAACTTGTATTCTCTGGATCGTCACCTGTTGATATTACACTGCTGACAGGTATGTTGTTAGGATGATGATTTATAAGATAAATCATCAGGAAGTTTCATGGTAGTTTCAGCGGAATACCATGGAACAGCGTTACATAAAGGCTTAGAGATAGCTCATGGTAGTGAACTAAGGACCTTTACTATTTACTTCGGCTTTTGCCTTCAACTACTCAACAGGTCACAGCTCGTCCCGCTGCATTAAGGCCAAGAATGCCCTCGCCTCGCACGAAACGCACACGATGAATGTCAAGCGCGCCGAATTCCTCCTGGGAAGTGGAAATTATTTCCACTGGGAGTTTAATATGAGGATGACGCTCGCCAGGAAAGGGCTGCTGGTGCATGTGGAGGTGGTCACAGAGCGACATAATAAAGCTTGGCTAGTGAACGACGCGAAGGCTCTCGGCATCATCGCGCAGGGTGTGGAGCTACAACACCAAACAAAGAAAAGTTCATCTACGCGTGCGATTCAAGCGTGGGTAACGCTTAGGGAGTTCTACAATCGAACTACACTACACAATCGGGTCATGATGACACGGCGCCTCCACGAGTTCAAGATGGATACTGGAACGGCCATGGCAAAGAATTTGACGCCTTCGACGAGCTTGTTGTCGGTCTTCAGACGCTTGATGAGGCTGTAGACGAGGAACGGCAGCTGGTAGTAATACTGAGCAGCCTTCCAGCCGAATACGAGCTGATATCATCTATCATCGAAAACATCCAGAACGTCATGCTCATCGAGGTGAAAGAGAAGCTGTTGAAGGAGTGTGAACGGTTGGAGAGAAAGGACACGACTCCAGAACGAGCGTTCAAGGTTAACACTGGACGATTCAAGGGCAACAAGGGGAACGATCGCAAGTGGAGCGGTCAGAAGAAAAATGCTAATGGTTTCCGAGGCAAGTGTTTCAAGTGCAACAAAGTTGGGCACATGAAGCGGGACTGCCAAGAACGGACAATAGATGGCGATGACGATGCGGTATTTGCTGTAAGCACAGAACGTGTAAACGGATGGTTGATCGACAGCGGTGCGACCGCACACATGATCCCGCACCGTTCTGTTTCGAGTATGAGAACGTGAACAGTGGCATCGAGGTAACAATTGATGACGGAAAGAAGCTGTAGGTCACTGGCTGTGGTACGGTACGCTTGATTGGACTGGACTGTAAACGGATTATGATGGTTGAAGTTCTTCACATCCCGGGCTTTGATCGGCGTCTATTGTCAGTGGGAAAGCTCGCTGAACGTGGAGTTTTAGCGATCCTCATGTGTTATATGGGGCACGGCTAGCGCAATTGCAAAGGGTAAGAAGGTGGGCAAGGCGTACATATTTAAATGTGAACAAGAAGGAGCTCGATTCATTCAGTACGCCGAGGCTGGCAGCAAGTGGGAGCTTTGGCACGCTCGCATGGGACATCTCAACCAAGACGCTCTGATTAAGACACGTCATGCCACAAACGGTATTCCGGCTATTGATCAACCGACCCTGTCTTTATGTGGCGGTTGCATGAAAGGAAAGCAGACGGTGGCTACATTTCCTCATTGTTCGAGCTCGAAAACGTCGCGCGTTCTTGAGCTCGTCCACACGGATGTGATGGGGCCCATGACGAATCCATCCAAAGGCGGTGCAAATTATGTCCTAACGTTTGTGGACGACTACGCGCGCTACGTTGTGACCTATTTCTTGAAGAAGAAGAGCGAGGTGGCCATCAAGCTAAGCGAGTTCAAGACGTTCCATGAGAAACAATGGGGAGAACGTACCAAGTGTTTACGATCGGATAATGGAACGGAGTTTGTGAACCAAGAGATGACGAAGATATGTATGCTGAATGGTATCGTGCATCAACGGACTGTCCTGTATAGTCTTCAGCAGAATGGAGTGGCAGAACGGATGAACCGTACCATCATGGAGAATCTCAAAGTATGTTACACTACAAGGGAGTTTTAATGGTGTGGTGGGCTGAAGCAGTCAATACTGCGGTATATCTGATCAACCGTTTCACGAACACGCAAAACGCAACTGTGGTTTTTAAAGTAAAGCCTACATTAGACTACTTATGCGTATTTAATTTTCGCGGCTACGCCCGTATAGACAAGGCAAGAGGACGAAACTTGAACCTAAGAGCTTTAGGTGTCTGCTGCTTGGATGCACAGAAAACTTCAAGGGTTACCGTGTCTATGACTTGGACGCTTTCAATATCAAAGTGTGTCGCTCAGTAAAGCTGGACAAGCGTGAGGTGGGTGGTATTTACGATACACTACCGCCTCAGAATGAACCAGTCACCCAAGTTACCACGGACGTTGATGAAGCAGTCACGCTCGCACCATTGGAACGTCAACCCGTCGAAGCGAAACCAATGCAAGGCGTTGAAAATGACGCACTGTACATAGAGATGGAGAGCATGAAACTGGGACTCTATACCTCCGCTGCTGATTCCACGAGAACAATCGGCTCCGACTGGAATTGAGCTGGAATCGTACCGTAAACCACCTACTAGCTTCGAGGAAGATCGAGTGGTGTTCCATACCCCGATAAACCGTTACAGACGACCTCGTGAGCCCGTGTTCCTTCTTGAAGATGGGACAGACGCCGAGGAAGAACGGAAATCGGAAGGAAATGGTGGACCGTCCTCTCCAAAGCGTGTCAGGATCGATGAAGATGGCCCCATTGCTGAAGCTGTTCTTGCGTACGCGGCAAGCATTGACGATCTTTCTACAACGTACGCTCAGGCAATCGACAGTAAAGATGCTACGCAGTGTCGTGAAGCCATGGAGGCTGAACGGCTCTCACATAAACGGAACAATACCTAGTCATTGGTTCCAAGAAAAACAGCCATCCGTACCATTGGATGCAGGTGGGTTATCGCCAAGAAGCGTGACTAGAACGGTTGCGTGGTGCGATTCAAAGCGCTATTGGTGGCGAAATATTTCAAGCAGAAATACGAAGTGGACTTCTTTAAAACGTACTTTCCAGTGGCAAGCATGAACTCGATTCGAGTTGTGCTCTCCGTCTGCGCTGCTTACGCATACGAGATGGAACAGTTGGACGCTGATACAGCGTTTTTTAACAGTGAGTTGGAGGACCGTGTCTACATGGAGGTACCTCTAGGAGCTGAGAACCCCCAGGGATACGTGTGCCAGCTGAATAAGGCCATTTATGGATTGAAGCAAGCTGCAAGTGCCTGGAACAAGACCATTCATCGTGTATTTCTCCACTACGGTTTCAAAAAAGCTGTGGTGCGGACCAATGCATCTATGTCAAGCGCTCCAAGAACAGTTTTATTAAGGTCTGCCATTACGTCGGTGATATGATCATTGCGGCAAAGACTAGTGATAAAATTAGTGACGTGAAGGACGCACTCAAAAATGCCTTCAAGATGAAAGAGCTTGGACCGGCGAAGTTTATTCTGGGAATGGAGATCGACCATGACATGACTTCTGGAACGCTTATGATCAATCAAACGCGATACATCGATGATGTGGTGAACCAGTTTTGGGCAAGAAAACGCTAGGACGGTGGACAACCCGCGTGCAACCGGTCTAAAGTTGTCAAAGTCGCAATCGCCAGCATCGGATGCAGAATGAAGCAAGATGCAATCAAGACCTTACCGTTCCTAATTGGATGCCTGCTGTACATCACGACGTGTACTTGCCCGGACATTGCATTCGTAGTAAACTTTCTCGTTTTCTCAATAATTCTAGGCTTCAGCATTGGAGCGCTGCTATACGTGTTCTACGCTACTTTAAGACGACCCACCAGCATGGGATCATCCACAAAAGTGGTACTAGCAGCGTCTCAGCTGAAGCCTACTCGGATGCGGAATGGGGATATAATCTCGACGACAGGCGTTCTGTCTCGGGTGTTATGATCATGATTGGAAACTCTCCCGTGGTGTTCAAGTCTAAGTTTCAACGAACAATTGCCCTCAGCTCAGCGGAAGCTGGGTATATGGCTCTAAAGCCTATGCGTTTAGGAAGTACTGTGGACGCGTGCGATGCTGACGGACATGGGAATGGTACAAAGGAACGCTACTATGATCTGGTAGGACAATCAAGGCGCAATTGCTTGGATCAGATGCTGGTTATCATGCTCGGACCAAGCATGTAGACATCTGTCATCACTTCATCCGACAGACGATCAAAGCCGGAACAGTTGCTCTAGCGTATGTAGACACCAAACGTCAGTTGGCCGACATACTGACCAAGGCTCTAGGACCCAAGACGTTCAAGTTCCTGCGCGATGCGAATGGTATCCAGTGCAAGGTCACCAAGCAGTTGCGGTGAGTGGGAGTGTTGGCCGAAAGATATGGATCAACACATGGCGATCCTACCGGAAATCATAACCCTACAATGGAAGTTACTATTGATGTTATTCAAGTAGGCGATCAAGTGTTGTTCCACTGAGTGAGGATCATAAACAGTTGCGTCAGATGATCTGGAGAAGCTGCTACCTTTTCATTGGTATGATAGTGCACACATTCCTGCGGCACTTGGTGTAGTTTGTGATATCGATGTTGGTGGAGCGCCCCGATCGCGCAACGTGTACGACCGGTAGTGACTAAAATAAACAAGAAAAATTTGGGAGCGGTTAGAAGATCTGATCAAGGGCCTTTTATCAGCTAAGATTAATCGACCAAATAACTTCTCCTGTGGCATCGCCTATTATTGTAATCATTAAGCAAAAGGAATCGAAATCAGATTGTGTATTGATTACCGAAGGGTGAGCCAGCTAACAAGATTGATGGTGTACCCTATGCCGCTAATCAGCGAGCTTCTCGAAGATATGTATAAGGCTATATGGTATTGTTACTTGGATGTGACAAGTGGATTCTGGGCCGTAGAAATGACGGAGCAAGCGATAACTATTTCGGCGCTCATTACCCTTCCGGTCTGTTTGAGTGGTTGCGAACACCTTTCGGGCTAAAAATGCTCCACAAATATATTAGCGTTTGATTGATATTGCCTTGTATGGATATCTGAAGATGGGATCAAGCCCCTAAATCTCCACGAACAAAACGCCGGAGTTGATCGATGACTTTACGGATGGCGAACCGGATACGGAACAAAAACGATTTGTGTTGGGTCGTCGTTCGTACATAGATGACATTTTAATTCCCGCTACATCGTGGACCTTCCTTTATGGAAAGTTCGAGATTTTTTTAGGTGTATGCAATAAATGGAATCTATCGATCGGCCTGGCTAAAGAGCTTTTGAGGTCGTAAGAAAGTGAATTATCTCGGTGACCAGATGTCACTAGACGGTTTGGAAGCTCACCCACGAAAATACTGTGGCGTCTTTGACGAGTTCTTTCGTGCGAAGTACGCGGCTGTCATGGTACGTGAGAGTAAGTCTCCTCACTCTTCGCCCACATTTTGTGTGAGAAAGCCTAATGGGAAGTGGCAAATAGTGCATGCTTACAATAAGCTGAATGCAGCCACTATCCCGGTTCAAACATCGATTCCTCGCAAGGATGTTCTTCAGAACAATATGGTGGGATGTACGATGTACAGTGCCCTCGACTTAGTCGATGGATATCACCAACTGCTCATGCGAGCTAGTGATATCACGCTGACAGCGGTCATCATTCCAAGCGGTATGCTGTGGGAGTGGTTAGTGATGCCCCAAGGGCTGTCTAACGCACCTGCAACTTTCAATCGTCTGGTGACGTAGTTGTTTCGGCCCCATAGGGCGTATGCACAGACATACTTTGATGATATATTCGTTCATAGCCGAGCCGAACACGAAAAGATTGATGTGGAGAACCACATCAAGCACCTGTGAGCTGTGCTCGGTTGCATGAGGATGCATAAGATGTATGCCAATATTTGACAAATGCATCTTCGGTGCGGAAAAGATTCTATTTTAGGGATGCTGTATTGGGAAGCGAGGAATCCGGGTAGACCCTGTTAAGGTCAAAGCCATAGTAGATTGGCCGGTTCCGAGGAACCAAAAGGACCAACGCAAGTGGTTGGGTTTGGCAAATTACTTGCATAAGTATAGCCACAACTATGCGGAAGTGGCTAGGCCATTGTCAAATCTCCTTAAAAAGGATGTGGAATGGTGTTGGAACACCGAGCACCACGAGGCTATTGAAGCCATTGAGGAGAGTCAAATTCAGGCGTCAACTCTAGCTCTGCCTGATCTTGATCGCCCGTTCAGCGTCGTATGTGACGCTTCGGACTTTGCCATTGGCAGTGCACTTTTGCAAGTCGACTCTGAGGGTAGAGAACGCGTTATCGCGTTTGAGTCTCGCCAGCTGAAAGCTGCAGAGAAGAACTACCCAATTCATGACAAGGAGCTACTTGCGATGAAGTATGCCCTTGTTAAGTTCAGAGTACACCTGTTGGGCTCAAAGCGGTTTGCAATCTATACCGATCATGCGTCACGACGCACAGCGACACAGTCGCCTCATCTATCACTGAGAATGGCTTGTTGGCTTTCCTTTTACGCGGAGTATAACTTCGAGGTGAAGTATAAGCCGAGAAAACAGAATGTTTTGGCTGACGCGTTATCGCGTAGACCTGACTATGAACTTGCTCATCTCACTGTTGTGGGTTCGTCATTAACGGATCGTATCCGTGTGGCGTATGCACGCGATGAGGCATGTGCTGCCATTCTGCAGGCGCTAGGTAGCGCAGAGTTTGAAAACGCTAAGGTGAAGTTGTCACCACGTAATTGTGCGAGATTACATCGTTATGCACTGACCGATGGTCTGTTGTACTATGGTACAGGGTCGGATGATCAGCCTCGTGTTTTGGTGGCTCATGATGAGAACCTCAAGTATAAGATACTTTACGAAGCTCATGATACACCCCTTGGTGGTCATTTAGGTCGTGAGAAGACCTACAGCTCGGTGATCACACATTATTGGTGGCCCAAGTTGTACAAATAAGTTGGTACAAATGTACGCACGTGTGAAACGTGTCAAGGGTGAAACCCTCGCCTAATATGGCTGCGTTTTTGGCGGGTTTGCGTGTACCGTCAAGGTTGTGACAGTCCACTAGCATGGACTTTGTGTTTGGTCTACCGCGCGATGCGACAGGCAACACTGGAATTGTGGTCTTTGCTGACCGATTGAGCAAGATGGCTCACTTAGCGGCCGTGCTGGACCCTCCTGATGGCGACGGAACAGCAAAGCTGTTTATGGATCGTGTGCTTAGACAACACGGATTGCCTGTGGCAATCTTCTCTGATCGAGACCCCCGTTTTACGGGTAAGTTTTGGACGTCCGTCTTTAAAGCGCTAGGCACTCGACTGGACATGTCCACGGCGGATCATCCGCAGACCGATGGTCCAACAGATCGCGTCAACCGCGTTATTGGCGATATGCTGCGTAGTGTTTGTGCTGAAACACCCAAGCAATGGAGCGCGATGCTCCCTCTGGTAAAGCTTGTGTTAAATAACGCGGTGAATGCCTCGACAGGCTTCACCCCATTCTACGTGATTGGTTTGGTTACTCCTCGCGTTCCGTTAACGCTACTCCCTGCCACATCAGGGCTTAGTGGGGGAGAAATATCCGAATGCCTGGCGGATATCAGCCCTGTTGCGGTAATCAGGAAGGTGGAAGCATTTCTTTCAACGCGTTTTGACGTATTAAGTCGCGTCAAAGACGCTATGGCTGAAAGCCAGGATGTTAAAAAGGTAACACGCAGATATTAAAGGCAGGAAGGACGAACATGAGTTCAAAATGGGACATTTGATTTTATTAAACGCTAGGAGATTACCGACACGCGCAGTGTCTGCGGTATATAAAACTAAATTACGCCCACGCTTTATTGGACCTTTCAAGGTCATAAGCAAGAGAGTATTAGCCTATACGCTGACCCTCCTAAAGAAGATGCAAACACACCCTGTGTTCTACGTGGGCTTACTAAAGCCGTATCTCAACCCTGCCTCGGTGGACTTCGAGGGATTGTACCCATACTCTCGGCCGAAGGAGGCGGGTATTACGGCACCGGAGGTGCATAGGGACGCTGAAGGCATACTAAAAGATCATGGATCGATGGGTCACCGACCCCCACCAACGCTGACTGATGAGCCGGGTCATCAACAATTTCACGTCGGCGTCTATTGGCGCGACATCGTCACCAGGATCATGCCTAATATTTGGTGAAGTGGAAGGGGGAAACCACAGTTGCATGATTGTAGGAGTATAAGGTACCCCTACGGCAAGACTTCCCGGACGTCGTTAAAGCTTTTGATCGGGAGAATTAGAAGCGGTGGCAGCAGTCGCCGGATGCTTCCTCGCAGTAAGTGCTGTGGAAGCAAGGTCAGTAGTTAGGCTTTACCTCTGACCTTGTTGGGAAGCAATTTTCGGTACCTCACTCGCGTGAGAAGTACAATTATCTGCGTCAGAAGCAAAAATTACGGCGTATATGGCTTTGTCTATATGATACGCAAGGCGTAAAGATTTTGGAGGCTTTATATAAGCAAAGGGTAAATAATGTTGTGTTTTGAAAGCAAAATTAACACTGTTGAGCATTATATAAGCAAGTGTAAAACACTATGATTACAACACTTTGGGATTATATAAGCAAGTGTTAAGCACTTTAAGGCTTTATAGAAGCAAGTGTGAAACACTATGATGCTTTATCAAAGTGTACAACACTTTGGGATTATATTAGCAAGTGTGAAACACTATGATGCTTTATCAAAAATGTTCAACACTATGGGATGATATATGCAAGTGTTAAGCACTTAAAGACTTTATATAAGCGAGTGCTGAACATTAAGGTGATTTAGAAGCAAGTGTTAAGAGAAAATGTTCTTTATAAGCAAGTGTTAAACACTTTTTTAGGTGCTTGATAAGCTAGTGTTAAACACTATGGTGCTTTATACGCTAGTGTTAGACACTAATGTGTATTGTTAGATAGTGTTCGACACTAATGTGCATTATAAGCTAGTGTTAACATTGCGGTGCTTTGTGAGCAAGGTTACACACTTATATGCTCAATCACTTTACAAGCAAGTGTTAAGAACACCGCAATTCTTTAAATCAAGTGCTAGGCACTTAAATGCTGTAAAAGCAAGTGTTCGTAAGCACACAAAGGGTATTATTACCAAAGTGCTCGGCACTTAACGCTTATAAGCAAGAGTCGTAACACTTAATGCTTTAGCGTGTGTGCAATACACTGTATGCTCAAAGAGCAAGTTTCGTAACGCGAGGATGCTTATAAAGCGTGTGTGCAATGCATAGGTGCTCAAAGAGCAAGTGCCAGAACATTGACGCTTTGTTCGCAAGTGCAAGCACTTATTGCGAGGCAAGCAAAATGGGTAGAAAATGAAATCGATGCCTCCCAATAAGTGCAAAAATTCGTGGGCACGTCGGGTCCCACTAATTGGTGGGGGGGGGGGGTGTAACGGGGTTACACGAAGGTGTGTATTTTACATACACACCTGCCACACCAATGTGGTGTGGCTGTACCTTGTGTACAGTGGTAGGTTGCTGTGACCCGTACTTAAGGTACGAAGGGTCGCATCGTACAGAAGCCACGTGGTCACTGTACTTATTTTAGTATAGTGACTATACATGTTTACTTATTAATGGGCTATAGCGCCAGTAACTAGTGACTAGCACTAAGTATAGAGTAGGTACTTCTATATTTTAGTGCTAGTAGTTATACATTAAACAAAACAGTTTTGAAACCTGCTCTGAATAGCATACGTGCTAGAGCTTGATCCTTAAACAAAAGGAAGTTGTATAACGGATACTAGGATTTTGGAGACGTGGTTGTTCACAGCCAAAAGGCATGAGCTTGTAAAGCTAGCCTTGGAAGGGTTAAGAACCCTAAGACATATAAGCTCTTTGAAACTGTCTTCCTCTGCACGTAGTGCATAAATAGCTTTGCTTTAGTAGCTCAGCTACAGTAATCATGTCCAAAAGTTTCGTCTTGTCAGTCGAATACACATCACATTACAATAAATAAACAGCCACGGCGCGTGCCTTAATCTCTTGTTCAGATTCTGAGATGCTGCCTCTTTAGTTTGCCGTACATCGTCTGCCCTCAAATGAAAGCACCGCTTGCCGATACGTACGCAAAATGTCCTAGGCTAACAGTGAATGTACTTGACACGTGACATAATGATCATGTGAAGAGAGCAAACTCGATGCGATTCTTTGGTGCGCGTGAACGGGGCACTGTTAGCTAGGATGTATCCTAACATGACATCTACCAACGGTGTTGCTGCGCCATCTTCAGCATGTCCGTTTGTTTCTCACCTTCCATCCGTGCACTTGTCAACTCACTCAATCATATGTACTCTTTTTGCTTGAGAAGCAGAAGATGTGGGGACACAGTACAATCGTCGTAACACAACGGTTTTTTAGTCCATTACTGCTGCCTAGTTACGCGTAGCAAGCTTCAAAGTGTCAATAAGATTTGGCACATCACTACGATACAAAGATGTTGGAGTGTGAATGAAAATCGTTAAGATTGAATTTACGGCGTGAAAAGTGCAGGTACCTTGACTATGCTAAGTTTTGATAAACTTGATCGGCCCAATGATTGATGTTTTCTTGCGTAGCGCTTCTGCCATAGTTGTCAATCGACTGATTCAGTGTCGAGTGCAACAAATCGGATTGAGGGACACGAAGAATGGACCGTGTGAGAACTTCAGCATCAACTTGTTTCAGCACGGGTTCCGCTTCCATCACTTCCACCAGATCAATCCAAAGACGTTCACAGACGTTACTTCTTCTCGATGACAATCACATTTTGCACGCGAGGATCGTCATGGACCAGGCCAATCTTGTGGAGCTGCCATAACAATTCAAAAAAGTCTAGTACTTCCTCTCGAGTCGTTGGTTGAGGTATCGTTTTCCCAACAGGAGATAACAAGAACGCCGCGCTTTCAGGAGTTGCAATCGAGATTTTTCACTAAACGAATCGTTAAGCCTGTGTGCTGCGCTTTTGTCAAAACCATTTTCTCCCTATAATGGCGTTCATAATTCTCTACTACTTTTAGAGCAAAAACCGCTCCATCTTGCCCGGTTACCTTTAAACGTGCCGTTGCCGAGAAATGCCACATCAACGCCTAATAACGTACAGGCTATGTTTAAGCGCGCCAACAATGGGGACATGTTGTCTACATTGAAATTATGAAACAAGAATTTGGCGCCATTGTCAACCCAATTTGCTTTCTTGACCTCATGAGGAGCATGGTTGTGGCCTGTGATCAACTAAAACGAGCGCCGATCAAAGAAAACAGCGCTTCCAGTCTTAAATCCAGGGCTTTGCAGATAACGCACCACTTGTCCGAACGCAGTGTCAGTTATAGTGAGCTTGCTTTACACAAAATGATGCAGTCGAATAGTTTTTCCTCTGCTACTCCAAATCGAAAGCCATTCGGGCGCTGCAATCCATCTTTCGGTGTTGGCTTGACACGAAACATTCCACGGTGGGTCGCAAATCCATCCGGTTTGAGGTCTATCCTCTCCATCACAAGTGGTGATGGAAACAACCATCGATATCTCGCACAATTGACAAATACCATACCACACCTTTGTAGCACGTTGCTGATAAATGGCAAATACAGCCTCACGCTGATGGCATTGGCTTGAGTCTGAATTTTCTCTGACCAAATGCTTCTGCGCTCACCACCGGTGCAAAATTGATGACCCGTCGTCGTTTTTGCAGTCTTGAAATCTCGAGTAGACCCATTGTCCTATTAGAGTAGAACGTCATATTTTGTATCCAAAAACAGGCTACAGCATCCATCACAGCGTCATGTACCACATTGATTCGATTCGATACTGAATCGAGAAAGTTATCATCTCGCAACTGTTGTGTCTGCTTTGTAACTACTACTAACACGTGAATCTAATCAGCCGACGGCTGCGGCGTTTTGTCGTTGTCAAACATCCAGTGCTGTAGAGTCTTTGTCGCCTTCATTCTCTCTCCATCAATCATTCTTTGAGCATCCTGATGCGTTTTTCCTTCTTCCAACTCCAGCGCAGCAGGTTCTTCGTCCGACAGCCACTTGCCGTCTGTCGTTTCTGCGAGGAAGAGCTGCAACTTGTCTGCATCGGCGTTCTTCAACCCGTTCGATTTCTTCACTTAAATCGGCTTTTTTAAGTTTCCACCGGACTGATGTGCGTCGATATCTACAGGGAACTCGCTTTCCGCCACACCGAAAATTGCACAAAAATCTAAATCATCTCTTTTCAGAACGACGTAAATGACTGAACGGAGAGAAATGTCGGTATCGTACTAAATGAAAACGAACCCATGGTCAAAATGTGTCAGCGGACGCTACACGTCACTAAGTCTATCGTAAATATAGAGCTCGCATCGAAACATGTGTCGCTTGATAGATAATGACGGACAAAAATACATCTATTTGTCCATTTATTCGGTTGTGATTCGATCGTTTTGTCCACGGTAGCGGCAACGTTATTCAAGTTGACTGGAAGGTAAGTGATGGCGCAGTGCTGCAGATCTTTCTTTTTTGTAAATCGCTTATAATCTCCTTACTATTATTCTCTGTGACTTCACACACTATTAGCGACAGACGTCGTCGATTCTCGATGATAGCGTCAATGTCTTGTCGCTCCCTCACAGGCTTTCTGGATGCTTCATTACTTGTGAGTCTATAAACGATCATATTTTCAACTAACTCGGGAGCATGTGTTCAAGTTATATCCTGTTGTCAATGGTAAAATTACTACATTTAGAGGTCATAACTTCCACATGACGTAAAGTAAGAAGGGATTCATGTTCAAAAGCTGAGTTTTTCACAACTCACATGTAGCAGACTCACACATGGCAGACGTTTTTTTGTCTTAAAGTTTTTGTCTGACTTTGGCCCTTATGGGTAGCAGTTATAGCTCTTGCCTCTGCTTACGCGTGTGTTCTCACTGAACAAGAGTATACATATCTTATCAGAGAGGAATACAGATGACTGACTTCCTTAACATAACATGTGCCAGCGCGTCTATGAATATAACGACAGAAATGCTTCCACGATGTGGTGTGGTTGTACCGATTCTTACTAGCTCTCGTATACGTCGAAGCGTGTCATGACGTACGATTTGAAGACATGCGCTTCGGCGTCAGCGTGAAATATGTTCCGTTGGTGCAATACGTTTGCACATAGAGGTAGTTGCGATTTCTCGCATCTAAGCTTTGGTAACAGCATTGGCCTAACGAAAAGGCGTTTACGGCTGAGGCTTTTACTTCGACTATTAACTATGGTTATGGCTTAACTCTGACAAATTACTAATGGCGTACGATCGAGCAGTAAGTCAACGACAAGCTTCTAAACGACAATACCGATTTAAAGGTAATCAATTTTCGAATTACCAGTACGACTACTGAAATGTAGCTCTTGTTCTATAGTTTTGCTTAGGAATGAACATCATTGCATATTGATTCACCGGCAAAATTAGCTAAAGGCATAGTTTATGAAATTGTAAATGCTCAAGCATCAGCTGAGCGGCAATATGAAACCCAGCACGCAATAAAACAGCAGCGTTACAACCATGTAATAGTCAATAGCCGCTGTCTCAAGGCCACTGAAAGTTGATTGCAGTCAGTCAAATCGTACTTTAATTTGAGTCGTATTATCAATGCGATAGCTACATGGTTTGTATAGTACATGGTTTTGGTGTCTACCACACCATCTTTTTCGACTTATACTTGAGTTTAGTATGCTAGAATGTTCGAGAATCCAAATATGATCCAACTTGGTTCATGTACATTCAGAGTAATATTTGACTGGGGCTCGTGGCGCACTAGGAAGGGTGTGGTCATAGCAGGACAAGGACTACGTAATACACAATTAATAATAATACATACAAAGCAAACAAGTTTACACTAGTATTATGACGGACGCAACTGCTGAGGATTTTAAAGCCCAGGGTAACGAACTGTACAAACGCGGAGATTATCGACGTGCTATTGACAAATATACGCAGGCCATTGATGCAGCTCCTACGGTTGTGGCTTATTATGGCAATCGATCAGCTGCTTCTTTTATGCTTGGAAAGCATAAGGATGTTGTGACGGATTGTAATCGAGCGATTGTATTTGATCCACTTTATATGAAGGGGTATGTGCGAAAGGCTAAAGCACAGCTAGCAATGGTATGGGAAACAAATGAATTGATTCTCTTGTGAAGTATTTACTGTTGTTATTTATTGATTTCATATTGATACCAACAATTTAATTGGTAACTGATAGGGGGGACAATGAAGCAGCTATGAAGACGTATCAAATGGGTTTAATACGTGACCCAAACAATGCGACGTTGTTGAATGAAAAGCGTACACTAGAAATGGCACTGGATAATGTGCAACGGGGCAAGGAATATCTTGCAGCAGGAAAGTTTTCACAGGCAGTGATGGTGTTTGATCGAGCAGCGCAGGTATGCACGGGCTCCAATCAGATCAAGTTGCTACGTGGCGAAGCGCTGATTGGATGTGAACGATACGATGAAGCTTTTGCTGTGCTGACACAGCTCATGCGGACGGACTCAAGTAGTCCAGAACTCTTGTTTCTACGTGCACGATGTCTATATTATCAGGGTGAGTTTTCTAGTGCAATTAAGCATTTGCAACAAGCACTGCGGTCAGACCCAGACAATAGCAAATGCATGAAAGAGATTAAGCGAATCCGCAGTCTAGAGACCAGCAAGGAGGAGGCCAATAACGCTTTTAAGTATGGCAAGATGGCTGAGGCAGTGGAGATGTACACGGAATGTCTAAAGATTGACCCACAGAACAAGGCTTTCAACTCAAAGATTCACTGCAATCGAGCCAATGCGCTGTCGCGGTTGGGCCGGCACGAAGAGGCCATTAAGGACTGCGACAAGGCGATTTATTATGACCACGGATACGCTAAAGCGTACCTGCGCAAGGCTGCTTGTCTGAAGGCCCTTGGCGGTATGGAGAACTTGGAGCAGGCGCTGCGTGTGTATGACCAAGCTTCGAAGCTGGTAGGTGATGATGCTCAGCGTGATATTCAAAACAACATTCGCCAAACCAAGCTGGATATCAAGAAGGCGAAGCGCAAGGACTATTATAAGATATTGAACGTCTCGCAGACCGCCTCGGAAGCTGAGATTAAGAAGTCATACAAGAGGATGGCTTTGAAGTTTCACCCGGACCGTCATGCAGGCAAGTCGGATGAACAGAAAGCGGAGGCGGAAGCTGCCTTCAAGGACGTAGGCGAGGCGTACGCGGTACTGTCTGATGCACAAAAACGACAGCGCTATGATTCAGGGGTGGACCTTGAAGACCTCGATAGTGACTTTGGAGGAGGCGGCATGGGTGGTGGTGGCATGGGCGGTGTTGATCCTTCGCAGATCTTTCAGGTACATTAAGCAGCAGTTGTTTTATGTCATGTACATTGCCTTTGCTGAATTATTTGTTATGATATGTAGATGTTTTTTGGCAGTGGTGGCGGTGGCATGGGAGGAATGGGCGGTGGAATGGGAGGAATGGGCGGTGGAATGGGGGGGACAACGATACCATTTTGGCTAGAAAGAGAATTTGTAGGCTTTGTGTGCGCGTGCGAGCGTGTAATGTTTTGAATACAGACAAAGACAGAAATTTAAGATGGCGAGTTTTGCTGGCCTTAACTAGAACTCGTGTTGTTGTCGTGAGTGTATTTACAAGGACTGAGGCTTTTTATCGCGCAGTTCTCATCCACCCAATTGACATGTCAGTTAAGTAGATTCGAGTTTGCTTGATCATATCAATTCTTCCACCAAAGCAGCAACAACAATGTCATTGTCAGTAAATGCCAATTTGCAAAAGCGTCTGCGCATTAACAACGAAGGTAAATACACTTCCACGGCGGAGGCGCAAATTGTCAATGAATACAAAGGCTTTAGCCTTCCAAATGACAATTTTGCTATTGAACGAATTCCTGTTGGTAGCGTGACGCCTGAGGAGTTTTTTGCCAAGTTTGTGTGCACGCGAACTCCAGTGATCCTGACTGGTTATATACAAGATGAAGAGTTTACTGCTCCGTCCAAGTGGTCCAAGTCAAACAATCGTTTGATTGAGCTTGCAGGTGACACAAAGCTGACAGTCGAACGTCGTCGTGATATGCACGAGAAGTTTGGTAAAGGAATTACAGTAGAGATGCCATTCCGTAAGTTGCTCAACTTAGTTGCTTCAGGTGATGAAATGCACTACTTGACGACGCAGGAGGTGGCATTTGAAGAGGATGGTCGACCTGAAATTATGGCCCCGTTCATGAAGCAGCTGCAGCAGGACTTCCCCTTACGCCCCAAGTTGATGGGTCACTTGATCCCGCAGAATATCAACATGTGGATGGGAAATAACACGCATGGATCGTCGACAGGACTGCATCACGACCATCATGACAATTTATACATTCTGATGCGTGGCAAGAAGCGATTCCGTCTGTACTCACCGGGGGATGCTGACAAGATGTACGTACGTGGACGGATATTACACGTGCATCCAAACGGCTTGATTAACTACGTAGGAAAGGAGACTACTCCTTACGGTGCCGATCCGGCAGCGGAGAAGAAAGCACTTGCTGCAATTGAGAAAAACCAGGCAGAGCGCGAGTTGGCTGAGGCTGAAGAAGATGCGGAAGCAGGAGAACCAGGAGCCAAGTCTCGTCTTGAGGCAGCTGAGGAGCGGCTTGAAAAGGCCATGTTTGGAGTGCTGCGTGCAGACAACGGGGATGAAGATGATGAAGAATTTGAAGATGGAGTTTTTTGCTTTGAGGAGAGTGAGGCTGAGGGAGATGGCGAAAGCGAGATTGACGAGCTGGACGAGATCGCACTGGACCCTGACGAGAAAACGGAGAAGAATATGACTGCAAAGCGGGATATCGACCAGATCGAAATCGCATACCCAGTGAGCTTCAGCCAGGTAGATACATTCCGGTTGCGTGGTGAACACGCACAGCACAAGTTGCAATCGGAATTCCCCAAGTTTTGCCAAGCCAAAGTAGCGATCTGTGTTTTGGAGGCGGGGGAAATGTTGTACCTTCCTGCTTCGTGGTTTCACGAGGTTGAGTCATTTGGTTCTGCGCAAGGAAACGGTCACTTGGCCTTGAACTATTGGTATCAGCCGCCCGACCAGCTTTTGCCAGAGCATTTTGCTGTGCCATATTCATCGCCCTTCTGGCAGATTGATTGGGAACATCGCTTTGCATCCAATGGCAAAGAATAAGCGATTTATTTGAGTCGCAAAAGGCGGCGTGCACTTGGTCTCGCGTTGCGGTTTTCTGGACGGCCGCATCGCTTAGTCCGATTATAATGTTTGGCAAACCGCTTATCGTTCTTCCTGGTCTGGCGAGCAGGTTCTAGAATAAATGCAGCCTATTGCCTTCAATGGCAAGGGTCTACCCAGTAAGCAGAAGTGATCACGTTTGACAAGTTTAGGCTTAGACCAAGTTGAAGTTGATCAGGTTTAAAAGGGTCTAATCGGTTGACGGCCACAGCAGGTGCCAACCACAATTGTAAATGAGCAACGTATTGGAAAGCTCAGCAAATCAGCAAATGGCGGCCTCTCGCTATACCGGCATCGGATAAAGAAACAATGATAAGCAGCTGCCAGACAGAACGCTGAGACTGTGTCTTGTCGCTGTCGATAGGCTTGTGGGTGAATACTTGAACGCGGTGTTGTCACTTTGTCATTTTTCCTGGGTCAAGCTGCCACTTTACTTTTCTTACCGTAGAAGGACGACTTATAGTGTACCAGCACAAAACCATGCGTGGCTTGGAGAGATCACATAGGTAGTATGTATTGTCGTCCAGTAGAAGGGTTGTTCTCCGTCAAGAAAACGGAGCGGTAAGTCCCGTTCAGCATTTAGAACTAAGGGTATGAAAGAGCAGATTCACGCTTAGAGGCTCACAACAAAGGTGGTCAGGCAGCACATCGACCAATTTCGACACCGTGAAATACTTTGGCAGTAAACTCTGAAAAGTTTGAGAGCCCAAATTGATATCACACTTGACAGCTGCTTGTGCGTACGTGGTCAATGATGGGACTGCACGTACAACGACATGACTATCTATCGCAAAGCGCAGTAGAAGATTTCTACACATGGCGGAGTCGGTACGAATACTCCTAGTCTCAGTGTCAGGAGCGACTACTGACCCACTTTGATGGGTTGGGATAACTACAGACAAAACCTTTGAGCATTCCCGCTCGATATTTTCCTGACAACAATTCGACTCATACTTACCTGTCGCCCCTACGCAACAAGCATTTAGTGTATCACTTCAGGGTGATCTGCGTATAACAGTTTAAACAATCAAATACAACTCATGGACACTGGTTTTCCAAGGGTTCAATTTAGTACACGGCTGTAGTGATCTGTACTTCTGCAAACGCGTTATGCTTAGGTTTACTCAGCTTCCGGCATCAGACCATTCGTTCGAGCAGAATGATACAAGAGAGACTTAGCTGACCGTTGACGAGCCAGCGTGGCAGCATTGGCGAATGCCGCAACAGCAGCTAACGTGGAGCTCGTCTCTCCTGTCGAATTTTGAGTACCATCGACGACGGTGCACTTTGGCTTGCTCTTTGCGGAAGTCAACGTCCACTTACGTCGTATCGTCTCCGCTTGAGTTTGTAAGTTTCCTTCTTCACGCAGTTTCCACTGACTGTGTGACCTTGACTGAGGGGATCCGCAACTCTCTGAGCAGCGTGCCGCTCTCTTTTTTACGAGTAAATGTTTTGAAGATGCCAAGACCAAGCGTTTTCGAGAAGCTAAGCGA